AGCTAAACCCTAAACCCTAAACCCTAAACCCTAAACCCTAAACCCTAAACCCTAAACCCTAAACCCTAAACCCTAAACCCTAAACCCTAAACCCTAAACCCTAAACCCTAAACCCTAAACCCTAAACCCTAAACCCTAAACCCTAAACCCTAAACCCTAAACCCTAAACCCTAAACCCTAAACCCTAAACCCTAAACCCTAAACCCTAAACCCTAAACCCTAAACCCTAAACCCTAAACCCTAAACCCTAAACCCTAAACCCTAAACCCTAAACCCTAAACCCTAAACCCTAAACCCTAAACCCTAAACCCTAAACCCTAAACCCTAAACCCTAAACCCTAAACCCTAAACCCTAAACCCTAAACCCTAAACCCTAAACCCTAAACCCTAAACCCTAAACCCTAAACCCTAAACCCTAAACCCTAAACCCTAAACCCTAAACCCTAAACCCTAAACCCTAAACCCTAAACCCTAAACCCTAAACCCTAAACCCTAAACCCTAAACCCTAAACCCTAAACCCTAAACCCTAAACCCTAAACCCTAAACCCTAAACCCTAAACCCTAAACCCTAAACCCTAAACCCTAAACCCTAAACCCTAAACCCTAAACCCTAAACCCTAAACCCTAAACCCTAAACCCTAAACCCTAAACCCTAAACCCTAAACCCTAAACCCTAAACCCTAAACCCTAAACCCTAAACCCTAAACCCTAAACCCTAAACCCTAAACCCTAAACCCTAAACCCTAAACCCTAAACCCTAAACCCTAAACCCTAAACCCTAAACCCTAAACCCTAAACCCCTAAACCCTAAACCCTAAACCCTAAACCCTAAACCCTAAACTCAAATTATTTTCATTTTTGACACCTTCTAATCATTAAATTAGAGAAATCTCAAAATTTGTCAATTTTACCAATATTTGTGGGCTAACACCTACGAATTTTGACATTTGAAAAAATTGGAATAATATGTTATTAGTCTTTGTTAGATACTCTTTTACAATGAAAAATGTTTGGATCAATTTATTTTCACTTTCGAAACCTTCCAATCAATAATTAAGAAAACCTCAAAATTCATCAATTTTACCAATATTTGTGGGCTAACACCTAGGCACGTTTCTCGAAGCAGCAAGAAGTCAACCAGACAAGTCGCTTTCGCCTCCTGCATTAGGGTCTTTCTTTCCCAAAATAGCAAGGTTTTTTCAAATTTCAAACGCCTAGGGGCCTGCAGCGCCGGGTTCAACCCCCACCTACAGGTCGGAGGGTCCGCCTCAGACCACCGATAAGTAGACTCAACCCTCAGCAGTGACCGCTAGTCACTCCGTCGTCAACCGCAAGCTACCGTTCCCAGCCTTCAAGACCAAGCACCATCTACAAAGAATCAAAGTAAACTCTTTGAGAACCTGCAAAGCTAAGTTCACTAACTTCCGCTACTGCAAATCGAAGCTTGCCTCATCTCAACCGCCCATCGACCCTAAAGAATCTGTTTCAAAGAAAAGCAAACGAAGACAGCATGGAGAGGAGGTTTTCGTACGCAGAGAAAGGAAAAGCCGTAGTCACCTCGCAAGAAACCGCGGTCAGAAAAAGGATTCGAGCCCCAAACATGGACACCACGGACCTCATTGAGGAGAACTCCCTGACTCTCATTGGTAGAGTTACAAACCCTAGAGAGCAAAGGATCCGCTCCCTCATCCCCTACTTCACCAACCGGTGGGAAATAAAAGGAGAGATTGAAGGCTCGGATCTAGGAAACAACTGCTTCCAGTTCCGCTTCACTCTACTGGAAGATCTGAAAAGAATCTTAGCAAACAGACCTTACCAGTTCTCTAGATGGATGGTCGTCTTGCAAAGATGGGAGCCCATCATCTCAGCTAACTTCCCGTCTCAGATCCCGTTCTGGATCAAACTCAAAGGCCTCCCACTCCACTACTGGAAAGAAGACCTAGTCTGCAAGATTGGAAGAGAAGCCGGTGAACTCCTACACTTTGAGATCTCGAAAACAGTGGCAAGAACAAAGATCTCAGTCAATGCTCTAAACCCTATCTTAAAAGAAACGGAGGTGGAGTTCGCAACGGGTGAAGTGGCTTTAGTTACCTTGGAGTATGAGCGTCTCGGTCTCCACTGCACGATATGCAATAGCCTGACGCATGAGGACAAATATTGCCCAGAACCACGGGAGCAACAGAGGCAGAGATCTTCAAGCAACAACCGCCCCAGGTCTCCTGCAGGGGAAAAACATCAAGACAAAGGGGCAAGGCCTCCTTTAGACACCCAAAGAAGAACCACCCGGGGAGAAGGAGAGCCAAATAGAAAAGAGAAAAGAGATAGACACGGGAACCTGATAATGATAATGGAGAAACCAGTCTATACAAACCAAGGAAAAGAACACCGTGTAGAGACCACCAGAGAAGTGAGAGAGGAAACACCTCTGTCCAGCTACAGAGAAAGCTTTCGAACGCCTCAGAGAAGTGGGGGGAGCTCGCCTACAAAGAGAAGAGATTACCGAGAATACCTGGATAGAGCAACAAGAGGAACAGATAATGCCAATAGGTATTATAGGGAGGAAGAAAGATGGTACCAAGGGGCTCGCAGAGGCCAGGTCACCAGACGCAGCCCCCCTCAACTCCAGTGGAGAGAAAAAGGGGGAAGTCGCACTCCGAGTCACCAAGGGGAATCAGGAAGGTCTGAGACTTCCCGACCTCAATCGGTAGATAGAAGGATGGAAGATAGAAATCCACCGGAGATCCCAATACCCACAACGGAAGAGGTGATGCAAGAGCTCCAAGAAGTCACCATCAGATATATCAACTGCCCAGACCCGGCCGAAAGCGCTGCAAGAAGACAGAGAGTCATGCTATCAGAAGAACAAGGTCTAATGGAGGAAACAGCCGCTAATATAATAGCAGCAGCGACCGAGTCCTACCAAAGAACCCTAAATTTCGAACAAGAGCAAGAGGATGAGGAGGTACTGGAACCAAGACAGCAACAAGATCAAAACATCCCAGCTACTCAAGACCTTCAGAGGAAACGAAGGGGCAGACCACCAAAGAACAAGAGAGCTAGCCCGGCAGTAGGAGTAAGCCTTAGGCAAAGGAACTTGACTCAGTGCCTCAACTCACCTCAAGTCAGGGACAGTGCTAGAAGGAACACAAAAACAAGAACCCAAAGAGGGAATCAGCGATGTACAACTCCAATAAACCAAAGGGACGCTGGCCCAAGCACAGAAAGGGCGAATTCAGAGACGAACTTACCGGCTCTCTCGAGGGCAACGGAAAATTTACGGTCTCCGCAAGATCGGCTTCCTTAAAAGTGGCAAGCTGGAACTGTTGTGGGCTGGGGAACCCTGCGACAGTCCAGCGAATAAGGGAGATACGTTCTACCATCTCCCCAGACATCATGTTCCTCATGGAAACCAAAAATCAAAGCGAGTTTGTGATGAAGGAGCTCCACTCTCTGGCTTACACCTCATCATTCACGGTACCACCTCATGGACATGGAGGTGGAGGGCTAGCCCTTCTCTGGAATCAAAAAGTAAAACTGGAAGTCTTAGACTCCTGCGACAACTACATAGACACGACAATAAGCTATAAAAATCAAAGGTTCCTCGCAACATTCACCTATGGAGAACCAGACCACACAAAGAGAAGAGAGGTTTGGGATAAGATTTCTGACCTTGGAGTAGCAAGAGAAAACCCGTGGTTCCTCACAGGAGATTTTAACGAGATCATGGACAACTCAGAAAAACAAGGAGGACCTCCCAGATCAGAAGCGTCGTTTGGCGATTTCCGAGAATTCCTCTCCAAGAACGATCTCTATGATATCCAACATACAGGGAACTCCCTGTCCTGGCGAGGCGTCAGGGGTACCCATCTCGTTCATAGCCGTCTTGATAGAGCCCTCTCCAATAGCGCTTGGGCAGAAGCGTTCCCAACTGGCAGAAGCATCTATCTCCCGTTTGAAGCTTCAGACCATAGACCAATCATCACCTTCTTCGAACCAACACTACAAAAGAAAAGAGGTTTATTCAGGTATGACCGGAGAATGAAAAGTAATGAGAAAATCAAGCAACTGGTAGCAAAAGCCTGGGGAGAGGAACCAGAGGCAACGGTGGAGCAGAGAATCTCGAAATGCAGGAAAGAAATAGCAAAGTGGAATAGACAACATCATCAAAACAGTAAAAGAGTGATTGAAGAGAAGAAAAAACAGCTTGATGAAGCTATGTCTTCGAGGGTTGCTGATGAATCTAGAATCCAAAACATCAATGCTTTTCTAAAAGCAGCCTACAAAGAGGAGGAAAGCTACTGGAAGCAGAGAAGCAGACAACTTTGGCTAGCATTGGGGGATAAGAACTCAGGCTATTTCCATGCGGTGACAAGAGATAGAAAAAGAATCAACACGATAACAATGATAGAGAAGGAGAATGGAGAAACCTGCTATGAGGAAGGCAAAATCGCAGAAACAGTTTCAAACTTCTACGCAGAGCTGTTCACGTCGCAAGAGAGAGATAGAGCAACTATGGTTGACGGGATCTTGGACCCTCGAGTCACTGAGGAGGACAACAAAATCCTAACGGCGGACCCGACGAAAGAAGAAGTGAAACATGCGCTCTTTGCCATCCACCCGGACAAAGCTCCAGGGCTTCTTTCAGACTAACTGGGAAGTAGTGGGTGATGCTATAACTGCCGAAGTCAAGACCTTCTTCTCCACAGGAGTCTTACCTGCAACAATCAACAACACGCACATTAGATTGATTCCCGAAATCCTGAGCCCCAAAAGAGTGGCAGACTATCGCCCGATAGCCCTCTGTAATGTTTATTACAAAATAATCTCGAAAATGCTCACCTGAAGACTCCAACCGATCCTGAATGGGCTCATCTCGGAAAACCAATCCGCCTTTGTTCCAGGGAGAGCCATCTCAGACAATGTGTTGATCACGCACGAAGTCCTCCACTTCCTAAAAACCTCCGGAGCAAAAAAGCATTGTTCCATGGCCGTTAAAACGGATATGAGCAAAGCGTATGACCGCATAGACTGGGATTTCCTGATAGCGGTTCAGAGAAAGTTAGGATTCCAAGAGAAATGGATAAACTGGATACACCAATGTGTATCAACAGTCAAGTACTCGTACCTGATAAATGATGGAGCCCATGGGGCAGTGTTACCGCAGCGAGGCATAAGGCAAGGAGACCCCCTCTCACCGTACATCTTCATTCTTTGTGGAGAAGTATTATCTGGTTTGTGTAGGAGAGCACAGAGAGATGGGACCCTACCGGGAATTAAAGTGGCGAGAGGCAGCCCTCCAATCAACCATCTCCTTTTCGCAGACGACACTATGTTCTTCTGTAAGTCAAACAAGAAAAACTGTGAGACCCTGAACCAAATTCTAAAGACGTATGAGACTGCTTCTGGTCAAGTGATTAATCTAGGGAAATCATCAATCACATTCGCAAATAAGACAAATGCGGAAACTAAGGAGAAGGCAAAGGAGATACTAGGGATAATCGTTCTGGGAGGACAAGGGAAGTACCTCGGACTACCAGAACACTTTGGCAGAAAGAAGAAAGATCTCTTTGCGCTGATTGTGGATCGGATTAGAAGAAAAGCAGTGAGCTGGTCTTCTCGTTTCCTCTCGGGGGCAGGGAAGATGACTATGCTGCAAGCAGTTCTCGCAGCCATCCCAACGTACATAATGTCATGCTTCAAACTGCCTGTGAGCTTGTGTAAAAGAATACAATCAGCAATGACTAGATTCTGGTGGGACGAGACATCGGGAAAGAAGAAAATGTGTTGGGTTGCGTGGAAAAAACTTACAAGATCTAAGAAGGATGGAGGCTTGGGTTTCAGGGACGTGGAGGCTTTCAATGATGCCCTTCTGGCCAAGCTAAGTTGGCGGATCCTCTCCAATCCCAACTGCCTGCTAGCCCGTGTCCTTAAAGGAAAATACTTCAGGCATACAGCTTTCATCGAAGCGCAACCTCGGAAGTCTGCTTCACATGGATGGCAGGGCATTCTAATTGGGCGAGAGTTGTTGAGACAAAACCTAGGAAAAGCCATCGGAAATGGAGAAACTACGAGTCTCTGGACCGACCCATGGCTCTCCCTGGAGACACCAACAAGGCCTATGGGACCAGCGACGTCACGAACAGCCCAGTGGAAAGTATCAGCCCAGTGGAAAGTATCAGACCTCATCGACCCCCACACCAAAATATGGAACAAAGAGAAAATCAGGTCAGTTTTGCCAAACCTAGAGGAACAAATCCTATGCGTCAAACCGAGTCTTTTTGGAAAAGAAGACAAGCATATATGGCTAGCAACAGAATCAGGAGATTATACTTCTAAAACCGGCTACCATATCACGTTTGCATCGCAACATTCCGAGACCACTGCCCTAGAGAACATCAATGAAAGCGAAATCAACTGGAGAAGAGATGTGTGGAATGCTCATACCTCGCAGAAACTAAAAGTGTTCCTCTGGAAACTGACTAGTGGAGCCCTAGCCTTGGGAGAAAACCTCCTCAGTCGTGGAATTGAAGCCAACGCGGTCTGCAACCGGTGTGGAGAGCTAGAGACACGAGAGCATATGCTGTTCCATTGCTGGTTTGCTAAACAAGTCTGGGAAGCAACCCCAGTAAGGAACCTCCCCATCTTCGCAACAGATCTTTCTTTTAACACCATTCTCCAGGAAGCAAAACGGTGGATATGCCTACCTCCAGTGGGACTCACGGGTAGCTCCCTGTTCCCATGGATCTGCTGGTTCTTGTGGCTCGCCCGAAATAACCAGATCTTCGACGAAAGAGGCTTCTCACCATCGGACACAATCACCAAAGCAATAGCTAAGGCTCGGGAATGGGAAGCAGCACAGATTATAGTACCGCCAAAGGAAAAGAGATTGATAACAGGAGAAGCCTTATCGCTCCACCCACAAGCCAAGATCTGTTTTGTTGATGCAGCTTGGAAGGTGGAGAACCATGCAGCGGGGTATGGATGGGTCTTCAAAACCCAAGCAGGCGATGTAATCAAGGAAGGCCACAAAGCGGAAGCTCCGGTCCGATCCCCGTTGGCAGCGGAGGCTCTGGCGTTGAGAGAAGCCCTCTTGGAAGCCAAATTGCGAGGATGGACTAACCTCTGTTTCAAGTCCGATTCACAGACGCTCATCAGAGCCATTCGATCATCCGACAATATAGCCGAGATCCACGGAGTCCTCCAAGACATCCATCTTCTGGCTTGCTCATTTGTCTCGATCGCCTTCGTCTTCACGCCGAGATCTAACAATCTCCAAGCAGATTCGATCGCAAAACTTGCACTTTCTTCGTTTGTATCGTTTTCTTCGTTTGTAACGCAACACGCGTAAACCGGTTCGGTTCAAATTTACTTTAATGAAAGGATGTTCAAAAAAAAAAAAAAGTGGGCTAACACCTACGAGTTTTGACAAATTTTGAGAACAATTGAAATATTATGTTATTAGTATTTCCTAGAACTCTTTTACTATGAAAAATGGTTGGATCAAATTATTTTCATTTTTGACACCTTCTAATCAATAATTTAGAAAATTCTCAAAATTTGTCAAATTTGCCAATATTTGTGGGCTAACACCTATGAGTTTTGACAAATTTTGAAAAAATTGTAATAATATGTTATTAGTCTTTGTTAGATACTCTTTTACAATGAAAAATGTCTGGATCAATTTATTTTCACTTTCGACACCTTCCAATCAATAATTAAGAAAAACCTCAAAATTCATCAATTTTACCAATGTTTGTGGACTAACACGTACGAGTTTTGATAAATTTTGAAAAAAAATTGGAATATTATGTTATTAGTATTCCTTAGAACTCTTTTACAATGAAAAATGTTTAGATCAAATTATTTTCACTTTCGACACTTTCTAATCATTAGTTTATAAAAACATCAAAATTTATCAATTTTGCCAATATTTGTGAGCTAACACCTACGAGTTTTGACAAATTTTGAAAAAATTGGAATAATATGTTATTAGTCTTGCTTAGAACTATTTTACTATGAAGAATAGTTGGATCAAATTATTTTCATTTTTGACACCTTCTAATCATTAATTTAGAGAAATCTCAAAATTTGTCAATTTTACCAATATTTGTGGGCTAACACCTACGAGTTTTGACAAATTTTGAAAAAATTGGAATAATATGTTATTAGTCTTTGTTAGATACTCTTTTACAATGAAAAATGTTTAGATCAAATTATTTTCATTTTTGACACTTTCTAATCATTAGTTTATAAAAACATCAAAATTTATCAATTTTGCCAATATTTGTGGGCTAACACCTACGAGTTTTGACAAATTTTGAAAAAATTGGAATAATATGTTATTATTCTTTCTTAGAACTATTTTACTATGAAAAATAGTTTGATCAAATTATTTTCACTTTCGACACCTTCTAATCATTAGTTTAGAAAAACATCAAAATTTGTCAATTTTGCCAATATTTGTGGGCTAACACCTACGAGTTTTGACAAATTTCGAAAAAATTGGAATAATATGTTATTAGTCTTTCTTAGAACTATTTTACTATGAAAAATAGTTTGATCAAATTATTTTCACTTTCGACACCTTCTAATCATTAGTTTAGAAAAACATCAAAATTTGTCAATTTTGCCAATATTTGTGGGCTAACACCTACGAGTTTTGACAAATTTTGAAAAAAATTGGAATAATATTTTATTAGTCTTTCTTAGAAGTATTTTACTATGAAGAATAGTTGGATCAAATTATTTTCATTTTTGACACCTTCTAATCATTAAATTAGAGAAATCTCAAAATTTGTCAATTTTACCAATATTTGTGGGCTAACACCTACGAGTTTTGACATTTGAAAAAATTGGAATAATATGTTATTAGTCTTTGTTAGATACTCTTTTACAATGAAAAATGTTTGGATCAATTTATTTTCACTTTCGAAACCTTCCAATCAATAATTAAGAAAACCTCAAAATTCATCAATTTTACCAATATTTGTGGGCTAACACCTACGAGTTTTGACAAATTTTTAAAACAATTGAAATATTATGTTATTAGTATTTCCTAGAACTCTTTTACTATGAAAAATGGTTGGATCAAATAATTTTCATTTTTGACACCTTCTAATCAATAATTTAGAAAATTCTCAAAATTTGTCAATTTGCCAATATTTGTGGGCTAACACCCACGAGTTTTGACAAATTTTGAAAAAATTGGAATAATATGTTATTAGTCTTTGTTAGATACTCTTTTACAATGAAAAATGGTTGGATCAATTTATTTTCACTTTCGACACATTCCTATCATTAATTTAGAAAAACATCAAAATTCATAAATTTTGCCAATATTTGTGGGCTTAACTAACACCTACTAGTTTTGACAAATTTTGAAAAAAATTGGAATAATATGTTATTAGTCTTTCTTATAATGGTTGGATAATTTATTTTCACTTTCAATACCTTCTAATCATTAATTTAGAAAAACTTCAAAATTCATCAATTTAGCCAATTTTTGTGGGCTAACTCCTCAAAATTCATCAATTTTACTAATGTTTGTGGACACAATTTGAAGAAAATGGAATATTATGTTATTAGTATTCCTTAGAACTCTTTTACTATGAAAAATGGTTTGATCAAATTATTTTCACTTTAGACACCTTCTAATTATTAATTTAGAAAAATCTTAAAATTCATCAATTTTACCAATATTTGTGGACTAACACCTACGAGTTTTGACAAATTTTGAAAAAATTGGAATAATATGTTATTAGTCTTTCTTAGAACTATTTTACTATGAAAAATAGTTGGATAAAATTATTTTCACTTTCGACACCTTCTAGTCATTAGTTTAGAAAAATATCAAAATTTATCAATTTTGCCAATATTTGTGGGCTAACACCTACGAGTTTTGACAAATTTTGAAAAAAATGTAATAATATGTTATTAGTCTTTCTAATAAACTCATTTACTATGAAAAATGGTTGGATCAATTTATTTTCACTTTAGACACCTTCCAATCATTAATTTAGATAAATCTCAAAATTCATCAATTTTGCCAATATTTGATGGCTAACACCTACGAGTTTTGACATATTTAGAAAAAATGGAATAATATGTTATTAGTCTTTGTTAGATACTATTTTATAATGAAAAATGGTTGGATCAATTTATTTTCACTTTAGAGACCTTTCAATCATTAATTTAGAGAAATCTCAAAATTCATCAATTTTGCCAATATATGTGGGTTAACACCTATGTGTTTTGACAAATTTTGAAAAAATTGGAATAATATGTTATTAGTTTTTCTTATAAACTCATTTACTTTGAAAAATGGTTGGATCAATTTATTTTCACTTTCGACACCTTCCTATCATGAATTTAGAAAAACCTCAAAATTCATCAATTTTGCCAATATTTATGGGCTAACACCTACGAGTTTTGACCAATTTTGAAAAAAAATAGAATAATATGTTATTAGTCTTTCTTATAAAATCTTTTACAATGAAAAATGTTTGGATCAATTTATTTTCACTTTCGACACCTTTCAATCATTAATTTAGAAAAACCTCAAAATCCATCAATTTTGCCAATATTTGTGGGCTAACACCTACGTGTTTTGTAATATTTTGAAAAATTTGGAATAATATGTTATTAGTCTTTCTTATAATCTCATTTACTATGAAAAATGGTTGGATCAGTTTATTTTCACTTTCGACACCTTCCTATCATTAATTTAGAAAAACTTTAAAATTCATCAATTTTGCCAATATTTATGGGCTAACACCTTTGAGTTTTGACAAATTTTGAAAAAATTGGAATAATATGTTATTAATATTTCTTACAAATTCATTTACTATGTAAAATGGTTGGATTTTTATTTTCACTTTCGACACCTTCCTATCATTAATTTACAAAAACCTCAAAATTCATCAATTTTGCCAATATTTGTGGGCTAACACCTATGAGTTTTGACAAATTTTGAAAAAATGGAATAATATGTTATTAGTCTTTGTTAGATACTCTTTTACAATGAAAAATGGTTGGATCAAATTATTTTCACTTTAGACACCTTCCAATCATTAATTTAGGGAAATCTAAAAATTCATCAATTTTGCCAATATTTTCCTATCATTAATAAGAAAATTAAGGTGTAAAAAAGAAAGACTACAACATAATATGGGTATTTGCTTTGTTGTTAAAATAATACATTTCCAAACATCCATATATTTTTTGTTTGTTTGATTTTTGTGGTGATTTAAAATTATAATTTATTTGGTTCTAAAATATAGGCTAACCATTTTTTCTCTTTTCTCGTCTTATATTCAATGGAATGAAGTCTTTTTGACCAATGATATTATCTGGTTCAGGTTCGTTTTTAAATTTAGCTAACGTCATTAATAGACTATCTAATAGGTGAAAGTGAAAGAATTTCTACACAAAACTCTTATAAATAATGCAAATTTATAACCTTATTTTTTCCAAAATATTCCTTCAAAATGAATTCTTTCATATTTTCTATGTTAGTTTTTTATATGTGTTTTGGATTAAATGAAGCTTGCCAGACAAATCATATATTGATTACTAACCAACTCGGTTCTGATATTCCTCTCGGAGTCCATTGCTATGAAAATCAAGGAAAAGATCGTGGAAGAAACTCCATAAAAAACTTCAATTCTAGTAAAGAGATTTGGTTCACCGATACTTCTAGTTTAAAAAAAAAAAGATTAAAATTTGATTGCTATTTATGGTTCAAGGGAAAAGATGGTTACTTCTATAATTTTGATAAGCTCCAAGTATTTCGAGCAGCTTATAAGACGGGATGTGATGAGTTTCGTCAATGGGTTGCCAGAACTGATGGGATTTACTTCAGAAGAAAGCTTGATCAGCCGGTGGGGTATGTACTTCCTTGGAGAAAGAAAAAGATATAAACTTCTCTTTTTTTCCTTAAACTTACAAATATTTCAATAATTTAGTTGTTTATTTTAAGTCAGATTTAGGGTTTAGGTACTAATCAAGTATCTACTAATAATGTGCTATAATATATATATATATATATATATATTTTGTTCAAATATATATATAAACATGTATTTATGTAATACTTATGCATATTGTTTCAATTATTTTAAATAATAACACATTATCATTATTTGATATGTTTTTTGGTCAAATATGTTTACATAATTTATTTTATTATACACTATTTCTTTGTAAACACAAAGTGCTGCGAAAGAAAACATGTTTCGAAAATGAAAGATGAAATATTAGCAACGATTTTGTTTTACTCATACTGTTTTATATAGGTGTTGTAAGTATCAGGAATATTGAGATGATGTAAGAAGTTTGTATTTTATGAAGTACTTAATATTAAACCAGACCTTGTTGGCATTTGGATCAACTTAACCATTTAGTCGAATCCAATTTTTACAATTTTTCTAAAAAAAAAATTCCATATAGTTTTTCACAAGATTTATGGATTTATACATTTAATCAATGTTATAATTGCTTGATAGTAATATGTGAGGAATGTATTTATGTTATTCTAGTTTGGATGTATTTGAAATCTTCTCTAAACATACAAGCTAATAATATATGAGTGAACCAAGTGGCTATAGCTGACTGGTAAAGGGATCCTAGGCAAAGCTTAGAGGTCACAAGATCGAGTGCCGCTTGGGACGAAACTAATATTACATGTTGTGGTTTCGGGCTTAAGAGGATATACAGGACTCGGTCCAGAACCTCCTAATAATTAAAAAATAATAATAATAAATAAATAAATAAAAATAATAATATTAATATATGAATGAAACACTGGAAATTTCTCAAAATGTATTATTTTTGTGTGGGTAACCCTTATTTCCAAGTATTTTGAAAATAAATGAAAGGTTGTTATAAAGGTTTCCTTTTTTTTTTTTTGTGCAAATACTTGGTTATCATTTAACTAAACCGGTTCATTACAAAGATTAGCCAAAGCTTGTTTCGCAATATTATCCGCTTTCCGATTCATCTCCCTCGGAACAAAGAGAAATTCGATTTTCTCAAAATCAAACGATAGATCCAGGATGTCGTGAAGAATCCCGTGGAGTTCCTTTGTGAAAGTCTCCTTGTGAATTGCCTTGATTAGCTGCTGCGAATCTGAGGCGATTGTGAGTTGTGTGATGCCGATATCTCGCGCTTGAGTGAGAGCCATAAGGACTGCCAAACCTTCAGCCATAAGTGGAGATTTGATGTGTCTTCGTGCGTCTGCGCCTTGCTGTAATGTGGAGTTATAAAGGTTTCCTTATAGACTCATTTACCACTCTAAATGTACTAGTTTTTGGAAACATTGGGCTAACCTCTACAAGTTTTCAAATACTTTAATAAAATTGAAAGGTTATGTTAGTAGGCTTCCTTAGAGACCCTTTAACCACACCAAAACGTCAGAAAAGTTTAGTGTTCACTTCGGATATATTTCATTCATTGTTTTAGAAAAATCTTAAAATGTAGTAGGTTTTTTTAAATCGGTGGGTCAACCCCTACGAGTTTCCAAGTATTTTGAAAAATTGGAAGTTTATATTACTAGGTTTCCTTACACACTCATTTACCACGTCAAATGATCGGAAAAATTTAGTGTTTACTTTGGACACATTTCATTTCTTGTTTTGGAAAAATATCAAAATGTACAAGTATTTTTTGAATCGATAGATTAACCCCTATGAATTTTTTATATGTTTTGAAAAATTGAAAACTTCTATTATTATTATGCTTCTTTAGTGACCCTTTAACATGACAAATGGTTGTAAATTTTTTTGTTCACTTTAATTCATTGCATTCATTATTTTATAAAAACCTACAAAAATTACAAACATATTGCTATATTTTTTCTCAGTTTATACATATATAAAATGTCTACATTTGAAAACATTAGTTCAATGTTGTATTCTTTTTGGTTTTTTTTAATGTGAATTTATATACCAAAAAGAAAGCGGAACTTTTCATGTTACAAAAACTTGGCGTATATGGCATATTGTGGAACAAAAAAAAAAGATAAATATTCCAGAAGAAAACATAAAACCGAAAAGGACTATAGTTGCATTACTCGTGCAGTTCAGTGTTTTTCTAACAAGTATCATATGTACAAATGCAAAATATGCAAGTAAAATGCTAAAATCTACGTGCGGGTCAATACCTAGCTAGACTCAAAATACAAGTGTGGCTCTCCATGAATTAAGGGTTGAAATCACAATAAGGATGCTTTGGGATCTTTTAATATATGAAAAGATTACTAAATTATGTACACCGACCACTTTTCCACATAATTACAAAAACTAATCCAAAAAGTTCCCACTCATTCAAAAATAGTTAGGTAAAGGGTAATCATATTCCCGGATCTCCTCTCTTCAGGTTTCAGGTTCCTGGATTTGGAAAAGCTTATTAAAGCTACGAGAGGTGGCTAGACCCCATTTGTTCTGTAAAGTCAACTCGGGAACCTCGGCTTTGTTTTGGCATGATAATTGGACTGGGTTGGGACCTCTTATTGATCTAACAGGAGCAAATGGCCCTCGGATCACAGGGATCCAAAGATTGGCGACTGTGAGTCAGGCGTGTAGTAATTCATCTTGGTCCATCTCAGGAGGAAGACATCCTATTCTAAGGTTTCTTCGTGACTGCCTTCCTCCTGAAATCCCAGCTTCTCTAAATACAAGCCAAGACGTTTTCCTTTGGAAAAATTCTCCACTAGACTCTCCTGGAACCTTCTCGTCTTCAAAAACATGGGACTTCCTTATCCGACAGGCCCCATTCTTGCTTGGTCTAAACCGTTATGGTTTAAGCAAAGGATCCCTAAGCATGCATTCATCATGTGGATAGTCATGAGGGATCGCCTTCTCACACGTGACAGACTTAGGTCTTGGGGACTTCCTGTTCCAGACAATTGCCTTCTCTGTAATGTTTCACAGGAAACAAAATCCCATCTGCTTCTCGATTGCTCCTACTCAAGAGAAGTTTGGGATGCTTTTTTTCCTAGAGCTGGGTTAATTCTGCCTAATTCATTCGAAGAGGTCGTTCTTTGGAGTGAAAACCCCTCACCAAATCAGAAGATTAATACAATATGCAAACTTCTGGTTCAAGCAATTGTCTACTGTTTATGGAGAGAAAGAAATACTCGTCTTCACACCCCTTCTACAAAACCGGTCCACGTTTTGGTAAAGAAAATTCAACTTATCTTAAGAGCTAAACTCTTTATTTTGGATCGCTCTTCCCATGTGGTGATCACCAATGCATCTTCCCTAACTGCTAGTAGGGATGATTCTTTCTTGATCACTTGGTTTAGGTCCTTGCAGGCCTAAATTTTATTCTCTTTTGTTGTTGTTGTTTTTGTGTTTCCCTCTCACCCTAAGCTTCATGCTTCGGGTTGATTTCCTTCCCATTTGTAATTGTGGTTTCCCCTTTTGGGATGATTTATTAATAAAGCGTACTATTCAAAAAAAAAAAAAAAAAAAAGATTTGGATAAAAAAGATTATTTATTTACTAAAAAAAAAAATTCCCGGATCCCGAAACATTTTGATGATCTTTGTTTCATTTAACAGTACTATAACACCATTTGCAATTGAAAAAAGAAACCCGACTAATCTTCTCACGTAGGTATTGTTTTCTTGCTACTAGGAAGTAGGAACTTAATTGGAAAAATCTGTGGACGATCTTTTCCGTAGTCGGATTACAAGTGTACAACTTATACAAGTATATGTGGAAAATAAAGGGCGAACAAGGAGGAATATTAATTTCATAAATAATTAATAAGGGAATTTAGGAATAAGGAATAATAGAAATGTTGACGAGACGAGAGAGTGGTTTCTTAATCAGGGCCATGCAGCAGAAGCAGAAGCAGCACATGCTCCATATCTCTAGCTCATCCAATCTTTTATTAACACTGATTGATTCTCTAAGATCATCCATCCATAATGCATGCCTTTTCATGTTTACAATATATGCGTGGGAATATCGCGTTCCCTCCTGATATTTTATAGTCAGGGCGATACTGACACATGTCCATCGATGCTCTCTCTTAAAGATTAAATCTGTGGTTTAGTTTATTTCTACCGACGACAAAGATTTTTCAGAATATAATGTTATCTTAGCATCTATAGGGCACTTTCGTCTATGGGAGCTTAATTCAATTACTTATATATTCTTAGAATATAATAGATTCGTTTATTTTTTTCAGTTAACACTTCCTTAATTTCTTCTTCCCCGTGTCTTCTCCTTTTTCGTTCTCTCCATAGACTATATACTGTCGCCTGGGAAGTATATGGTAGGATAAATAGTCTGAGTCGATCATGGTTAGGATCTTTATCAGAGACACAATTTCAAGATTGCTATGACGACCATATAAATAGTAGAAAGCCTGGAATCCTCTTGGAAAGAGTTATATCACTAATACTATAACGGAACGTTTCACTTCATTTCTTTTGAATGGTTAGATGAAAGTAGGATCATCAATCATAAAGACTTTCTTCTAGAAGATGGGCGGTGAAGCCCAAGTTGTTAAATGCATGTAAACGATATGGTGATCAATCAACACACAAAGATGATAGGAATTTGCAAAAAAACCACTGAAGATGATAGGATTTTGCAAACAAACCACTGTCCACTGAAGATGATAGGATTTTGCATATACTTTTATCTTTGATCCTCTCGAGATATACTCCTTTTTATGTGTTTCTTAACGCTTTGTGTTGCAAGTGTGATCTTCGTAAGTTTCCCTTTCATGGGGCTTTGATTTCCCATTTTTGTGTCAGTGTCATATTTGTTGACATCCAGCTTCTGTATATCACCATGTATTTGAAATCAATATCAGCGCCGGATAAAAAAAAAAGAAAAAAGAAAAAGGATATCACCTACTCTCTACTACAGAGTAGAGTTAAGGGATGAAAAGTCTTAGGTCTCCTTCAAATCCACTAGGTATAAAACTATATATTCTAAATCAACTTATTTAGTAAATAATTTGCGTTGGTTCTTTAATCATATCAACGGGCACTGGATAATGCGGTTCCGGCCGCTTTAATTGGAGATGACCAATGAAGCCATAAAACCAGGACAATATATATTCTTTTCATTATATATACATCAAGCATAAGCTATAGCGATGCATATTTCTTTAGAATTGCATTTTTAAAACATTAATTTGATACCATCAGTGAGAAGAAAAACATTTGATACAATCGCACCATGTCAAGACTCAAGACTCAAGACAACGCTTTTTGATAAATTATAATTACAATAAGCTTTAATCATGGAAAACTATTACTATATGATATCCAAAGTAGTTAGCAAACTCATCATATATCCTCATCAACTTGCCTTGCATATAAACCCGTCTTTATGTCACCCAATAAATTAGCTAAGAGCATAAAGTAGTAATGTGTTTTGAGTCATATATATGCATGTAAATGACTTTGGAATATAAATATATATCACCTCAGAGATTATAACTTATTACAAAGGGAAGCGATTCCAAAGGAATATCTTCCGTTCTGTCTAATCTTATTCTTTGTTTAACCTATCCATGCATTCCTCTTGTTTATATATTTATTGCTTCCTCTCTAAGGTTTTTGAGTCCTGATCATCTCTCCTTCTAGCCAAGTGAGTAGGTACTATACGTATAAGTATATATAGAGAGAGCACTGGAGCAGAGAAATGGGTTTAAGGTCCATAATATCGACCATCACATACTGTTTGTTCCTTCGCTATCCACACAAGAAGCCAAAGGTTAAAAGTAAGAGCCACCTCAACTATTACCACACCATGCCAAGGGCTCGTCCACTTTCTTTACAGGTATTCTCTTTCCTTTTATCTTTTAATTAACCTCAATTTCATGTCTATAGTTTACTCTCTCATCATGAAGTTAGTCTGTGATTAATTGAAGTATATTTGGTTATATATATGAAAACCTTTCTCCTGACAAACCTTACCAAAAAAAAAAAACCGTCCGTTCTTCTGATATGCCTAATTAACGGAACGACGAAAACTGCAAATGATTTTACTTTCAGGGGAAGAGAGGTATATTTTGTTAAGTTTGTGGTGATGATAGAGGAAGACGAGCTATAGAGTAAATCAAATATTTTAACTACACATAAAGATACACTTAGTTAGCCTTTCTTTAATTAGTAACCCTTGGTTCTGCGGATTTCGTAAGGAAATGTTAGATAAGAAAACAAATTGGCAGATCAAATTCTCGCAAAAAGAATATTAAAGTAATGTTCAAGTGTTTTTTTTTTTTCCCTGTCTGTTAAAAAATCACTTTTGTTTTTTTTTATTGATTCGTTAAGGGGAATCGGACAAAACTGAAGGAAAATGTCAGAAGTTTGTCTCACTAGTGGATGTTGCTATAATTATAAAACCTTTGGCTACTTCACCAAATACAGATGCTCTTCCAATGATTTTTTTTTTCTTTAGATACGTATAGTATCACAAACTATTGATACTAATTAATTACTTTCTAATATATGAATGTTGTGTTAAATATGCAACAAAATAGACGATAGACCTGAAAGTAAGGATGTGCTGTAGTGGATGCGAGAGGGTGGTCAAGCATGCAATTTACAAGCTGAGAGGTAATCAAGTGTGTTCTGTAAAAGAAAATAATTATTTAGTAATATTAAATGAACATTAGAAGAGAAGTTAAAAATCGTGGTGTTTGTGGTGGTGAAGGGGTGGACTCGGTGGAGGTGAACCTGGAGATGGAGAGAGTGACGGTGGTTGGGTACGTGGAGAGGAAGAAGGTGCTGAAGGCGGTGAGAAGAGCTGGTAAGCGCGCCGAGTTTTGGCCCTATCCGGACATGCCTCGCTACTTCACTTCCTCCGACCACTACTTCAAAGACACAACCCGCGAGTTTAGGGAGAGCTACAACTACTACCGCCATGGCTACAACCTCAGCGACCGTCACGGTCATATCCACGTCACTAACCGTGGGGACGACAAAGTCAGCAACTTCTTTAACGACGACAACGTCCACGCTTGTCGCCTTATGTGATCGATCTTCCTATATATGTACATGTATCTTTATTTGTTTCTACATGTGGTATTGTCAATAGGGTTAATTAATAGATTTGTATGCATAAGCGAGACAAAAAAGGAAAGAAAACGAATCAAAAGAGCAATCTTTCAATGTTACATTGGAAAAATGAAATAGTTAAGAGTTTAATAGTAAAATGGTAGATGAGTTTTGTCTCGATCGACCAATACACCGAACTTTGAACTAAACCAAGAGTGAGCGGATCAAGTGTAGGATAACAAATTCATAATGATTCGGTGGTTGAAAAGAAGGGAGCAAAATTGGAGTTTTTAATTATGATTGACCACTGTAAATACTGTATGAATGACAAAAATATTCGTCTCTTCCACCATTCCAGAATGGGTGTGAGATTTGATCCAGTTAAAGTATTAATCAGATATATACAGAAGAAAGTAGTAGAGTCGAGCAAAAGAAACTCAGAAAATGGTATAAAAAAAAAGGTAGTAGAGTCAAGCAAGAAAGACTTATTAACTTCTCTCACTGCGGGCCATGGATTTGAGTAGAAACGGGCTTCAAGGCCCAATATGTAAAAACGATACTCAATAATTATAATCCGCAACAACTTGTCCATACAATCTTCAACAAAAGTCATCGATAAATTTATAATCAATCCATTTCAATTTTGCCATCTTGAATGTGTAAAACTTGGTCTGTACTGTAAATGCATATTCCATCATCCATGCATGATCAATCTATATTCTATAATCTATCATCCACAACAACATGTCCACAACACTATGTACACAATATGATCCACTTTTTGGTAGTCAACATAAATGCATCATGCATGTGTATATGGTCGGATACGAAACCATTCATTCAGTCAGTCACCTTTCCTTTTGAGGGAGAAAATGAAAAAAAAATCAGTTCCATAAATTGACCTATTTGATGAGTCAACAAAGAACACCGTTCATTTATAAAGAAGAAGAAAAGGAAACAAGCAAAGAGTATCGAACAACTCGAATCGAATGCGCCGTTACGAATTACGATGCACCGCATTCCAACGAATTACGAATTTTACTTTATATATATATATATTCACTCACTAATTAATACTGTATATAAAGGAAAACATTATATTATCGCTTTCTTGGTGGAGAAAATAAAGAGAGGAGGCCAAACAAGGGAAGGCAGGTCCAGAGTTGGTGGTGGTGGTCGAGATCCGGCGTCGTCGGGTTTCCTCCTCCTCCTCCTCCTTGGATGATGAAGATTTCGGGCGGCGTGGTTGCTTCTGTCATTGCCTTGTCCACCGCTGCTCTCTCTTCTTCCTCCGCTCTTCCACCAGTCTCCCCCAAGGTTTTTTTTTTTTTTTTTTTTTTTTTTTTTAATTAACATTTGCGATTACAGATGGGCTCGAATTGGACTGAATTGCTCCGAGTCTCATATGAATGGTTTCATGTTTGTGTTGAATTGAAATGAATGAGCAGGGGTGGGAATCTAAGAAGACGATTGGGTCGGAGAAATTCGAGCCGAGGTTTGATGGGCTGAGGTTCATAGAGACGCTGGTCACAGCACACAGATAGATTCGGGCGTGTCCTGAGTGCTGCAAAAGCTTTGACACAAAGCGTGAGTGCGTCACTTGGGTCTTGTCTTCTTCTGTTTTCTTTTATTTACATTTACATTTGTAAAACATTCTTTCTTGCTTCCAAGGGAGATATGATGCTAAATTGAGAGCAATTCAGTTTTGGTGCTTGGAAATCATCGAGTTTGTCAAGTTGCTTGTATTGGAAACTGGTTGATTCCTGCTATATGCTTGCTTAGTTGAGTTTGTCTGACATTTCAACGAGGGTTAGTTAGTTGTTTGTGTCTTTCTCCATGTAGCTGTCCCAAACCAAATAACCCAACAAGTGTTGTAATAAGAGCATGAGAGAAGAAGAGGACAAGAATGATCTGTAAGTAAAGGAATCCGAGAGCAAGCAAATGGCAATTAAAACAAGAAAGATGCTCTCTCTCTCTCTCTCTCTCTGCTCTGTTCCAGAGACAACTGACTTACAGCTCATCCAAACCAACATTACTCTCTCTCTCTCTCTCTCTCTCTTTCTTCCTTTTTTTTTCTAATTATTTGTTTATTACTGTTTGTTTACTTTGAAATTTAGTGAATCCTAACGCTCTGGCCCCATCCCTGCCTCCTCTATCATCTCCCTACAGCCACTCACTCACACTCCTCTTTCTCTCTCTCTCTCTGCTCCTCACTCCCATCCATGGCGTCTTCCCAGATCCTCTTCTCTCCCTTGTGCTTTGCTCTCATCTTCTTCTTCTTCTTCTTCTCTCTTCCTCTCATCGCCACCTCCATTGGCATCAACTACGGCCAGGTTGCCAACAACCTTCCTCCCCCCAAGAACGTCATCCCTCTCCTCAAGTCCGTAGGCGCCACCAAAGTGAAGCTCTATGACGCCGATCCACAAGCCCTCCGTGCCTTCTCCGGCTCCGGCTTCGACCTCACTGTCGCCCTCGGCAACGAGTACCTGGCCCAGATGCAAGACTCCGGCAAAGCCCGGGATTGGGTGAAGCAGAACGTCCAGGCTTACCTCCCGGGCACCAAGATCGTGGCTATAGTTGTCGGCAACGAAGTCCTCACCTCCAACCAGTCAGCCCTCACGGCGGCCCTCTTCCCGGCGATGCAGAGCATCCATGCCGCCCTTGTGGACTGCGGCCTGAACAAGCAGATCTTCGTCACGACGGCGCACTCGCTGGCCATCCTGGACGTCTCCTACCCTCCCTCCGCCACCTCCTTCCGCCGCGACCTCCTGGCGTCGCTCACTCCCATCCTGGACTTCCACGTCAGGACAGGCTCCCCAATCCTCATCAACGCCTACCCTTTCTTCGCCTACGAGGAGAACCCCAAACACGTCTCCCTCGACTTCGTCCTCTTCCAGCCAAACCAGGGCTTCACAGATCCTGGCTCCAACTTCCACTACGACAACATGCTCTTCGCCCAGGTCGACGCCGTCTACCACGCCCTTGACGCCGTCGGCATCAGCTACAAGAAAGTCCCCATCGTTGTCTCGGAGACCGGATGGCCCTCCAACGGCGACCCGCAGGAGGTCGGGGCTACCTGCGACAATGCCCGCAAGTACAACGGGAACCTCATTAAGATGATGATGAGCAAGAAGATGAGGACTCCCATCCGACCCGACTGCGATCTCACCATCTTCGTCTTTGCTCTCTTCAACGAGAACATGAAGCCTGGACCCACCTCCGAGAGAAACTACGGTCTCTTCAACCCCGATGGAACTGCCGTTTACTCTCTTGGGATCAAGACCTCCTCTGGCTCTGGTACTAGTACTAGCGGCTCCAAAAACTCCACCGGTGGAAGCAGTAGCAGTGGCGGTAACACTGGTGGCTCCTCCGCCGGCGGCGGTGGCGGCGTCTACACGCCTGGGATCACCGAGAACCCTTCACCGGATTACATGTCCATTTCTTCCTCCCCCAGGGTAAATTTTTCGACTTTGAACCTCATTTCTTGTTTTACTCTACCAATCTCTAAGCAATCATTTTGGTTTTCTTTGAAAAGTCAAGAGCTAAAAGAAATTACAAAGATTGAGCATGTAAAAATGTGGTATAGACGTATAGTTAGTGTGACTTTGGGTGAAAGTTGGAATCTTTTTTCTAAACTCGATAAATGTGACTGTGTGGAAAAGGTCGAACTCGGTGACAAAGTGTTGTGTATTGGCTATCACGTGGAGATGACTCTTGCTTGGTCACTTTTGTCTGAAGTATCATTGAGATTGAGTGCCCCTCTTTTTGACCTTGTTGAAAAAACAAAAAACAAGGAGGGAGTGACATATGCAGCTTGTTTTTGGTTGTTGACGTTTTGCAGGAAAAAGGCAGATTCGTAGAGTGTGTGTTCTTCTTCCTCATGCTTTGCATCATCAAGCATCGGCTGTAAAAGCGCCCCCACTACATCTCTGGGCTTTGTACCTTTAAATCTGGTGATGACGGACGTGAAATAGCCCCCAAATTTAATTTAATTAGAGTTTGGTCGGAGGCGTCTTTCTATATGTGGAACGTAAATTGGATTTATTAGGAAACTCACCATCTTTGTTGTGCCAAGTTTTCACCCTTCTTTTTCTCTTTCGGTCTATGGCCTTGTTGTTGATGCATAGATATTAAAATAATGAAAGCTTAGTTGATTTATTTTTTTCTAAGATGATCATAGCTTTAGGACGAGAGTGTAGCAGACATAATCTTGGCACATATTAAGTGCTATTTTTTTTCTTAAAGGGATAACATGTTAGTGTATGTCCTTCAACAAATTACCTCCCAATTTATACACCTCATACCAATCAATCTATGGTCCCCCAACCATTCAATGTAATCTCTTCCATCACAAACCAACCACAATACACTTATACACTATACTAATTATTTCAGCTGTCACTTCGGACACAGATATATATATATATATATATATATATATATATATATATATATATATACAGATCCAACAAAGGCATATATGTGCGCACAAAGTTTGCCTACTTCACCAACTTTTCTAATCAGCCACTTTGTCGATCATATGAAAAGCAAAGACTCGGCACAAGGTATTGCATTCTAAACAAAATGACTAAAAAGAAGCAGAGAAGAGAAGGCAGTTTTCCAGATGGGTCCTGACGATGATCAGGTTTACACTCAATGATCCTGTCAAACAAAGTATGCTTCTTCCTTACAATTAAAATTCGTCTTCAAGCTTCAGCCAAGTCTTCTTCCTCATCATCAACAACAAAGTATGGGTTATGCACCTTTGGCCTGAACTAGTAGCCAGTAAACACTAAACAGATAGAATGCAAGTGTAACTTGCTGGCAACAACACTGGACCCTTAAAAACAAAGTATTCGACTTGAGGAAACATATCAGATTAACAACATAAAGAGGAGACTAAATTAAGGCACACTACTTACTTAATCTCTCCAACTCTTCTAAACATCCATAAGAACCGAACATAAAAGATACAAAATAGAAGAAGAAAAAAAAAAGACCTCTTTCTTTATCATCCTCAAAACTTCACCAAGACGTCTTCTCTAATGTTGGGGTTTGAACAAAATCAACAATTAACAAGAAAAAAAGACGAAGCAACATTAGACATCTTAAAGCTCGTCGTGAGACTCATCTTCCTCCTCGGTCGCCGAGTCTCCACCAGCACCTGGTGCACCACCGGATCTCTGATAAACGGCTGTGATAATTGGGTTACACACTGCCTCTACTTCCTTCAACTTCTCGTCGTAATCCTCTTTCTCAGAGTTTTGGTTCTCGTCAAGCCACTCCAAGGCTTCTTTTGTGGCAGCTTCGATCTTGTCCTTCTCGTCCGCCTCCAATTTGTCAGCAAGCTTGTCCTTGTCGCTCACTTGGTTCTTCATGTTGTACACGTACGTCTCGAGGCTGTTCCTTGCGTCGATCCTCTCCTTGACCTTCTTGTCTTCCTCTGCAAACTCCTCTGCCTCTTTCACCATCCGGTCAATCTCTTCCTGGCTCAGACGACCCTTCTCGTTTGTGATTGTGATCTTCTCTGATTTACCACTCGCCTTGTCCTCTGCTTTCACGTTCAGGATACCGTTGGCGTCCACTTCAAAGGTCACCTCGATTTGAGGTGTTCCTCTGTGCCATCATAACAAGATTTCAGATCAGATCATGGTTTTGATTATTCTACCATTATTACTAAAAAAAGAGAGGCAAAATGACAAACCTTGGGGCCGGTGGGATTCCGGTAAGGTCGAATTTCCCGAGCAGCCTGCAGTCCTTGGTGAGACTTCGCTCACCTTCAAAGACCTGAATGGAGACCGTCGTCTGCTGGTCTTGGTAAGTCGTGAAAACCTGAGATTTCTTGGTCGGAATAACAGTGTTTCTCGGGATCAGCTTTGTCATCACTCCTCCGACGGTCTCAATACCCAAAGTGAGTGGCGCGACGTCAAGAAGAAGGATGTCTTTGGTCTCGTCACCGCCTTCTCCGCTCAAAATGCCACCCTGGACAGCGGCACCGTAAGCAACAGCCTCGTCGGGGTTGACACCCTTGTTCGGCTCTTTCCCCTCAAAGAAGTCCTTCAAGAGCTGCTGAACCTTGGGGATCCTGGTGCTCCCACCGACAAGGACAATCTCATCGATCTGGCTCTTCTGTAGGCCAGCATCATCCATGGCCTTCTTCACGGGTCCCATGGTCTTCCTGAACAAGTCATTGTTGAGCTCCTCGAAACGAGCTCTGGTGAGCGGCTCGGAGAAATCAGTGCCATCAAAGAGGGACTCGATCTCCACACGGACTTGGTGCTGGCTACTAAGAGCTCTCTTGGCCCTCTCACATTCCCTGCGGAGCTTGCCAAGAGCCTTGTTGTCCTTGCTGATGTCCTTTTGGTGCTTCTTCTTGATCAACTTGATAAAGTAGTCCATGACCCTGTGGTCGAAGTCCTCACCTGCAAAAGATTCCATTCCAAAAGGGGTGGTCACACCAAAGGACCAGACACAGAACAGAAAACATGCATCTCTAGACTCAAGTCATGGGTAAGTTACCTCCCAAGTGAGTGTCACCGTTTGTGGAGAGAACCTCAAAGACTCCATTATCAATGGTCAAGACACTGACATCAAAGGTACCACCACCAAGGTCAAAGACGAGGATGTTCTTCTCACCACCCTTCTTATCAAGACCGTAGGCAATAGCAGCAGCAGTGGGTTCGTTGATGATTCTAGCAACATTTAGACCAGCAATAACACCAGCATCCTTTGTCGCCTGCCTCTGGGCATCATTGAAGTAAGCTGGAACGGTGACAACAGCGTCCTTGATTTTCTTTCCAAGATAAGCTTCAGCAGTCTCCTTCATCTTGGTAAGAATCATGGCACTGATCTCCTCAGGAGAGAAGACCTTGGTCTCACCATCCTTGATCTTGACTTGAATGTATGGCTTGCCATCCTTGTTCACAATCTGGTAAGGTACAAGCTTCCTGTCCTTTTGGACTTCTTTGTCCTCGAATCTGCCGTGAAGAGAAACAAAGAATTAATTGCCAGGACAAAGAGAAAGCCAGAAGACGAAGAAGAAGAAGAGCATGTAATTACTTTCTCCCGATCAATCTCTTGACGTCGAAGATGGTTCGCTCAGGATTAACAGCCGCCTGGTTCTTAGCAGCCTCACCAATGAGCCTCTCGGAGTCGGTGAAACCAACCCAGGAAGGTGTAATACGGTTTCCTTGGTCATTGGCAATGATCTCAACATGGCCGTTCTTGTAAACACCAACACAAGAGTATGTTGTGCCCAGATCTATCCCTATCACTGATCCCAACTTGGTGGCCTCTTCTTTAGCCGTGGAAAACGCAAATAGACATCCTAAGCACAAATTTCAAATTCACAACTTAGTCTTGCAATCACTGAGTACAGACTACCTATTATGCCTGCTAACAAATCCGCAACCTAATTGTCCAAGCATCGAACAAATATCTCAAGTTCGCGGTTATCTCTACTGTATAATATTGTAAACAAACAACGAAATTGATAATTTAAACATCAATGCAGAGGCAGAAGATATACGAATAATCTCAGAGAAAGACAATTAGATGGAGTCGTATAGAGTGAAGTAGAGATGAGAGAGAAAATCACTGACCGAAGAAGATGATCGCAAGCACAATAGTGCCGTTTGCTCCGAACGAGCGAGCCATACTTGCGTGTTCGATCTCGAGAGAGAGCTTCTTTGATTTATTTAATTTTTAGTTGGGAGTTTCGAGCTTGCTCCGAAGCTTTTATACGTATAATAAAAGATATCTAGCTAGTCCCCGAAGGTGATGGTGAAGTAGTCGCTTTTTATGAGGAAGAAGAAGAAACATAAAACTTATGTCATCGGCGATGAGCTGGACCAATCATATCACGACGATCTACAACATCAGCCAATCAGATTTGGTCTTGTGTTGGAGTAATCGTGGCCGTTGGCTACTTACTCCGTTTCTTCTTCTCCATTCTAGAGAATGGGCTTTTTCTGTTTGGTTTAGGCCCAGTCTTTTGAGTCTTGGTCAGTCACATCAAGTCCACACGTCTTTGTACTTTGTAGTTATTAACTAACTAACGACCAAAATCTAAAATCTCAGTGATAAACTTAGAAACTTTCCGCACTTACAACTTTTTGTTGTACTAAAGAAGAATTAACTTAACCCTAAAAGGCTTAAAGAAGAGAAACTGGGCATTGGTTTTGGTAGAAGAACAAGGATTTTCATTGAAGATAACTCTGTCGATTGTACAAGAAATATTGATGATCGACTCTAAAGTCTAAAGTCAAAGCTAGAGAGAGTGTAGAGTGTAGAAACAAACAGTGAAGATAGTTACGATTCATATCATATGTTTCTCTAACTGCAATATTCACACACCATCTTCATCTTCATCTTGATCTTCAAGCAAAGCATCTAAGAAGATTGAGGAGGAGCGTTTCTGGACTTGCTGCTCATACTCATCAATGCCTTGAACATGAGACTCTTATTCCCCTTTCTCGAAGAAGATTGCTTAACCTCCACTATCTCTGTATTTCTCGACACAGATACCGCTCTTTGTGGTTCCTTGTTTTTACACAAACACAGAGCAGAGGATAACTTAGTGTTGAAAAACCAAAGCTGAATTATTTGGCTGATAATACAAACACACAAATACACAAGTGGTATTACGTACCAGTATTCTTGGCTGGCTTGGGGAGCTCGAACGCTTCAGTAGAGATCCTGAACGTAAGAAAGGAAGTCTCATAGGAGAGTTTGATCTTTTACCTGCAACATTCACAGCACTTACTTTACTCGTCTGAAATCTTACAAAAACATCATTGTGTTTACTTGTTGTATGATCTACTTGGTGTTCTGTTGCTCGTGTTGTTCTTGTTGCTGTGTAGGATGGGTGAGAAGGAGAAGCTTCCTGTCTTGTTACCAGATTTCCTGCATTTTATCAAGATCACAAACAATGAAAACAGAGACACAAGAAGAAGAAGATGGAGATTGTTGGAACAAGATTGATTCTACCTTGCAGTATTTGGGTGGTTTTCCAGTATTGTTGATCGAACAGCTTTCAAGGAAACCATGAGAAAGTTTCAGATAACATATATAACTTAAACAATCGGAATATAACTTAAACAATCGATATGTAAAGTTACCACTCTTGAACCGATGTGAGTCATCTCCTGCAGAGAAACTTGTGCCTCTTCCATGTTCTTTGTATGCAAGAATTTGTAATAAAAGATTTGATCAGATTGAATGATGATGTAATTGGAATGGATGGGGAAAAAAAGGGGTTTCAAGGGTATACGAGGGAAGAAGTAACGCTTATGATGGTGAGGAGGTCGAATGAGAAAGCAATGCTGATAAGTCCCACTCTTCCCCGCGTACTCTCTCCATAGTTTCATCCTCTACAACACAAACGCAATGTGAGACTCTGACGTGTTCTTCCGATTACAGTTCCAAGATTCAGTGAGTACTTACTTGTTCGAGGGAAGCTAAACGAAGATGAGTGGTGGAGAAATGGGTTGAGTTATCAGAGAGAAAGGAGTTGAATTTGTCAGAGACCGAACCAAGATGATCCACCGTGTTCACTACTGCCTTGGCTGCATACTCTTTCAACGTCTCTATCACCCTAACAATAACACCATTCATTCATTCATTCTCTCTCTCTCTCTCTCTCTCGCAGAATATAAAATATTATCAAGAAGATATTTACGTTTCTTTGTGTTCTTCTTTGCCATAAGATGCTTCGAAGTACTCAGCAGCTGAGTATAATTGTTTCCGGAGATTCTTCAAATCCTTAAACATAAAAAAAAGAAACAAACAGGAGGCAAGATGAATCTTGAATGAAGACAAAACACCTTGCTGATCGATCAATCTATGATTGGGGAAAGAGGTAGAGAATAATCAAACCTTGAGAGTTTCTGAGAATTGAAGAGTCTGTTTCATGAAGAGTTCGTCATGATTGGAAGATTGATGAAGAACGATGGCTAAAGAGGTAGAGGTCGCCATTTCTGTTCCGATTTAATGAGATGAGATGAGATGAGAGAGAAAGAGAGAAGAACTGAAGAAGAAGAAGATAATGGAGTAAGTAGGAGTCATCCAAGTGGAGCCACTGCACACTCTTTAAACACATTCCATACTTTCTTTACAAGCTAATACAATCTTCTTCTAAATGTGTTTATTTACAAAAAAAACACAAAATTGAATCAAAAAAGAAATTTAATTTGTGATTGGGTTTAAAAGAGACTTAAAAATAAAAAGCAGCCGAGAAATCAACCTGGGGAAATGCATTTTGGCCATCATTTATGAATAACCAAAATTATTTTAATGAAATTTGTTAAAGCATTAATGATGGGATCAATTATGAAATAGGCTACAAGTCAGAAAAATCGGAAGGAGATTGTAGTTGGAAATTAATGGAGCAGAAAGTAGAGAAATAATAATTTAACATTTTTTTGTTAATTAATTAAAGAGAAAACAACTTGTCAACAATTTTGAATCTCTCTAGTCCCTTTCTTGTAAAAAATGATGAAACATAGACGCAAAGAATAGGGTGGGACACACAAAAAGGAATCAAAATTCAATCACGGACTCGTAACTCTCCATTCATGCATATGTCGACCAAGCACACGACAAAAACACCAAAATGATGTCGAAATCAGAAATGCAGGCACGAGGGGCAGTAACATATAGCCAAAATCCAATGAATAGTTTCAAGCAAGATCATAATGCATTAGTGTGATGTCCTAAATGAAGATTAGACGATACCCTCGAGCTCTCTGGACTCTGGGTATGTCCTTGGGTGCAGATTCTTTGGGTTTGTGGAAGACAAGGGACCCATCTTTCAGTTGCCATATGTTAATCGCATAAGAGTTGTTGATCGGAAGAGAAGAGCAACATCTCGATTCTCGCTGACTGAGACTGAGAGAGATGATCATACGCTTTCCTAGCTATTTCCATCTCTTGTGGTTTTTGCCAAATCTAGTGTGGGCCGTGAATGAGCCTGACTAAGGCAGGTATAAACCCATACCAAAACTAATGGGCTTTAACATCTTACTAAAGCCCAATAGAAGCTTCCGGGGGTATTAGTAAATAGTAATACGACAATACGTGTTATGCGCAGCAGAGTCAGGCTGACACAGTCACTATCTTCCTTTCTCGTCAACGCGTTTTTGTGGGGACTTTTTGCCTTACCCTCTAAGACATAATCAAAAGGGACCCAACTACTGCTACACTATTCAATTCCTCTCTCCTCTCCTTAATGTGCCACGTCGATTCCGATTCTTCTTCTTCTAGACCGCGTCTCATCTAGCTGCCGCCGTTGCGACCAAATTTACCTAAACATAGATCAGTGTTTTGGTTTGAAACTTTGAATTATTAAAATTTTTAATTAATGATTTCATTATGTTTTCCTCTGTGTTCTAAAAGTCGGCCGAGTTGCCGAGTACTCGGTCCTAAAACCGTCAGAAGGAGGTTGCCGTTCCGACTTTTTAAAAACCGAGTAAAGATATGGTCAACCGTTGACCGTACTTTGACATTCACATTCACATTTTTTTAAAATCTAGTGGGCTAAAGTTTGATTTTTGTTCACAATTAGTCCCAATTCACCCAAAGTGTGTAAATGCACTTTTCATTCAACATAAAACCTTAAAAATGTAGTATATGACTTTTATATTGATGTATTATATATAAAAAAAAATGTTATTTGGTAATAATGTAGTATATGATTTTCATGTTGATGTATTATATATAAAAAATTAAAAATGTTGGAAATATATAAAAATGTACTTAAAATTAATTTCCGAGTACTCTCCGATTTATTTCCGACTTTTAAGAAAATCGCTAGAAGAGACGGAGCGCCCTAGTACCGCCTAACGAGTTTTAGAACACAGGTTTTCCTTAGTATAGAATTAACAAACAATAGATTAATTACATTCATTTTTTATTTCTTTGTAGTAATACACTTTGCCAGATTCACACGCAACCTCGGAAAAATAAATAAATAAATAAATAGTGGTTTGTCACGTTCCTGGAAATTTCTACTCGGGGGAGGATGTGTAAAGTATATAATAAAAGGAGACACACACTCGCTCCAATCAAAACCTTACAACTTTTCTTCCTCTCTACAAAATTCTTTTCTCACCAAATCTTCTCTGCTTATTAAAAACCCACCCAATTTCGGTTCTCACATATTCACAACCAAAACATATTTACTTTCGATAATCCCCCAAAGATGGATAATAACAATCAGCAGTCGTTTTGGCAGTTCAGCGACCAATTGAGAGTCCAGAATATGGCGAATCTGTCGCTAAACGACTCGATCTGGAGCTCAAACTCCGTCTACAAACGCACCGACGAGCGTAGAAACCTGGACATAACAACCGCCGACAAAAACCCAATCGAGTATCTGAACCAGAAGAGCAACGCTGGTTCCGACAGCTGGAGCAACTGGAAGTCTGGATCCGACGGTTTCGGACCCGTGGGCTCAACAAAACCCACCGTCAATCTAAACACCCCGTTCAACGACACATGGAAGTTCAGCTCCAGCGTCAACGGCGATTTCAACAAGGGGATCTACTCCTCTCCGACTCCGAGCTATGGCTACAAGAGCAAGAGCAAGGGGATCGCCGATGAAGATCACTCATCGATCCCGAAAGGAGGGAAGAAGAACCGGAAGAATCAGCGGCACAACAACGAAGTCGACGGTGGCGGTGGCGCTCTGGACAAGAGGTTCAAGACACTCCCTCCGGCGGAGGCTCTGCCGAGGAACGAGACCATCGGAGGGTACATCTTCGTCTGCAACAACGACACCATGGAGGAGAACCTGAAACGGCAGCTTTTCGGGTTGCCGCCGCGGTACAGGGACTCGGTGAGAGCCATAACGCCGGGGCTTCCGCTCTTCCTCTACAACTACTCGACTCACCAGCTTCACGGGATCTACGAGGCGGCGAGCTTCGGGGGAACAAACATAGAGCTGAATGCTTTCCAAGACAAGAAAAGCCCAGGCGAGTCTCGGTTCCCTGCGCAGGTGAGGGCCATCACCAGGAAAGTGTGTCTCCCCCTCGAAGAAGATTCTTTCCGACCCATTCTCCATCACTACGACGGCCCTAAGTTCCGCCTCGAACTCACCGTCCCTGAGGTATGTCTCTTGTCAATGTCTCCTTTGTTTTTCATTTTCATTTCATGACCCCTCTCCTCTCCTTGTTAATTAATACTGTATATTATTGGTTGTGGCAGGTGCTTTCTCTATTGGACATTTTTGCTGAGCAAAACCCTTGAATTGATTTATGTCTAAGAAAAATAGTAGAGAACATGAAGAACACAGTAAGGTGATTTTAAACTTTACAAGACATACCCGGCGGCCCGAGTAGAGAAGGATTATTAATAATTGTCTCAAGAAAATGGTGCTTGTTTATACTTTATACAGTTTTCAGTGTTTTTTTCTCCAAAAAAGATATGTGAAATTAGAGAGAGACGGGGGATCAAGAAATACCACCCCACTTGTTTGTGTAAAGTAAATAACGTTTCATGTGTACATCCATAATAGAACCAGATATATGATATCCAAGATATACATTGGTCTAATTAAATTACAAACTCTTCTTGGTTTGCACTTCTTTCACCTTTCACTTGTTCAACTTGCTACGACTTTAACTTGTTTTTGCTGCACAAAGCAAAAACAAGAGCACAAAATAAGAGATCATTGCTCAATACTTTAGTTAAACGTTTATTATGTCATGTTAAAAGGCATTTCTCAAACAAAAAGGGATGGATAATTTTCTAAATCTGCTAAAATATTGGTTCTGATTCTGAGCAAATTTGATCTTCGTAATGATACTAGTAATTGTAAGCAAATGACACACATCCTATTTATTTACCTTAGCTACGAATCAGCGGTGGATTTAGAGTCACCACCACGACCGAATGCGACCTCGTCCATGCTCTGGCCGATGCGGCGGTATCTACCTCCGGCCTCCACAAAAGCGGGACAAGGCCTGTAAGCCTTAATGGGCCACCACCCGAAGCCAGGGACAGTAGCAATGCCGCCTTGAATCCGTCCGTCACCGTTACAACCACTCTCTTTCTCCTCCTTCCCGCACCCTCTGCAACCACTGTTGAATCAATCTATTTACAAGATTAGTAATTCAATTCCACTATTTACACAATTAGATTTCCAAAAGGGTACACACCTGAAGGTGTCGTCATCAGTTTCTACGACGGAGGCCGGCGAAGAAGACAGTGGACGATTAAGATGCTTTGAAGAATGATTAAGGATGAGACGGCTCGAGGTCGGCGATGGGTTATGAAGCCACGGGCTTTGCTTGTTGACGATGAAACATGGCGATAGAGAGATTGAAGAAATCGAACTCGCCATCTCTCACCAGCCTGAAAAGATAATGATCTTCAATGGCCACAAAATCAAAATTCAAAAACCAAAAAAAGAACACTGGACCCCACTCTTCTTATTATAATTAAACGCTTTGGATGGGCCTTACTAATACAAATTTGACGGCATTTAAGAGCCCATAAAGGGCAGATTACATGGGTCTAGATGGGCCTTACTAATTTAGGAATTAGGATTAACATGTTGTATGCTAAAACATCAATCTTCTAATGACGGTTTTTGTTTGGTTTTTCTTTCTAGTCTGTCTTTTAGCATCAACTTTCTATCGAACAAGATGAATAATAACAAGACAAAATCTCTACATAAAAGCAGCAGTATCGTCGGTATCTCCGAGCTCAATCATATATCGGGTGATTGCCACAAAGGTAAACAAACAGGCAGAGGAAAAAACACACAACAAAACGAAACCGTCTCGACTTCCAGGTCAGCGAGCAAAACAGTCACTTGGACCAAGCGACAGCGTCGATCTCTGATTGGGCAGCTCGGTACAACTCCAGACGCTTAGAGATGGCGCTGCGTCTCTCCATGATCGCTGGGTCTTCGTTCAATAGCGATGAGAGCCTCTTCATCTGTTGGAAATTTCCAAAATTCACATGGCACACACTCGTTCATGTTTCAGAATTAAGACAACAATATATTAAAAAAAAAAAAAAAAGGCAGGGCGCAGGAGAGAACTTACGTCCATGGTACCCAGCTCGGCAAAGAAATGGTCGAGGAGGCTGCGCTTGGCTTCTCTGACTTGGCAGTAGACGATAGACTTGGGGATTGAGTTCCGCAGGCCAGCACAGACCATGTTCACGTATGACAGAACATTGGATCCTGTGTGAAAGGAGAAAAGGTCAGTGTATTGACGTGAGGTAGGGGAGGAATATAAAGGTAAAAACTGCTTTTGAGTTTGACTTACCGATTCGTCTGAGATAGGAATCGTTGTAGCGGTCGAAGATGGAGTGCGTGGGGTTGCCACCCTTTTCAACATCCTGGGGAAGCTTCCTGAAGAAGTCAACAGTCAGGTAACTGCACTCCATGTCCACCAGCTGCAGTGTTGCTTTCTTGCTTCCCTCTCGCATTTTGTCCAGCGACTCTATCGCCGCGTTTGTCACCTCCACTCTCAGAGCTGGGTATTGCTTCAGTTCCTGCACATGTGTTCAACCCAACATTCGATTCCACCAAACTAATAAGTTATACTATTACTATAATAAAAAAAGCACTAGACAACGTACCACCGTCTCATTCACAGACTTGTGAACCAGATCCTTCAAGATCGCATGAACCTAGTTATATTATATTAAGAAAACCAAGGTGAGAAACAGGAGAGACGCTTATTTCATTTTGTTTCAGAGACTCAAGTTTGAGTTAATACAGTGTCAACAGATGCTTCAGCAGGGCCTCGGATGGAGACGATAGAAGACTCGATGAGACGACGGTAACCTTGCTCCGGAGCAATCAAGTGAGGCTGGTAACCGTCAGCCTCTGTGACCAGCTTCCGGATGTTGTCCATTGCAAGCTGCTTGTCAAACTGAAGTCTCTTCAGAGCCGCCGGAAGCTGGTTATCAAACACGTTATACACCTTCTCACCACCGGCACGCCTGTGTCATATCAACCAAATTGCACCTCACACACTATAACTAACTACTCATTGTTTTAGTTTAAAACCTTAGCAGCAAAAATGGTCAAAACGTACACTCCATCGAGATGCTCCTTGAATATTTGATCGAAAAGCCTACATATCTCCATTATCGAGTACAATTTCCCCTGCACCAAAACAGTAATTAGATTTTGATAACTAAGAATCCAGTTCAAAGACAAAAGAATACACAATCTTACCCCTGCATCAGCTGCAATAGGCTTTCCAAGGCGACTTAGTTCAGCTTCCAGCTCTAGCACTGTTTTGTTAATAAGCGACTGGATGCCTGGAATTCTTGACTTGATCACATGTTCTAGATGCTGTGCAAAAAATAATTACAAAAGTGTTGTATAAGGCTCTATTTCAACCGCAACAGCTGATGGTTGTTTATAGGGAAACATGTTGAGTATTGCCTACAAAATTCGTAGCAGGTTCTTGTGATACTTAAATATATTTTCTCATTGTGTTGGTTTCCTAAGAAAACAATTATCTTGGATCCTTACTACTACTATTTACCAGTCCTAACAACTATTTATCATCCAAATTTCTAAAGACCCTGTTGAAGAAACCTAGATGAATTCTCGTGAAAGCGCTTACCTTGGAGAGCATCTTTGCCAAATACTCAGAACCCATTTTATGTGCAAGGTGCCTATACTCGGTAGTATTGGAAAAGTACTCCCTCTCTCTTCTCCTAGCCGCAATCATGTCGACACTCTTGTTAATATCTGCTTGGGAGCGGTTGACAACACCAACCCATGGATATTTGAGTTTAAAAGATTTCCCTTCCAGGATCTGCACAAATAACATAATTTAATATGTAGCAGGGCACACAATAGACGTTAATGAGGAAACATCTGTATTGTGTTACCACAAAAATTAGGAAAAGAAATCATTCTGCAACACGTTTTATGCACAATAATTGCAGCTTATAGTACATATATTATTCTATCATTTAGTAAGGCAACTTACTTCCACTGCGTCGGTCCCTTTGTCCATAAGATCGATCTTGGTCAAGACACCAAATGTTCTCTCCCCTGTGGAGATCACAAAGAGTATAAGAGACATAACAGGTCGGGTTTCTTAGGCGGGGAAATGAATGGTTTGCCAAATGCTTACCAGACGGATCAACCTCACGGGAAATTTTAATTGCATCTGAGGTAGCGAGATCTTGGTTTGCAGGTGAAATTGCCAAAATGATGCAGTTGGGCTATAAGGAAATTTGATTAAACATAAATAATAATGTCAACTTGTTTCCGATACGGAAAAATAACTATGCATTATCCAAGCTAAAGAAAACTGGCAATAAGCTGTCGATAAACATTAAAAGGGTCTGCGACTAAGGATTTCCTTTACCTTTTCAATGTAGGACCGAACCATATTTTCAATGTCCTTGACTATACTTTCAGATTGCCCCTCTGCATCAACCACACAAAAATATGGAGTTATGCTAAGCTCTATGGTAGAGAAATAGACTTGAAGTATATGCTCTATTGTTCCAGCACGGAGTGCAGTTAATGTAACATACCAACAGCAACTTTTGTTAGCCCCGGAAGATCAATCAGTGTCAAGTTGACAACTGCACACATAGCAAAGAGGATAAAAGTTAAGGAAAATGACATTCCAAAAAAGAAAAGACTTTGGGTTGTATCCTCACCTTTGGGAGAGTAAATGCTAAGGTGAATGGGAACGCTAGAAATGGCCTTGCTGCGTCCAGTCTCTCTGTCAGTCTCATCTTGAATTTCCTTCCTCACAGCGGCTGTGTAGAGGTGATTGAAGTAAGCAAAAACCAATGATATATGCAACAAAGGAGAAGGTGGAAACTTGAAGTGCAAATGAGACAAGGAAACCCACCAAAATCGGTGAACCTTTTCTTGGGGAGATGAAGAAACTCTGCATACTCCCTGGCTCCGTCATCAATCTTTTGTAACTGTAAGACAAGGGGCCTCCGAGTAACAATACCTGCAAACAGTTTCCGCAAATGTAAGGAACCAAGCAATTTCAATATAAAACTAGGCAAGAGCTGTAAACACTGTGATTACCAGATCCACGGGGTAAAAAGTCCTTTCCAACAATGCTCTCGAGGACAGAAGACTTGCCAGAGCTCTGTTAACATCAACAAGGAAGGAAGGATACTAGATAAACTTAAGGCTGGCAAAAATTATTGAACACAAAGGAACAAGACATCGTCATCGGTGATTATTATAAAAGCGAAATCAACGCAATTGTTTGGAAACGCTAAACCGCGACTAGTGACAAGAATATCCAAGTCAAACCCAAGTCCACATACCAAAATCGCTACTCAATATCATTTCGGAGTGGTGAAAAAACGAACGAATGGATCTCGAAGCATATATATAGTATAAACAACAAGGGGAAGGGAAGGGAAGGGAAGGGAAGGGAAGGGAAGGGGATCGAGATTCAAACCTGACCACCAACGACGGCAATCGCAGGCAAGGAATCCCATAGAGTTGGTAGGGCGCTAGACTCGCCATGGTCTCCGAGAGCCGTGCAAGCTCTCTGTATCTTGTTAACCAGAGAGATCAGATTCTCCATCGTCCTCTACTGCTCTCCTTTCCCTAAGACCAAAAGAGAGACCCAAATAGGCTGCGGCGAGAATACGGTAGCAGATCGGCAAGATCTGATATCTCCGCCGGGGGAAAATCACACCGACAGGTATAGATCTGCGACGGTGAGCTATGGAATCAGAGAGAGAGAGAGAGAGAGAGAGAGATTTTGAATTTGAGTCGAGGAAAAGAAATTGGGAGTGTTTTGGTCTTTTGGGAAAGAGTAAGGGAACAACTACGCGGTTTATAATTATATCATCAGCCAAGTAAAGGTGTTTTTATTTTTCACCCAGAGAGTTGAAAAAAGAAAGAAATGAAACGGCATGGCGTTTACTTGGATTCTTGAAAGACGACGAGGTGTTCTCTCTTTGTTCCTCATTTTGTCATTCGTATAGATCGATTAGGGATTATCATCAGTTCACATAGAAAAGTGATTTCATGTGGACCACGAACATTATCATTCCTCCCAAGTCCTACCCAACGGTCCAAAGATTAGGGATTCAAAAAATAAGAGACGTTAAGGACTATGATTTGTTTATTCAGAAAAACTAGAAACAAAAAAACAATTTTTTTTGAAAGTTTGAATGTGCGACTCATAACACTGCTTTTGTATGGGTAGAAAATGAAATGAAAGTCGAAAAAATGAAGCCAACCACATGTTACAAAGAGAACAACCTTATCAACAACTACCAATTAGACTCCCCAGCAGCAGTGAGTGATACTGATGAAATGAGGAACTTGGACTTGGAAATGCAGTTTTCTCCCCTTTAAGATGTCAGGCATTTGGAAATTGAAATTTCACTAATCCTCTCGTCTCTTCTTACATTGACAAATTTGAGCGAAGACATACAATCACACACATAATTAAGTGTCACACTATACATACTACATGTAACATATAGATAGCACCAGACGCAAAATACAAAAAGAGACCAACTTTAGCTCCAACAGAATCAAATCAAAGAATGCTTACTACACAATACACATGTACACACTCACACTCCCACTATGCTTCTCTAATGTTTAGACCCGAATTGGCAAACCGTAGTTATGGAAGACTCTGATCCTACCGTCCCATGTTGCCGTCACAATCACAAGCCCCCACAGGTGCGGCGTTGAAGCCTTGACGTTCTGGCACACACTCCTCAACAGCCTCAGCTTTGACCTGCTGCTGGCCGTCGCTGTTATCGCTGCCCCAAGCTTCTCTTCCGGCCACGTTGTTGCTCCTCCGTAGCAGTCCACCGGCACCGGGAAATGAGCAAACTTTCTCTCCAAATCAGCAATGAAACTGTCCCCCTCCTCTTTCCCCTGCCCTAGCCAAGGTATGGCTACAGACACATTCTCTGAGAGAAACCCTTCATAGGACCTTATGCTTTTCGGTTTCTGAGAAGAAGCAGCCTTATATGAGTAGTCCCACACATGAATCCCCGAGTCCTCTATTGTTGACACGATGTGTTTCCCATCCGACGTGAACACAGCAGAGGTTGGACTCAGTGCTGTTGTCCTTAGACTTGAAGCTGCACCACCACCACCACCAAAAACAAATTCAAAAAGTGGTTCTCACACAAAATCTGAGAAATATAAAAACAAGATTTGATTATGATGAGATTGAGGACCTTTCTTAAGCTTGCAGATGGTATCCACTCCGCAGATTACTCGGATTTGAGAATCAGCACAAGTAACCATTACTTTGTCCGAATCACCAGGAAAAAACTGAAAACCAGTGACTCTGTTGCTAGGAGCCTTCTTCTTCTTCTTCTTCCCATGTAAACTCACCTCTCTCTCCAGTTCCAGCTGGTTATCTGAGGGATGAGAATCTCAAATCAAAACATATATGTATGATGATTCGGCGGTGTAATATGGGGAGCAGTAAAAGATAAACATTTGCATACCAGTTGTATGGTAGAAGCGACATTGTCCAGTCATGGAACCAACAACAGCACCTTTAGCATCAGGTCGATAGCACACAGCTGTGACAATCTCTCTTATATCTGTATAGTCAACGACCCGAAAGTGCGACACATCCCATATTCGTACTTTGCCATCAATTGATCCGCTTATAAAGTAATTCTCATCCACAGGATTGAATGCCACACAAGTCACTGCAAGAGAAGAGAGAGACAAAGTGCCTAATTAACAAGACATAGTTAAAGAAGAAGAGTTAAAGAGAGAGAGAAAGAAAGAAACTGACCAAAGCTCTTATGGGAGAAAACTCTGATACATTCATCGGAAGAACCAACTCGCCACAACCGAACTGTCTCGTCCACTGAGGATGACAGTAGAAACTGCACCACATTCATTCACACACAACTTGTTAGCACAATACTACCATGCATCAATCTCTCATCTTTTATATATATATATATATATATTCACAAATATTTCCTAGTGAAAACTTACCCCTTTCTCCGACCACGAGAGATCCAAGATTTCGCCAGAATGTCCCCTGAACTCATGCTGTGGTGTTTCAGATATAGTGAAGACCCTCGAAGGCAACACAGCGCAAGCCGATTCCGACTTCTTCTTCAACAATGTTCTACTCTTTTCGGTTTTCTCGTTCTCGCTAGTGTTCAATGGCTCAATCTGTGACTTATCATTCATTCCAAAGTAAACACAGTTAGAGCTCGAATCAAACTCAGTAGCCACTTCAAACTGATTGTCTCTTCTCTCGTCCTCCGTGATGTTCCACACTCGCACAACGCAGTCTTCGCCAGCACTGGCTAAGTAGTTGCCATCATGAGAAAACTTCATCACCACAATGGATCCATCGTGCGCCGAGAACTCCTGCCCGATACACAGAGACGAAAGCTCCTTGAACTGCTTCTTAAAAGACTGAACTCGAGTCAGTTTCCTCGACCCCACGGAGTCACCACCATCAATGGACTCGCCCTTCTTGTCAAGAAATACACCTAACTTCTTCAGCCACCCTTTAGCTGCTCCTCCCTTCTTAGGCGAATCCTCATAAGGAGAATCTCCATAGCTACCGCTACCGGACCGACTCGAACCAGACTCGCTCAATCCCTCGGTAGTAAGGCTACTGCTGTTACTGGAATAATCTCTCGTCAGCAAAATCTGATCGTCAATGTGCTTGGCACGCTCCAGAAAAGGTCCTCTGAAACTAAATGCATCAGCAAGAGAGGAAGTTGAAACAGAGGATCTATCAGTAGTATCGGAGGATACAGATTCATTCCTCAGCAAATGATTCTCCTCTTCCTCGTGGTCAGTTTCAGACACAGAGTTTAGTGGCTGTGGAACAGGAAGAGCATTGTCTCCAAGAAGAAGATCAACATCAACCTCTCTTTTCTTGAAACTAAACCCCATAGATTGAAAGAACTTGTGTCGACGGTTAGTAACACTCTCGGGATTCGCAGTCCAGAGATCTAAATCGCCAGTTGCTTGAACAAACTCGTCGGAATTACAATCGGAAACAGATGAAACGTCTTCTTCCCGAGCATCGGAGAACCAGTCTTCCTCTTCCTCGTTCCCATGAATAGTACCCATCACAGCTTCAGAAAGAAAAAAAAAGTCAAAATTTTCAGCAAATTCCAAAAGCGGTAAATCCGTAATTAGAAACAGAGACTTTGCCCCCCCCCCCCCCCCTAAAAGGAATGTCAGTAGTTGAACAGAAGAAATCTCCAACCACAAAGGAGAGAGCTGTAAAACAAACTCAGCCACATTTCGTAACTTAAGACAATACAAGAGTCAAGAGCGAGAAAGAAAGAGGTTTACTTACATCTCCAACAAATCCAAAAACCTTTTGTTCAAATTCTGATCTTTGCAATCGAAACGAACTGCTTTTTAAAAATTAAAACTCCTGCCCCAAACCTTGCATCGATTCAAGTCACGCTCTTTTAGGAGACCAAAGTCAAGAATCAAAATAAAAGGTTTGATTTTTAAGACAAGTAGGAGGTTGGTAAAGGTTTAAGAATTAAGAGGCGAGATTTTCGGAAATTTAAGAGTTTTTGCTTACGAACAAACAAGGAAGGAAGAAGATAGAGAGAGACTTTGGCTACGAATATAACGAACAAACAAAACAAAGATCCTTTCCTTTTGTCTTCTTCTTCCAATCTATGAAAAATAAGTAATTTGGAAATGGTCAACCACCAATCACCGTACTTACATTGCTTCAACTTGCCTTTTCTAATCCTACTTTCATTTCTATAACCATTTGCTGATTTTTTATGTTGCTCCATGTTGTACTTTTTTAACTTTTCTTCTCTTGACTTTCTTTTTAAATTTGAGATAAATACAATTGATTTTTTCTTATTCTGATTTTGTCATCGTTTGCTTAAGACTTTTAGGCATTGTTTATTTGATTAGCGAAGAAATTATAGTTTGTTTGATAGTGATAAAAGATAAAAAGGCGAGGGGATTACAATATTACTAACGTGTTTGTTGGTTCTTGTTCATCTATAAAAACGGGGTTTGTTTAGTATTGGCTTGAGGGTTGTTTAACATTGTTATTAGGCTCATAATTCCCATCTGTGTTGCTTCAACAGTGAAAGAAGACGAAGATATCATCACTCTGGAACCAACAAAATGTGTATATATAATATGGATTAATCAAATAATCATTATTTAGATTTTCAGGTCAAGTCGTGTAAAACACTGCTTATAAAATAACGAGACTTGACATGTTATAATGAGTAATCTAAAAACCAGCAGAAGAAGTGTGTATAGACACACTTGCCCAACTATTCATTCATTCAAACCCTAAATTGCTCGCTAACAACATCTCTTTAACCAGTTTTGGGGATTATACAAATAAGAAACTAAGAGACCACAAAAGAGATCAAATGTGAATCGACCAAACAAAGAGGAGAAAAGGTTTGTGTAATGTGAATGGGATGGGAGGAGCGGTTGGGATTCAGTGTCTGAAAATGGCATTTTTGTACCTGGATCCCTCTCATTCCAAATCTAGGATTCCTCCTTGTCGCATTACAATCACACATACCTTGTCTTTCTTTCTTGGTGGTCATCTCATTGATCTCCATTGATTCCAAAAATGCGGACTTTGTGCATGTGCGGGAATTTGGCGACCACCATTACAAAGACGGCCAGTGTGTTGAGGAAGAGCATCGGGTGCTGATAGTCTGTTGTGTGAGAGGCTATCAAGTATCTACAAATGCATGCAAAGTTTTGATCAGGCCTCAAATTTCCTACATGATCTAACAAACAGACCTCATGCCTTGTATGAATGTCGCAGAAAAGCTATATAAAAAAGTAAGCTTCTCAAGCACCTGCTACTAACAGAGTGGAATCAATCATAATAGATTTAGATCCAAATTAAGAGGAGGAGAATGTTAGTTTCTCAAGACAAATTTACTCTGTGTGATAAAAAGGCAACCAGATTGTGAAAACAGCATAAGCAGAGGCAGAGAGAATGAGAGATTAAGCTCGTCGCAATAATCTGTACATGAGCAGAGGTAAAATGGGCACAGAAGGAGAAAGAAAGCATCTCTGTTTCAACGCTAAGAGAAGACGATAAAGCACGAGCTGGGCCTACAAATAATAATCTATGTATCTATATCTACATAATAACTAGAGGCAAACAGAGCAGTTGATGCAGTTGATGCTCAAGCAAATTCAAATCAATGGAAGCCATATAATGCTAGTAGAGTGTCCATTCATTTCAATTGATAAAGCTAACGAAGCAGAAGCAAGGCATGGTGGAGATTTCGAAGAAGAAGAAGAAGAGGGAGAGCTTACAGGACGACGGGAACAAGGGTGAGAAACTTGCGGTTGCGAGTGAGCTGCTTGCCGTTGTCAATCTGTTCCCACCAGGTCAACCTGTTGTAGACGCCCTGATCATCCCCAAAGGGTGTTCCCTTCTTCCAGTGGAACGAATGGTATGTGACCTAGAAATCAATCAATCAATTGAAATCAGGCAAATTCATTGAATCAATGAAATCAACCAGGGAAATGGAAGGCGTACGGTGAAATGGGCGAGGTGGACGATGGTCCAGGCGATGCCAGGGGAGCAGTGGAAGACGGAGAGAACAAGGAGCCACGAGAAGAAGAGGATCAGGATGTAAGTCGTCCACACCCCCGGGTACGTGAACCACTCCGTGTTCCGATTCACATCCGTCGTCGGAAGCGCTCGTACGTACATCCTCTCTCGGAGATATCTGGTTACCAGAAGAATCAATCCCACCTATCTCTCTCTCTCTCTCTCTCGTTTAACAACAACTTTGGGCTCTTTCCTCCTCAGTTTTAATTTTAATTTTTCTAATTTTTAGAAACAAAATCGCTCACCGATCGTCGCCTAACAGTGTCTCTCTCTCACCGCGTCGCTCGGAAACTTGGCCGGTCATTACACCACGACTCATATATTTTATTGGGCTTTTGTTCTAGTCAGATAGAGCCCATTCAATAAAGGCTTATGATTAAGAGGATTGTTTATTTCCTTAATGAAATGATGATGAATATGAATATGAATATGAATGTGATGATGTGGTTTGTTGTTGGACAAAGACACATAATTTGACTTTCCGATTTGGCCGCGAACCATTATTCCCTTTCATTTTCATTTTCATTTTCATTTTCATTTTGATTTTGATTTGATCAATTCATCATCGCCATCTTTCTCTTGGGGGGAGGGAATATGGTGGATCCATGGATCGGATAAAAGAGATTCACGGGGGAGATCGGGGAATCGGAGGATCATCGGACATGGGGATTCCCAAACTTGTTTTCCGTTCTCGGTTTCGATCGTCCATCGACTCTTATTGCTTCGCTCGTGAGGCCTTCTCCGATTCTCGTGTTTCCAATGCTCCCCTCCATTTCTTCTTCTTCTTCTTATAGCAGCCTTTCTTCTTTTCAGTTTCTCCCTCAAAAAACCTCTTTTGTTTTCTTCTTCTTCTTCTTCTTCTTTTGGTTTCTCTTTGGTTTGTTGTGCATATGGCTTCTGCTTCTGGATTTTTAGGTCAGATGGAAGAGGCGGAGTTCGCCGAGAAAGATCCAACTGGCCGGTACATCAGGGTACGTACGCCACCTGTTTGATTCTCCATAGACTTTCTCTATTGTCTTCATCGCTGGTTCATGGTTGGGTTTTATATGTGAGGATGATTATCAGAATTCAGAATTTGAGCATTTTTTTAGTAAACAACTCGCTCTGGATGAGTTATGGCCATGATCCTTGTCTTGTTATATGATTCAGCGTTTAAGCCATTTTACACTGAATAATCATCATCATCATCATCTTGGATTTGCTGATTTACCTTTTGTTCCGTTGTTGTTTTTCAATCTTTCAGTACGATGATGTTCTGGGGAGAGGAGCTTTCAAGACTGTGTATGGTTTCTACAAACCCTCCCTCATTTATGCTTTTAACAAGGCAAATTACACATTCTCTGATAAATTTCCAAATTCCAATACTGTATGCTTAACAGATATAAGGCGTTTGACGAAGTGGAAGGAATAGAAGTTGCTTGGAACCTAGTGAGCATTGAAAATGTGATGCAGATGCCTGGTCAGCTTGAACGGCTCTATTCTGAAGTTCATCTCCTCAAAGCGCTTAAACATGAAAACATCATCAAGCTCTTCAACTCTTGGGTTGACGAAAAGAACAAGACTATCAACATGATCACCGAGCTCTTCACCTCTGGTAGTCTCAGGCTGTAAGTCTCTCCTCACTGCTCCTTTCATTCTTTTTTTCCATCCCATAAGTTGACACCTTTTCTTTCCATGTGAAGATATCGCATGAAGCATAGGAGAGTCGATCCCAAGGCCATCAAGAACTGGGCAAGGCAGATTCTCAAAGGCTTGAACTATTTGCACTCTCAGAACCCTCCTGTGATTCACCGAGATCTCAAGTGTGACAACATTTTTGTCAATGGAAATACCGGAGAGGTCAAAATCGGAGATCTCGGCCTCGCAACTGTACTGCAACAACCCACTGCCCGAAGTGTCATAGGTGATATGTAAATATATGATCACTGTGAAACAGCTTCACTCTTTGACCAACCCTGGCAGATCTCTGAATATTCTGAGAGCGTATTTCAGGTACTCCTGAATTCATGGCGCCTGAGTTGTATGAAGAGGAATACAATGAGCTTGTGGACGTCTATTCTTTTGGCATGTGTATGTTGGAGATGGTAACGTGTGAGTATCCATACAACGAGTGCAGAAACCAGGCTCAAATTTTCAAGAAGGTCAGCTCGGTAAGTCTTCCATGGTATCTTGACTTTATGAAGCAAAAGGGCTGCTCTCTGAAACAAGTGCATATTTGCAGGGTATAAAGCCTCAATCTCTCACCAGGGTTGATGATCCTCAAGTTAGGCAATTCATAGAGAAATGTCTTCTTCCTGCCTCTTCCAGACCTAATGCCCTCGAGCTCTCCATGGACCCGTACCTTGCAAGCAATGACTCTGCTCTTGTTGCCTCATCATCTAACCCTGTCGGGCCACCACAGCTTGAGCTTGAACATCTCCCCATGGATGTGGATCATCACCATAACGAGAATAAAAGTGTCTCCATCGGCTCCTCTCGGAAAAGCGACGAAGAATACCCCAGCTGCCAAACCATCGAACTTGAGAGGTTTGCAGAGGATAAAGAGTTCAGGTTAAGAGGAGAGAGGAGCGATGATTCCACAGCGTCAATGCTTCTGCGCATCGGTGACTCCTCTGGTTTGTTCTTTTTTCTTCTCTTTCAATATCCTATCCAATTCATTCATGGAATCAATGACATGTCCTAATAGTCTAATACACACACAGGTAAAGGGAAAATCGTACATTTTGCCTTCTACCTGGATTCAGACACAGCAACAGCAATCGCAGAGGAAATGGTGGAGCAACTGGATCTAACAAGTCAAGAGGTTGTTGTGATAGCTAATATGATCGATGACTTGATTTTACAACTCCTCTCTGACCAGAACCAGACCTCATCCCCATCGCATCCAAATCATCAAAACTCTCGTGAGGATCATCACGAAGCAGCAAATCAACAAACTGCCAACTCGAAAGATGAGGGAACTGCAGGAGAATCAATGAAGTCAGGGATATCAGCAGACTATTACTTACCCTTCTCCTCCAACGGAAGTGCTGCCATGGAAGCTGGTCGGGAGGGAGAGTCAATGAGCTCCTTTCTGGATTCTTGCTCGATGATGTCGACACTTTACTCTCTTTCCATTTCGGACCACGATTATCCTCAAGGTCTCAAGACAGAACTGAACCTGATCGAGTCACAGTTTAACCAGTCCTTGCAAGATCTGCTGAAACTCAAGGAGGATGCTATGGAGAACGCAAAGCGTAAATGGATTAAGAAAAAGCAGAAAGGTGTGATCATCCCTTGATTCAAATTTTTTTGGTAAACTTTACTCTCCCCCCATGAGGTATTTGATTTGGTGTGATGAATTGATGGTATATACTGTACTTTTGGTGTTTGGATATTTTGATTTGATGTAAAGCTTTTTTACTTAACAAACAGAAAACAGTGTTTACTCGACTTGTATATTAATTCTAACAATAACTAGTGTTAAGAAGAAGCTGATATATAATACGTTAACTTAGTTAGAAGGCAGAGAGATTTTGAACATAATGGTCCCAGAGATGGGATGCGATCTCATCTCTTAACCTTAAACAATCTTCAACTTGTTGTGGTCTAAACGATCCATGTTCATGTCTCTCTATCTCTCCTTGATTCTCTTCCTCTAACGCGGCCGCTACTCCTCCGTCTTCCGCAACAGCGTCTTGTCCAAACATCCTAAACACTAAATCGTCTGGTTTCTCCAAGCGGACATAGTTGTGCAGTGCACATGCGGCAATCACGAGTTTCACTTGTGTTTGCAGAGGATACGGAGGAGCTGAAAGAAGAATCGGGAATCGTTCTTTCAAGGCTCCAAAAGCTCGGTCAACCGCTCCATGCAACAACCTGTGTCGCTCGTTGAATATCTCCTTTGCTCCTTGTCCTGAAACACCATGATAAGGCGCCATAAAGCCTGGCAGATTCTGTAACTTGAACTCTAGGATCATCATCATCAGCCTCCTCTATGGTGGTGGTTTGGAAGAAGTCCATGGAGATGGCCATGACTGCATTCAAGACGTTGTTGAAATGGCGGCTGATGGTCTCCCCAGAGTATCCGAAGAGCTCTTGGACAGCGCGAGTTCGAAGGTTATGGCCGACGATGAAGAGGAAGATGGCTAGCTGCTCCTCGATCTTGATCCGATTCGTGTGGCGTAATAAGCCTCTGGTTTGGAGGATGTCGCACAGCTTGTAGAAGACAGGCTTGTCCATTCGGAAATTCTCTAGACAGTGTTCGTTTGGACCATTGAGAATTTGGTAGACCAACTTTTCAGAGTCTGAAACTGGGACTATGCTTACTTCTTTTGGCATGGCACCTTCTTCTTCTTCTTCTTTGTCTTGTTCACCGGAGATCTCCATCTGCATCTGCATATATGACCAGATAAGAAGGAATCCATCCAAGTGAGATCAGTTTGCGTTTTTGAGAAATTCGAAAGCAAAAGAGCAGAGAAACGGAATCGGTAGAAGAAGAAGAACCTCAACAAGTGGGTTTCGAAGCAGCTCAGCAGGCAGTGGAATCCGGAAATTGAGAAATCGAAAGAAAAGTGAAATCACCCACTTTGTTCATATACATACACTCTACGTGTTCGACGGAATGTCTCCGTTTTGGGAAAAAAACAATTATTAACTACATACAGTAACTTGGAATTACTTGTAAATTTTATGAGTTGGATATGTTTTAACATTACTTGAGTTTCATTATCATTAACAAAACATGTAATGGTTTCACTAACAGAGTAACAATACTGAACAGAGTAAGCAATCCAAATATTTTTAGTATTGAAGATAGTTGATATATGATTCCATCCAAGAAAAGAAAACCACGAAATGGTCACTCAAAAATGAAAACAAAAGATACTGTAGAGCAGAAAGAAGCAATGTTAAACTCTCTCTCTCTCTATTGGAGTCAGAGAGTGAGGGCGGTTCTCGCCATAGATAGGGCTCCGTCGTAGGATTGGTTACCGCCGATGAAGCCGCTCATGTGGACAAAGACGCAGCCAGGGATCTCAGCAGCTTTAGAGAGCTCCTCATCTCTGAGGCCTCTCCATTGCTCTGGAAGAGCCTTTCGGTTCTCAAACCTGTCTGGTGCAAGCGCCACTGCTTGCACTCTCCACTGGTTCCCTCGCTCGTCCTGTAAACCAACCCAAAATGATATTTTTACTCCACTAGTACTAAGACTACAGGAACTGCATTGACAGATATCTGAGATCCTACAAAAGCATATATCTCAATACTGTGGTAACCTGGTAGATGACGTATTTGATGAGAGGTTCGATCTTCATCTCTTGCTCAAGCTCGAACAAGTGAAGCTTCCACTGCTCTCAACCATTTAGAGCCAGAGTTAGTTAGTGAGTTATAATCGAGATAGCTAGCATTGATAAGAAGAGCAAGGAAGGGAGTGTTGAACAAGTACTTACAGGGCAAAACTTTTTCAGTTCCATGATCTCACCACTTGGGTCGGTTTTGAACCTCTCTTCAAGGCACTGCATCACGATTGACCGAGCCGGTAACCACGACCTTGCATGAAATCTTACACTCTACAAACAAGCTACAGTAAGTGAGTGACCATTCTTCATGTCTCTTAAAACGTACGTATATATACATTTTGCGATTGACAGCTAGAGATCTTACTTCGAGGAACTCTTTCCCAGCCAGAGCCATTGCACGCTGGAAAGCCTCATTCTCCTTCTCTTGAGACTGGTCAGGGTCAATCCAATCCAGATTCAATCTTCCAATCCTTGAAGACAGATGTGTGTTGTTCACGTACCGTGGAGGCTTCTCTGTATCATACCGATTTATCCCGTTGTCCACAGCATCAATCGCCTGTCCAAATCACAAAGATACAATGTCATTGAAACTAACATACAAGAGTGCAAGGCAACGGAAGAACATCCGGATAGACCAGCTAAACTAATTTTGGGAACCGGAAATGCAAAAGTGTATAACCTCCATGAAGCTCTTGTAGACAGCTACAAACAAGCGAAGAACATCCGGGTGATCTTGCTCAACGTTTAGTTCCTTTGCTATGATCTCCTTTCCAAAATGCTGAACCCAAAAAGTAACAACATTCACAAACTTTATCTTTTCAAAGAAATCTCAGTGAGGATTGACTACAAGCAAACAACACCTTGTAAACGAGACCGGCGCTACTGAGCTTGGTGTTGAATCCATGTCCAAACAACTCTTCAAACCCTTTCTGGTGATGATCATACCGGTCATGCTCCGGTTCATACACACCTCCAACATCGAGCACTGCATCAAGTTCTGCCAATATCTTGAGGACACACAAAACAAAAAAAAAAAAAAAAAGACTCAATCAACCAACAATCCCTACATGTAAAAGTACAGAGTGCAGATTTACAATCAAAACCCTAATTTTCACCAATAATAAGCAGTCGATTTCGAATTTAACATTTCTAGCAACTGAACGACCTCTCCCTTACCCTTTTCCTATACTTGAACAATATATGAAACTCAAGAGATAAGAAACAGCTCAGGCTCGTTTGTTTTTTGTTACCTTGGGGTCACGAGTACGGATGATATCAGCGCCGGAGAACTTATCGGCGAGGCGGATCATGAAGCAACCGAGAGCCTCGTCGCAGTGAAAGCTTCCATTATGAGTACCAACTCTCTTGACGGAAACCTCCGAAGGAGACGAAGAGATAGGAGTAGTAGAGTAAACCCTAAGGGCAGAAGGAGCCATTGCTACTACGAGAGGAAGAGGAAGAGGAAGACGAAGATGGAACCAACTCAAGTTTCTGATTAAACCTTTCGTTACCGAAAACATGACGAGAAATTGATAAAATGTCAAATGGGCCTCTTTATTACCTTTTATAAGATACACATAGTATGGGCCCATGGGCCCTAAGAATCATTCTGGTAAGTTTGTTGCTAGTGAAGAGTAAGCTCATTTCAGTGTCAACCATGTATATTTTCTTCTTCGATTCAACGACTTGTAAAGTAGTGTAAACTTCTTAGTATAAGTATAAGACAAGAACAATTCATAGATTTAAAACTGAAGCATGCATATATGTGATATATCTATATATATTCTTGGAAAAACGACCAGATCGTAAATGCCGGCCAGTGTAGCTCTTGAATATGTTATATATATTGATGTATGAATTGATTTTAATGGCTAGATATTATTCTTCTGGCTTCTTGTACAAAACTAGTCATCATCTATCATTTCATTTCATCCTCGTTGTTGCTCCTTTCTTCGTGTCTTTGGAGCTTTTAGTCGTCACTGTCTTTCTCCTTGTATGCACAAGAAAAAAGGAACTGGCAAGTGAGTTTAAGATGCAATAAACGGGTCAAACTTGCAATTGAAGCTGAAAGTATCGTTTCGAACATTGACTTGAAGATAATTGTGTGTTTAGTTTACCTTGGAATGTTTGTCAAAAGATGAAAAGTTGGATCCAAGGGTCTGAACATCACCATTTGCAATGCTTGCTTCAATCTACACAAACAGAAGATGATGAAACACTCAAAAGTGTGGTGCAATCAGAGAGAGTATAAGAGAGACAGAATCAGAAACCTGAACATGAAGGATGCCCAAAAGGATGCTTGTAATGGGTAACCAGCTATCTTCCGGGGAAATGGACAGGTTTGAGCTGCAAAAGAAGACCAAATCGAATCATCAGAGAGACCAATGGAGTATGTAACACAAGAGGAAGAAAGCGAGGCAAGGCAAATAAAACAAAAGGTACCTGAAATAGGGAAGAAGATAAACGAGAGCATACGCAGCGTAACGCGACTTTCCCGAGTCAAGCCAAGCGAAGACCCAACTCTGGGACAGAAGAGGAGAGGAGAGGAGAGCATACAGTTACACATGATCTATTTCGAGTTTCTACTTTCTCTCTCTCTCTCTCTCAGTCTCAGAAGAAAAGAAGAAAGAGCAAACGAACCAGCCAATTGAAGTAAGGGATGAAGCTGATGATTCCCATGGCGGCTAATCTCATATCTGTCGACACAATCGCAGAGTTCTCTTCTTCTTCTTCTTTTTCCTCCTCCTTCTTGTCCACCGGAAATACAAACGAGCTTAGGATGCACGCTCCAATGGCGGTCGCTAGGGGCGCTTCCTGTGAAAACTCCGCTCTGCATATTACTCGCTCCACCTTCTTATTCCTATACACCTAATAACAGCAACCAGAGCAGAAGAAACAACAATTGTCACAACTATCCAAGAGAAACATACACACTCTTGATTGCTCGCTTACCTTGTTAGGGTTCCGTTGGGGATATGCCAGAGTAAGCGGAGAACAAGGCCGAGAAGAAACTAGGCGCGGCTTGGTACACATACAACCGGGTGATGAAAGCCAGCCAGTTGACGGAGACGCCATTGATTCCGATTTTGAGCTCGAGCTCGGTGGTGGGTTACACGCGCCTTCGATCCTCCTTCCTCTTGGGAAAAGGACTGCTACTTACCAGAGTCCCTACCAGAGAGAGGGAGAGTGATAATGCCCATTAAAGCTTACATACTTGTAGGCCCATTAGCCCAACATTGTTAAAAATGGGACATTTGTTTGTTGGTTGGTCTCCGTTAACTTTTTACATTAGGATACAGTTTCAAGTTTGAAGCTTTTTCTTGTCTAAGACAGGATAACTCAATTCAGAGTTCCATTGGGAGAAGACAAACTGTAATCAATAATTCAATATGTGTTGCAAAAATGAGAAGTGTAAGTTTCTTTGTTGAATATAAGCACCAGAGCTATGGTCAAGACAAGACAGAACTAATAATAAAAAGAGCAAAACAGTCGTCGGTCAGAGTATTATTATATCAACCGGTGATAATACCGGCTAAAACATCACTCTTGCCTCTCGCATAGATTGTGTAGACCAAACGAATCGCATCGAGCCATCCATCTAAAGACTCCCATGAATCTGCAACCTGTTTTTATACGCAGCATTTGAGAGATTATCAACAGCAGGTAATAATGTACAATGAATGTAGGAGGAGGCTCTCTAGTCTTACCAAGTAAACAGGGCCATGAACGGTATCAATGCAGAGACCAGCACCAGGAGGTAGAGTGAGGTCAGCACATGGCGTCACTGACACAATCTCTGATATATTCACTTTTACAGTCTTCTTCTCCACGTTTGTGCTCATCGCCTCTGACTTCCCTTGGTGATAATACCGGCTAAAACATCACTCTTGCCTCTCGCATAGATTGTGTAGACCAAACGAATCGCATCGAGCCATCCATCTAAAGACTCCCATGAATCTGCAACCTGTTTTTATACGCAGCATTTGAGAGATTATCAACAGCAGGTAATAATGTACAATGAATGTAGGAGGAGGCTCTCTAGTCTTACCAAGTAAACAGGGCCATGAACGGTATCAATGCAGAGACCAGCACCAGGAGGTAGAGTGAGGTCAGCACATGGCGTCACTGACACAATCTCTGATATATTCACTTTTACAGTCTTCTTCTCCACGTTTGTGCTCATCGCCTCTGACTTCCCTGACAGGTTTCTCCCCAGTTCCCGTGGTTCTGGTTTCAGTACCTACGCACGACGCCACGTAAGGTTAGTTATACTTAGTTATTCATCGGCTTTGAATCTCTCTACTTTTTAAAAACTATTGGATGATGAATTGATGATGATGGATCTGAGAGAATACCTGTAGAAGCCTCTCGTGGTTGAGTTCAAACTCGGTGCGTTTCCAATCACTGTGAGGAGCGAGTGAGTTTCCCACCGGTGGCGCCGTTAGATATCCAATTTTAAGATGCGGTAGCGGTAGCTGCCAACATATATAAATTATCTATTTTACTTTTGGTCACTTTTCCATTAAGGGATCAACTTAGTGATGGGTCATCAAAAGGTACCATGGACCGGACGAGCCTCAAAGCGCTGCTGTATACCTGGACCAGGAAAAAAGAATCAGCCTCAATCTTATTCAATAGAAATATGACTCAAAACATCTTCGAATTCTTCTAGCAGAGAACAAAATGGAGATGACAGGCTTACCGAGTAACTTGGCTTCAGCGAGTGAGCTGCAGCAATGTAGATAGCAGATTGGCTGTATAACTCACCGGGAGGCATGTCTTTGCCGTTACCTGAACCCCCTGTTCTAAGTGTGTCTTCTGCTAATCCATACTGTAATTCAGATAACCATCCCCAGATTTTTCAAATTAAGTTAACTGGATTTTGACATTAACTTCTGTTCAAAGGATTGTCAAGCATATTATAACTCACCAGAACGGTTCCAAGGTTGTATATGGCTCGATGGAAATCAAACTGCAACCTGATAGCGGCCCGAAACTGTGTGGTAAAACAAGTGAAAAGAGACGATATGAAATTCATCATGCAAAGTTTACATTAGTCAGAATGACGAATAAGCACCTTGCTAATGGCAGTTCTGACAACTTTTTCCTTCTCCCTAGCAGGAACAATTTGACTGAGCTCCTAATGAAAAACACAGGGAATATTCCGAGTTATTAGCACCGTAACTTTTTTAAAGAGGCACATCCTATGTCATGGAGATAAACACATATCACTTAGTTACCTGCAAAGCCAGTCCCCAGTTGTTTAAGGCCTGCACAAAATTGATAGTTTCAAAAGACTAGTATGTACAACAGACGATACTGTGAAGTTTGTACATGAGATGAAGGACCATACCTGGGAACTGTTCCAGTTGAGCTGGACAGCTTTTTCATAGTTATTAGTCGCCTGGAATCAGAATGCCCAACACAAACTTCTTTAGTATTACAAGTTGAGATCAAATCACGATGATTTTTCGTTTTCAGAATAAGCAGGAGACGGTCCTATTATTCCTGATATTACTTACTTGTTCCCATAGTTCTTCAGCCTCCTTTGTGCGACCACGCATCTTTGCCCTATCAGAGATTGCGATAGCCCAGTTGTAGTAAGCCTGTCACAGAATCCCACACAATATAATGATACATAAAAGTTAGAGCCATTTATATTAACTGAAAACCACGAGAAGATTATGATAACCATCATGTTGCATTTTGCAGTGATATACTAAACTAACGGATATAGAATCCTACTACTAATACATACATCATAAAGCGTGGGGCAGAGACGGGTTGCCTCATCGTACTTTTTACAAGCTTCCTCGAGCAAATCATCTTTAGAAGGTGAAACAGAATCTGGGCTAACATTATCAGCACTTTCCTGTGGAGAAAAGATAGTAAGTGAGGAATTCAGCATTATATCCAGTAAAAAAAGTATGAAGGAAAACAAAATTCTGATGGCCTCAAAGACAAAGAGACGCGTCTAATCTCTTCAAACAGTACTTTTTTATCGCATGCCTAGTGTTATATGAATTTTGGATGTATATTTCAATTATCTTTCGATAAATTCACCTCCTTAATCACTTGTGAATAAGAGAAAGACTCTGAGGGTTCGAGAGTGGAATAGAAAGAGACAAGTAAGAGAAACCAGACCTGGAGAATAAGTGCCCAGTTGTACAAGGCATCATGATCTTCTGGATTTCTCTCAATCGCACTCGCATACCTACAAAGTTGGAGAAACACAAAAGATCAATGAGCAGTAAGCTCAATGAGGCTATTTTACAAGCGTTTCAGGGCACAAGTTGTAAATTATAATCAAAGCAAAGCAAAAGTTCGTGTAACATACTTGCGGGCAGCAAATGCAAGAACACGCTGTCGCGATCGGCCCTCTTCGTCGTTAACTTGGATACTGTTTATCAGATCCATGGCAGGATTGTTCTCCGCCGGTTGAGAAGCACTTTCTCGACTGAATAAATTACAAACGATGAGACTCGGAATCAGCTCAACAAAAACCCCCAACAATGGCTTGAGAAAAAGAGAGAAACCTGTACGGCGAAACACTACTGTGAGGAGTGCCATCTCCTTCCTCGCTTTTTAATTCGCTGAGAAGCTCTCTCATTGTAAATGTCTTGTTCCCTTCATCTTCTTTCTTCAGAACCGTTTCCTGATCGGCCTCCATCGATCGGATCGAGAGCTTCCCGGATCCTCCCGGAGACAGATCCACGTCGTTTACATCCACCTTCGCCTCGGTTTGTACTTCCTCCGGCTTCGCATCGATAACCTCGGATTCTACCTGCTCCGGCTTCGATTCTGTTACCTCAGATTGTACTTCCTCTTCCGGCTTCGTATCGGTTACCTCAAATGGTACTTGCTCCGGCTTCGAATCAGTTTCTATTTCCGGAATTTCGTCGGCAAGTTTGGCCTCAGTCTGGAGTTGGGGATCGTGATCGGATTGTGCTTCCGGAGTCGGATGCTGTTGGGTTTCGGACTCACCTTGAGCCACTCCATTATGCAATTGAGGATCTTCAACGGTATCCGCCATAACAGAAAATGAAGTATCCCTTACAGTCCCAGACTGATCGGAAAACAAATCTAAATCCCAAGAAGACGAAGAAGAAGAAGAAGAAGAAGAAGAAGCAGCAGAGATCTGTTGTTGAATTGGAACCGAAGAATAATTTTTTGTTACGGTTTATACTTAACCAAATTAAGTCAACACCCTCTCTTTGCTCGAGCGGGTCTCTGAAACAAACAAAAGACAGGTTTCTTCGCGGTAAATCTCTTTATTTGGTTAACAATGGATAATAACAAGAGATTGAATGATGAGGTTTATAAGTGTGTTTTAGGACAATGGTGTTTAATGAACACTAACAACAAACACAGTGTGCAACAAGTGAAGAGAGAAGAGATAACTCTCAGATCTTGTTGTGAAGATTGACGACCAAGTCATGTGCATCGTCTAGAAGTTTCCAAACATCAAGATGACCAGCCATGCTGTTACATTCCTTCATTATCTCATCCATCCCACTGTATTTCTCTATGATCGTCTTCCTCCTCTGCAGCACGCTTGCCGCTATCGCGTAAAGCAACAAATCTTCTGTGGGTGGTGCCCTCAACCGGATTCTCCCCCAAGTCGCCTTTGCAATCCCGGTTCGTATCGCGGCTTGGTCCGCCCACATGACCTCCCACAGACAAAGCGTCTGCTCAAAGGTTAGCTCTCGTCTGAACAGAACCACCACCATCCGGTACACAAAGAAGCAGTCTTGTGCTTCGAGGTTCTCCAAGTGTCTGTACAAGCGGATGTCCTTGAATTCTATGATTTTCGACACCATTGAGAGCTGCCGCCTGATTCCAACCTCGTCTAGCCTGAAATTATGCCTTGCTTTACTCATGAACCCAACAAAGCACCAGAATGCCAAGACGTCGTCTTCCATCACTGCGATTAAAGGAGATAGCAAGTCGCTCATTCCTTGACAGTATCCGATTTCCGGGTCGTAGACTGCGTAGGCTTCAAGGATCCCAACCAGCCGGGCTGCGTGGAAGATCCGGCAGGGCTCCAAGTGGTCGTAGTCAATGAGACCAACCTGTATGGCTATTCCCCGGGCTTTTGTCTCTGAAACAGCAGCTTGAGACGGTGAGTAGACCACCCATTCGTCATTTGCTCTCACTGCATCCAGCCGGATGATTCTCTGCCACGTAGTCATGAAATCCTCGTCTGTCTGAGATTTTTGCTTCGATGCAGACGCATTTTCTTCTTCTTGGGTAGCCAGAAGGGGTGACGACTCAGTTTCTTCTTCTTGGTTAACGACTTCCTCCTGGGTAGCCAGAAGTGGTGACGTCTCAGTTTCTTCAGAGCTGGTTGTGTCTGAGTCACTAGCAGCAGCATCTTCGGAGGTGACACCGCTCCTTTCACAGTCCCCATCCAGCAAAGTCGGTTCTGATTTCAACTTCTCTGATTCTTCTACAGGGATGGATCTCGTGGAACTGTCAGCTTCTTCAATATCAGGGGGATCAAGAACCTGACTGTCTTCGGTGTTGCTGCTGCTCTGAGCTGTCTGCTCTGAGTCACAGACATTTTCATTACGTTCATGAATCTCGCGACACTGCCTCCGCAGGTTTTCATATTCCTTCCTGCAGGATTTACATATTAATATATAAGAAGCTACTTACAAGTTACAAACTGACACAAAATCTAAGGCAATAGGAGTTCCCAAACTACTACTTGTTATTCCTAGTTTTATCGACAGATTGAGCAAGTCACTAACCAGCTGCCACCTACCGGGAACAGAGAAAAAATGGAAAACGTAATACTGGTAGAAAGTTGAGAAACCATGAATTTCTCCATAAGTATAAGGGAACGTACTGCTTCTGCTGTCGGATAGAATCTCGTTCTTCTTTGGTGCTGTTTAAGTCATACCTGTGAGAGGTACAGTAAGTAGAATAAGGTTACAATGTGTTAGGATGATAAAGAGGATTTAAAGCTTACACAGGGTTCATAAGTTCATTATCAAAGTTTACTGAGTGTACAGTGATCGGCGGTGAATTATGGTACAGGATTGCTAGGACTAGTCTTATGAATCTCTGCGACGAAAAACATCAAAGGCGACTCACCCATTTCAATCTCCTCACTCCTACTTATCGAATGGTTTACCGTTGTGCATTTTACTCGACCTTAACCTTTATAACATCAATGACCAACCCCGAAAGAAAAAAACTACACTTCCAACATTTAAAACATGCTGGAGTAACAAACCTAAAGCCAAACATAAATATCCCCATGGTAGCCACAAAATACATGATAGGGTTAAATTCCTAACTCAGCATTATGTACGTAAAAGAAGGAAAAATAACAAAGATGGTTATTCTTACACTCCAAGGAGGAAAGGCCAAACTTCTGGTCTGATGCTTGGATCCACACCCTGAAACAAAGATATGGATTAATATATAAAGGCATGATGGGAAAGTTTTGATTAAATTCAAAGTTTCAAAATGCAGCAACACTCATTGAAGCAAAAAAAAAAAGCAACATACCCCACTGCGAACTTTCTTAAGAAATTTGACACCTCCATCATTGAGTCGCCCTTCCTCTGTGAAAAAAGCATTCCACTGTTTAGGTTGAAGAGCATGCTTTCTTCTTCTCAGTGACCAGGGTGATCCAATGCTTCCTCTGAGAAAATGGACAAAGTGAGCAACTTCATCCAGTAAATGTACAAGAAAAAAAGTTAAATAAAACCAAATGTGGTGATTAAAGCTTTCTTCAAACAAAAAATACAGGCTAAATCGTACGTGCTGTGTCCTGTGTTCGCATATGTTTTGAAAGGAATGCAAGTATCAATGAAGTTCAACGCACATCAGAAAACCTAAGACTCTAAACGACTTCATCACTAGTTGTACAGAAACAGCCGAAGAACTGGAAGAAATTTAAAAGAAGCAGAGGGAACAAGACCATAACCATATAGCCTTAAAAGTTAGCAAAAATTATGAAAGACAGGGAAAGGAAAAATTAGGGGTTAGTCTAACTCAGGCTGCACTCAAAAGATTACAATTGTTCATGGGATGCATACCTCAAAGTTTTTTCTATGCAGAACCTTAACAAAATTAGACTCATTGCTTGGGTTTAAGAGAAATAAATCATAACAAATGCAAAGGGATTTCCAGGTTCGATGGGAAGAGATTTTACAATGAAAGGTCTGTCTGATAAAATTGCAAAAGAAGAAACACGAATACATGGCTTGGGGTAGGAGTTTGTACATAGAAGTTCCAGAGTTACCTTAGAACACAAAAACCAAACTTACTTCCTATAAAAACACTCTGATTGTTCCTTAATCCTTATAGACCAAGAGGGCATAGAAACTCACACGCCATTCAGAAGACAACCCAACAAACAAGATATAAGTAACATTTGACCAAGAGCTCAATCAAGACATGGGGATCTAGTCTCAATGTTCCAACTGGTGGAGTAAGCTTACAGAAATGGGAAAATCACGGATCAGCAGAAGCTGGTGAGAGTCACAACGAAGCAACTAGTAATAGTCTAATAGAACCGATATGATTCATCTTCCCCTATCAAATCTATAGGAGACTACAACTTAACTAAGCACGACATGTAGTGAACAAGCTTTGCTACTCTCAAATTACAACAGAATCAGATCTTCGGTGTTTCATTTCCGAATCCAATGTATATACCTACGGGAGTAGACGACGGTGAAAGCCACGGCAAGACCGGCCATGACGGTGACTGCCACAGCTAGACCAACATTGGAAGGAGCAACAGCAGACGACCATAATCCGCCGGAGTAGCCGTTCCTCGCGGCGCCACCGCTGCTACCATCGGCACAGACGATCCAGTTCCCGCCGAGGATCGGCGAGAAGAAGACCACGGCGACGAAAGATGCCGGCGATGCGACGGACCGAGTAGCCGCCACTGTCTCGGTCTTCGTCAATCGTAGTCGTCCAAACATCATCCCCAACCTAGGGATTCGCTCCAAGATTTCTGATTCTCAGAGTTATCATAGCAATTTGCTGATAAAGCTTCTTCTCCACAACGAAATTAAAATTGATTTTGATTACGAAAAAGTAGAAGGTGGTTTGTTTATGGATTGGGCCCACTTACTTAATGGGCCAGATACAGTTGGGTTATACACAAATATCCTAAGTTGTCTGTCTAATCATCTTGTTCTCAAACACGTTAATCATGTACATATACCCAATTTTTTTTAAATTATTAATACTAGGTGGTTGTCCCGCACCTTGTGCGGGTACAATATTTTTTAAACACATTAATTAATTAAAGATTTTAATAATATAAGTAGTAGAAATTTGATTGTATTCATCTTTTTTTTGCCGATTTCTAATTTTTGTAATCATGATGTGTCTTATTTTTTTTTCTCTTTCTCATTCTTTTACATATCTTCATCATTCGCTTTCTTTAAATATGCAAAAGATTTTCCACTTCTTGTTTTCTCCTCCCACTTATTCTTCTCCAATTATCCCATCTTCTTCTTTTTCTTTTAAGTTTATATTCGTTCTCATCATCTTTTCTTCTTCCAATTTTTGTTCTTTAATCTTTTCTTGTATCTTCATATTCTCCAACTCACTATTTTTTTTTCTTTCTAAATTTCTTTACACACTTTCTCCGGTTTTTCTTCTTACTCAATCCTTCTCTCTATCTTTATCATCTTTGTCTTCTCTAACATCATATTATTGTAGTTTTTATTTATCTATTCTTTATCTTTTTTCTCCTCACATTCCATTTTTCTTCTTTGATTTCTATTTCCTCATGTTCGACTTTTATTCTTCTCCAAATTTTCTATCTTCTTTTTCACGGTTTTTTTTCTTTTACTCTTTTTTTATTTTTCTTGTCTACATCTTGTATTTCACCTATCAATTCATTCGATAGTTTAGATTTTCAATGATTTGTGAAATAGTTTCTATCTTTATTTAGTCAGATCTTTTAAAAATCTATTGGTTTTGTTATCTTTCGATTCTGATTTGCTTTAACTGTTTTAGTTTTTTTCCATTTGTGAATGTAATTTATAAAGGTAGATATAAATTTATAACCCTTAATAATTCAAATTTTTAAAAATGCACCAAAAACTAAACCCTACACCCATCAATATAAACTATACACCCTAAACTCAAACCCCAGAGTGTAACACCACCACCATCTACCCCCACCACCCTAAACAACCATACACAGTAAACCCAAACCCACAATGTACCTCCCCCCCTTCCCCATAAACCGCACACATGAATCCCACATTTTACAAATTGGTTCCAGATTTGCTTTTATTTTTATCTTTTTTCTTAAAATAAGTTTTTTATTTAATCGGTAATGTAGTGTATTCAATTTTTTTTAAAATGCACCAAAAACTAAACCTTACGCCATCAATATAAACCGTACATCGTAAACCCCAACCCCATTTTATCTTCTTTTTCTTTTACTCTGTCTTTTACTTCTTTCATATTTTTTCCTTCATTTACCACTGTTTTTTTCTTATTCTTATCGAACTTTCTATTTTCTTTTTCTTTTCCTCTCTCGTCAATCTTCATCGTTATATTTTTATTTCCTGGTTTTATTCGTTTTCTTCCTTTTATTTACAATTTGTTTAACAATTGGCTTTGTTCTTATTCTTCGTTTTTTTTATCTTTTGATTTTTTCAACTTCTTTATTGTTCACATATACTTCAATTCTTTTCTTCTTTTGTTTTCTTTCTTTTGTTTTTTTCCATCTTCGTTTTCCAACTTTCGTCTTTTCCTTATTTTTATTCATGGTTCTTCTTATTTTATCTTGTATTCTTCATCATTTTTTTTCTCATCTTCTCTTATTTCCTCTTTATTTTTTTCTCATCTTCTCCTATTTCTTCTTCTTCATCTCCTCATACATTTTTGTTATTTTTTACTTTAATTGTTTTAGTTTTCTTCTGATTGATAGATATAAATTTAAAATCAATGATTTTTAGTTTTAATGGAATTATTCAAATTTTTAAAAATGCACCAAAAACTAAACCCTACTCCCAACAATATAAATCCTATACCCTAAACCCAAACCCCACATTATAACCCCCCTTTCCCAAACAACCCTACACCCTAGACCCAAACCCTCATTATAAACCCACCCCCTCCCCCACATTATAAACCCCCCCCCTAAACAACCCTACACCGTAAACCCAAACCCTCATAATAACTCCCCTACCCCTTTAAACCGCACACATGAACTCCACATTACAAATTGGTTCTAGATTTGTTTTTATTTTATCTAAAGATTTATTTTTTGTTTTTAATCGTTAATGTAGTATATTCAAAAAATTTAAACCAAACACTAAACCTTATATCCATCAGTATAAACCGTGCATCTTATATCTCAACCCCATTTTATCTTCTTATTATTTTACTTTGACTTCTACTTCTTTCAGATTTTTTTCCTGCATTTTCTACCATTTTCTACCACCGACACGCAGGAGATCCTAGTAAAAACTAAACCCTAAACCAACCAATACAAACCTTACCATATAAACCCTAACTTTATAGTAAACCTCCTCCCCCGTAAATGTTCATGAACTAAAGTTTTTAATATGTACACAAAACTAAGCCCTTCATTGTAAATGCTAACGCTACATAGTTCTCCCATCCAGAAACAGTATTCCATAAACACATATTATACAATTGTTTTTGATTTGCATAAAATGTTTTACTTTTATTTGAAGTAGTTTTTGTTGTTGTTGTATAAAATAGGCATTGTTGATGTTGAATATTAAATCGTTACCTCGTATGGATTGGTGAAAATAATAAGACGACCCAAACGTTTGGAGATATCCTTCTCATGTCCAAGATTATTTTTTTGCCATCTCACAATTCAAGTTAATAAAAGGGCTCTCCAGAACAAAGATTCAACGAAGGATTTCAATTTAGAGTCCCTCAAGCTCCGCCACTATAACCCACTCTATGCATACTCCTTCATCTAGGTCATGTGTTCTATCATATATATCCATCCAAAGACTTTTCGAGTAGCTATTTAACTTTACAACTATGATGTGTGCATTTATAGTAGCTCCGTGGAAATTAACTTCCTTGCACCGTATTTTCAAATAGACCACACTTCCTTGAAGAAAAAATTTAACAGCCAATGATGCATCTTTTCATCCTCTCTTGGAGCTTGATGATGTTGCATGATGAGGAACAGTTTGCCGGCTTATCTCACTTATGTCAATTGAGGAAGATGGTAAGTGTTTAATTTGTATATGTGGCCTTGGCTTTGGAATTAAAGTGGCGTTCCACTTCTGTGCTTATCTAGCTCTGCACAGGATTTGAGATAACAGAGCTGTTTTAGACAACTATACATCAGAACAATGAACAAAGATTACAAATAATTATTCAAATCTGTTAAGCAACCAAGGCGAAAGTTCATTATAATCCACATAGCGTTCTTTAGACATTACCAAGAAACATGAAGTCTAAACTCAAATTCTCTGAATTTTCTCTCGTCCAAGATATTATTATGTTCTTACTTTCTATTAGAACGTATTAGAGTGAATTACCTGAGATTTAAACAATTAACCAATAATAGGGGAAGGTTATCCCTGAAAAAAATAAATTCCATGATCCAATATTTATAAGCAACACACACAGAAAGGTTTTATTCTATGAATAAAATGAATGATAATCTGAGCCAAAATAATTAAACACTTGTATAACGTCATTAGTTTTCTTTCAAAGCACTTCCAAAAGATAGTAAAGAAACGAATATGAAAACAGAATGTCAATATGAAGAATCAACATGTATCCAAGTAACCAAATAGCTAGACAAATAGTAACCAGATAAAATATCAACAAAAAACTCCTTAGTGTAAAATTGGCAAAAAAAACCGCCTCTCAAAAGGCAGATAATGTGTAAGAAAACACACTAACCTTGATGTTGAAGAAAAGAATAGTAGACTCCAGAAAAAAAGTCGAACATAAACCAAGAAGAATAGTGATATAAGTTGATATAGAGATCCGAACTTTTGCCAAAGAAATCAGCTTGTACTCTGCCCCACCGCTTGCTGCCGCAATAGGACGATTTGTGTCTTGACATGAGAACAAAGTCAAAATACAATACACACATAGCCAATAATTAGAAAACATGATAACAAATTCTAAAAGTTAGAAATAGGTAGTTATCAATATACTCTTACCAGAATTCGAAGTCATAAAAAACTGTTGAATTGAGAACCACGTTTAAGATGCAGACGAACAGTTTTTCGTGAATCTAACAGATCACCTCATTCCTTTCAAAACAATTCTCAACCTTAAATGTGTATGAATCAACATACGTTAGCACAGCTGGCATGAGTTGTTTAACCCCATACGATAATATTACCACCTAGGTTAAATCTTGTGCCCTTATTATTGGTCCATAGAATAATTGACGAATATTATTACCACTAGTTAGCCCTTCATATGAAAATTGTCGCACGATTGATGATGTTCTGATGATGATAACACACTCTTGAATTGTTAGGGTTTAGGGTATGCCTCAAAAATAACTTGTTACTACAGAACCACACAACACGGCAAGATTGAAATGGTTAGTAGCCCTAAAACCTAAATCCAAAATATCCATCCACGAATCTCGTCAAGAAGAATCATAACGATCGAAATCACTAAACAGATCAATACTCAAACACAAAGCTCCCTTCTGAATCATTAAGCAGATTGTGGCCTCTTACTATCGTAGTTCCAAACCCCACTTAAAAGAATCAATACTCGAACCCAGCTCCATAATTAATCATTAAGCAGATCATGATCTTCTATTGTAATCGAATAAATAAACATCTTGCTTGCTACTTTATTCCTCCGATAGAGTTTGAAGGCGAAGAAGAAAAGACCTAGTTGATTTTGTATACCACATATGAATTTATATTTATATATTGGAATTTAGGTCTAAGTTTTAGGTTTTTGTTAGTTTTCTATTTATTTTATATATATTTTCGTTTTTTAAGGATCAAATTTTAATAAAATTATTAATATGACGAAAATATTATATTTTCTAATTTGAACAATTAAATTCATGAATAATAACAAAAAGCAAAATTATAAAGATTTAATCTAGATTTTCATTAAGAGTATGTGGGTAATCAACCAGCTGAGATTGAATGTGGTGCCTCTAAACGAAATTTTCACTTCGCAAATAATATATTAGATTGTGAGATATGTTATGCAATAAGAAAAAAGAAAAGAAAAACAACGAAAATCAGAAAAAACATAAAATAAACAATTTTTAAAATATATAATATCCACTAAGAAATTGAAAGAACAAAATATTCCCACTACTAAAAATGTAATAACATAAACTAAAAACTTACAAAATTACTGTAAATCAACTAGTTAATAATGAAAACGAAAATTATATGTTCTGATAAAAAAAACAAAATTGAAAAAGTAATAATATAAATAGAAAACTATAACAAAATAATTATCAAACAACAAACTAATATTAAAAAAAATTATAATGGACCAATATTCAAATTTTATATAGTTTAGTTTTCAATTTTTTGTTTGTTCAAACAATATTAGAAAAAGAGATTTCAACAATTGAAATCTCTTAAAAAAAAGTTTCATGAATAAATTTATCGATCAAACCTAGACACGTGTAAGTCTTTCTATTTTGAAAAAAAAAAAGTCAATTCATTTTTCATATCACGAATTCATAATAAAATGCTAATCTTTTATATATATATAATTATAATAAATATATATATATATATAAAAGATTAACATTTTATTTATTTAAAGATTTGCTATCAGATTTTAAATATTGTATAACAAGAATCATGATTGGATAAAAATGTTTTTTTTTTTTGAAAAACAGAAACCAAAATCTATCTCGAAAACTTCAAACAATCCAGGCCAATTAACTTTGTGAAAACATTATTTATTTTCAAAAGGAATAAAAAAAAATATCAAAAAACCACTTGGTAAAAATGAGAGGACTAGTTATAACACTGGAAAGTTCTTACTAAAAAAGAAAATAAAAACAATTTTAGGTACAGCTAAATACGAGAAGTCGGCGTCTCAAAGTTCGCATGGATGACTCAAGAGCAAACATTAGTTACCTCCTACCTCAGCCTAGATAACAATGGTAACTTGGAAATCGATTCCTGTAATAAATTAGTATAATCTTAGCTGATTTTGGTATCCAGAGGAATTGAAGAAAAAACTTTGAAATTTACAGCTTCAATCCACCTTAGATACGACTCATTACTTGTGTTGCACTTGCATTGATCGATGTGTACATTTCTGCATTTGTTGTTGCTATCAACGTCCATGGGGATTCAACAAAGAGGGGTTTCGTGTCTTGGCACAAAATGATTGGTTCAACAGTTTGAATTATGCACTACATATGTACATGTAAAGACAAAGAAACCAAGGAAAAATCAGCCAAATGTGTAATTGTAAATTCTCTTGAACCATAAAATACTCAACTAATAAAGCTCCATACATTTCGAATTTTTCATCTTTGACTAAGAAGCTGCTGAAAATGTGGGGTTTCTAACCATTATCATATCTAAATATTCATATCTTATATGGGTAAGCAATGACAACAATAAAACTCTATTCCACACCGTTGTGATAAACTGACATAAGAGTGTATTTGGTATGAAATTTGAGATTGGAAGCAAAAAACAGGATTATTGAGATCATCGATAATTCAAGTGGCAATATCTTCATTATGTGGCGATCGGCTTCAAGTATTAGATGGGGCAGCATTCCAAAATGCAGAGAGAAAGTGCTTCTCCGGTTTGAGATATTTTTTCTAAAAAAAATCCGAAAGAATATCTAGAATTTCTAAAGCAAAACTATTGGACAATTTCAACTAGCACTAAAAAATAGTTCTTTTAGATGTGGTTCCAAAGCTTGCAAGGATGACAATTTATCATTTCTGAATTTTTTTAAAAGTTTTATCATATTACATGACATAACCAAGAATGAGTGAATATCAGGCAGTGATCACGTAGACAAAAAAAAATCCCAATTACTTACCTCAGCATTAAATAGTATGTCACACTGGAGAGTGCACAAAAATTTTGGCCCTTCATTGCGTCTTTTTAGTCTCTCGAAAAGAACTGCATATGTTGGCCTGAGGGCGTGCCCAAGAGTCCAGCGGATGCGATACAAAGGGCCATCGAGATCCAGCATAGGCGACTCTGTTTTGCTTCTTGAACAATTGTTGAGTTTCACGTAATGATCGATGAGTTCTCGAACATGTACCCGGTCGATGCTATACTCTATGGCCAACACAAGCAATAACTTCTTACGATACTGCAAGCTATATATTAAGAGAAAACTTAAAGATAAAAGTGTTGGTGGAATGACTTTAGATTTTGTTAGTTCATAGAACTAGATTGATATAACTAGTTTGTTCGTAGAACTAGATTAAATACAAACGTTTTCAAGTGGATCTGAATGATAGAATTCAATTTTTTTTTTTTTTTTTGGTATTCAGGACAAATGGTCTTAGAAGTTGTGGACAAGAAGGCATGGACAAATGAAACTCATATAATAAAGTGTTGGAATATAAAAGGAGTCAATCAGACGACTGAGATTGCCAGGCGGAAGCAGTCAAAAGGGAGAGATCCTTCCAGCCAAGCCGGAGGGTTCCATCATCTTGAACCAACGTATATCCGTTCCACGGCAACATACCCAGCAACAAACCCGCTTGCATCGCCGGGTTGCCCCGAAGTGAAACGGGTCTAAACCCGACCCTACTCAACTCCTCTTTCCACCTCCTCCTCCTCTTCTTTCCTCCGCCCGTCACTATGCTCCTTATCTCCGTCGCAAGCACAATCTGCTCCACCGTGAATCTCTCTCCACTCTCCTCCCCTAGTCCGGCTCCGAGCGCGTCGAACAAGGCGCTGTAATAATGCAAGGCCTCCACGAATCTCCCTAGAAAGCTGCTTCCTCCATCGTCGTAGCTCAATTCCTGCTCCACCACCGTTATCAGATTCGGCTTCAGCCTCCGTAGAATCTCCAGCGTATCGGAGTCGCTCCCGGTGACGTCGTATAGCCGGTGCTGCATCCAGTGGACCACCACAGCCTCGCCGGGTCTCGTACCGAGTTGACTCGGATCGATCAGGTTTCCGATTATGCCTTGAATTGGATGAAATTCGAAAGGGAGGGCTAAGGACGCTGCGAAATCGGCGAGTCTCCGGCCAGTGGAGGCGAGGAGATCCGAGGAGGAGCCGAATCCGGTGATTCTAATGGATCGGAGCTTTCGAGGACGGGAAGCGAGGATGTGGAAGAGTCCCGGCCATTGGAGGCCTTGCATCACGTCGAGATCGATGATGTGGACGGAGTCCTCGCCGTCAAGCGCCTGGAAGATTGCTTGATTCGCCGTAAAGTGGGAGAATTTGATCAGAGGGCTCACGGAATTGAACGTCTGCAAGGCGGAGAAGATCTTCTGGGACTGGTAAACGGTGAGTGGTCTCTCGGAGAGTGGTGTAGACGCGCCGGCGAGGTAGGAGCTGATGACGCGAGTCTGTAGGGCCTGCGCGAAGTAGGCGACGACTCGCTCCGGAGAGGAGCCGAACGGAGAACATATCTCGGAGATTTCCGACAAGAGGGTCGAAGCATCCCGGAGATGATCCGTCGCGACGTATTCGGCGCATTGTAGCAGAAGGCTAAGGAGATTGATCGCGCCACAGTCGTCTTCTAGTGTCACCGTCTCTTCGGCGGCAAAGTCGACATCTTTACAGCGTTTAGCGGCGGAGAGATCGCCGGAAGATGGGAAATCTCTGTCGAGACGCTTTGCAGTCATGGGAAATTGGGAGAGGAGAATCATTGAAGAGAGAAGAAGAAGAAGAGAGCAAGGAAAAGGGAAAAAGGTGAGAGATTCGAAAGTCGAAAGGGTTTAAGAGAGTAATGACAGGAATTTTGCAGAGACAAGACAAAGACAAGATAGTATTTTGGATCCTTCAAGATTACATCTTTTTGCAACATTCACTGCGTATAATCAAGTGTTTTTGATTGGCTTGTCAACACAAGAGCTCGATTACTCTTTTTTGTCTTTTTCTATAAAAATAAAACCAAATACTTCTTCTTTTTTCACCTAGGAGGATTCCTGATCCATCATTCACAGCCAAGGGTTGATAGTTATCTTGTGCCACTTGGTGTTCGTGAGCGTAGCAAGCAATGTGACGTGACATGTTGTGATTAGAAATGTTGTTGCAGCCTTGCAGCGGATAGATATTGTACTATGTGGCTGGAAATGTTTTTGGACTTTGATGATGCCAAAATGATTAAAAGAACAAAAAAATATAGGAATGAACATTTTGGCTCTTTAGTCCTACTTTAGTATTCTCTTTGAGAGCAAAAACTTTCTTCAGGTCTCAGATTTTAGTTGTTCTTTTTGGTCTTCTCTCAAGCTGAGGAGTTACGAGTTGTTACGACATGTACTTAGAGTATGTATCAGGTAGGCGTCTGAAATTGTTGCAGTTCCTTGTTGGCTTAGTGGTGTGATTGTCAAGGTAATAGGCTAATAGCATCCTCTTGGATGGAGAAAAAACTAAACCGAAACGAATCAAAGTGTTTGAACCAAATTTTATTTATAAACCAATTAATTGACTAACCGAAAAACCGAAACCTGTTAACATGGGATGGGTCAACTGAACAGCTATAGAAAAGCCCAAAGGCCCAATTGGGTAACATTCATCTCTTTTACCCATGTTTTTAGTTCACAGGGTTTGAGAAAACATATCCTGGATGAGCTTGAACAGACTTTTCTGATATGTATATAGACTAGAGAAACCCATGCTACTTCTGCCGCTGTAAAGCTGTTAACATCACTTCCTTCTTTTCTTCTTTCTTTAATTCCATCTGTGAGATAGTCTCTACATCTTCATTCCATGACGCAAAACGGAATGGCCCAATCACAAATGTGTTACCAAATGGGGATGCAAAGTTGAAGACTCAAGAGTGAGCTATGAGAGGTCAATATCCTCCTGTAAATCCTACCTTTTTCGAATACAACATGTAACCCCACTTTTGTTGGAATTAACACCTTTTTGTAAAACAGATAAAATACCGTCTTTGAAAAAAAAAAATTGTATCACAGGTTTGCTCCATCAGTTTGTTCCATCTTATTTGGTAACAATTACGTTCAGCTTATATGTAAACCACAAACTTTAACTGTATATTTGTGTGGGTAACTTCTCCTTTGTAAGAGATCAAAGAGAGAAATGAGAGGCATGTGAATGGGTCACATGAAGTAAATGAGAATGATGGAGACACTTTTCTCTCTCTCTCTCTCTCTCTAATTCCATCTTCATCAAGTCTAACTTAATCATGTCCTAATAATTCACCTCTCCTCTTTCTTTCCTTTTTTTTTTCCCTCATTAGGTTGTATCTCAACTTATCTTTTGACTTTGCCAATGCCAATACTATTAGGCTATTACCTAGCTACTTTTGACTTCAATCATACAGATCATAATACCCTTCCGTGTTACATTAACGTTTTGTTAGTAGGTTTTCAAAATCAAATAATCTTCTCTTTTTTTTTTCTAGATTTTACGTGCATCCAAGAGCTAGAATGTTGACGATCCACCGATAAAACATTTGACTTTCTTTTTTAATACGAAGTATCGTATACATGTGAAAGCATTATTAGATTGAAACATATAGGTGAATTAATTAAACAAAAAGTCATCAAAAATGATAAGTTATGACTTTAATATGTTTGTTCTTTTCGACTTTCTATCTTTTTCGAATTGCCTTTTATTTCGCCTTTTCTTATTTTTTACCCCCTACATTTCCACAATCTTTTTTCCTAATAATATCTCTCTCTTCTTTTTCATCATTGCTTTCTTTGTCTCCCTCTCTTTCACTTTTATCTTGTTTATAAATTATGAGCTGATCATCTCTCTCTGCTTAAAGCTAGGGTTTTCTTATGGAGTCCATGTTCACCACCGAAGCTTTTTCTTTTGAGGGGATTGTTGTCTGGCACGAGGCCCTTAACTTAGATCTACAGTTGATTATATATTCTTATTCTTAATTTATATTACACATATTATATATACATGATTAATGATCGATTTAATGGTACGTTAATGGCGTCGGACCAGGCTTCATTCCCCTCAATTACATCGCTTGGATCCACCCTTGAGTAACTTTCAGGTTAGTTTCATCTATATATATTCTCTTAGGAATCTAATTTGTTCCGATTTATTATTTTCTACATATCACTCACTGATTTTCAGTCGACTTAAAATTTCTTTATGGTTGTTTTTGCTGAATTAGTACTAAGGTAGGTTAATAAAAAGTTGAGGTTGCTAGTTATATCCGAGTACAGTATCTAGAAATCGAAAGAAGCAAGAGTAGATTCATCTCTTTCTTTCTTTTAGAACTTTAAGTAAATTCATCTCTGATTCTATAAGTACGTGAATGGTAAGAAATAATCTGTATAGATATTGCTTCTCGTTGCTGAATATTAGTTACCAACTCGAGTTTTGAGTTGTATAAGTAAGAAAAATCAACTAGTTTAAACAAATTTAAGATCCATATTAGGGCTTATGATTCGCATACTAGCTCTGGATTTGTAAAAAAAAGCAATTTTTAATTGTAAAAATTTCGTTTATTTTTGTTTCACAAACATTTATGAATGTGGAAAGAATATAAAAAAGGAAGAATACGGACGAGTGGGGCGGATAAGAGGCTTTCTTTAGAGGTGATGCTTACAAAAAATGACTTTTAATACAAATGAGTGAATGGCGAGAATGAATTTTCTGCTTGTTGCATCTTTACTTTAAATCTATGGAGGCTTATCATTCACAAAGGTGAAAAGCTAGAGAATCAATCCTATTTCACTCACTCTTTAAAATTTCGAATGTTTGGTGTGGTCACCGGAAAGAAAGAACAAAAAACGGTTGTAATAAATAGGCACACCAGTATTATATACACATTCATCTAATTAATGGTATGCATGGGACTTTACACTGCATCAAATTTTGGTTAAAATGTTACGTGTGGTTATGCTCACATAGTTTGGTCACCACAGCATCAAATGCGGCACCACCATGGCACCATATCAAGAACATCTTGTTTTAGTTAAATTTACGAAAAAAGCATAACCATATACGTATGATTGTTTCTTAAACAATTTTGTCACTCTAACTTTTATAAATAGTTGATCATGCTGAAAAGTTTTGTTTTTCTTACTAATATTTTCATGTTAAGAGTTCATTATTCAATATGTTTCGCCTCAATGGGAAAATAAAATGGAACCAAGCTCAAGCTATATATACGAGTCTTTCACATCCTATCTATTTATTTATTTTTTTGAACGATAGATCACATCGTACTATGAGTATGATTTGTAACACCGATCATAACAATTGTTATGTTTTCATTCATACCATTCAGACATTCGTATGGCATCTCTATCTCTCTCTTTTGGCCTATCACTTCTTTTTTATGTTCATAATATTCCTTACGATGGGACGAGTGTCATTCACTGAACATGCATGTGAATAAGTGTGTGGAATCATATTCGATTTTTGAAGACCCTTTAACAAAATCATATTCGATTTTAAATAGATATGTCTCTCCAACAACAAATTCATTAAAACTATGACGAGCACAATACTGTATTTGTAAGAGAAAAAAGAAGATATTCAGATTAAGGCTAGGAAACTATCATATTCATTCTCTCTTGGGAAATGTTTTTACTTAACACATATGCGACAAACACATTAATTAATTTGAAATGGAAAAGGTACTTTTATCGTGAATGCGTTCAATAGGCGCATAGTCGACTATCGAAATAGACAAGTTGGGGAGTAAACTAAGCCCACGTCTTTTATTTTCCGCCATCATACAAAATGGTCGGTCCATTTCATTTAATTCCTTTCTCTTCCCTCTCTAAAGAATCAAACCTTGAAATCCCTTTTTTCTAAAAAATAATTGTATTTTTTTTTTATAACTCATGGGTAAATCCTAGACCTATGGTCGAGCCCAGACTAATCACTTGGGGGAGATGCAGCCTACGGATAGACCCTTTATTCGGATATTCAAATGGGCCGTAAGTACGGACCCATATCCGTGTAGGTGTCTACAGAAATCGTGAGGAAGTTCCCTCTAGCAGAGTTTGAACTCACAACCTGAGTACAGGAAGGAGTCCATCTTTACCATTGTATTTTTTGCCTCTCTATTTGCGTTCTCTCATAATCTACAACCCAGAAAACCAACTACATACAATAATTAAGAAGAATAAATAAACTGTAGAAAAAACTATCATAGACCTTGAAACTAGCCCTTTTTCTATAGAAATAATAATAATCATAGACCTAAAATATATTTATTATCCTGAATAAATAAATACAAATTAGGCTACAAGTACAACATAACAGAGATGCATATCACAATGATCAAAAGCACATCCAATGAAAAGCAAAACCTTAAACTGATTATTAGGATCGAATTAATCGAAGGCACATCATTCTAACCCCTTGTTTTTATATTACAAGTCGTTCTTTAACATGCTCCCCAAATTTGTTATTTCGTCAACCAACAGATAGACAATTCGATCGACCACAACCACTTGGACTTATCTTGAATTTTGTTTAACGGATATAACATCTTAAGTGTCTCTAGCTAGTCTCTACGATATGCCACGCCTACTCTAATTTTCTTTTCTCTGTGTTTTTTTTTTTTTTTAGAAGAGAGTCTTGACTTTTTTTCTTCCACCAAGCAAGGATAGAAAGAAAAAATTAAGGGTTTCGTGATTTTCATCATATATATACACACACTTAATAAGTTTTAGTAGATCTTCACTATATATAAATGGAAAAATATATCTATATTTCGTTTAAATTGTATGTTATATACTTTATAAAAAAAGGATTTCAGTATCATCATTTATATATACACTTAATAAGTTTTAGTGGATTTCTGCCAAATTAGCTCAAGCTCTCGAGCAAAGTCCTTTTGTCGGCCGACGACGATGGTGATGTGGTCTTTGTCGGGGATGACGTGGACAGTGGCATGTGGCACTTTGGTCTTGACATTGTAGCTACACTCCACAGGAATGACCTCGTCCTTGCCACCGTGGAATATGTTGACGTCACAGTCTACGTGGTCTCGGACATAGTCAAGATACGACTCGAGCTTGCCTCCTGAGCCGAAGATGATGTTGTGTAATGTGTGCCACGACCCGTTGTGTGTGTGACATAAAAACCCTTCTATCAAATACGTTCTCATCCTGCCATAGAAAAATGAATACAACATTATTGTTTGAAATTAATTTTATATACTTACGAAAAAACAAACCGAACGAAATCTAGGTAAATTCTGAAACTTTTTTAACTCAATCTTTTCTTATTCTTGTATATCACTTTTTCTATATATATATATATATATATATATATCTAGCGTATGGTTATGGATCATTGAAAATGATACATAGTTATGATATAAAAATGCCAAAATGAAATTTAATGTTTCAAATAATGGATGAGACACGTCGACATAAATCACTTTCGGTGTTTAATTAAAAACATTTTACGTTTCGTTATTATTTTCCTTCATAAAGACATTTTTCTATTACATAAAGTTATTAGATTGAATTCTCGCATTTCCTGATATGGTATCACAATTTTTTTTATGTAAAAGTTACTAAAGTGAACCAATCAACATCTTATTATTAGAATTATCTTACAACAATTTCAAAACGTCAATTTCAAGATTTGAGAAGAAGAGTAGATAGGAGGGGAGTAGTTGGTTCATTAAAACTTAAAGACTTTTAGTCATGTAGGTGTTCCCCTAATCTCATGCACCGTGAACTTAAGGTCAATTTTCCTTATTTAATTTTCAACAATATAATTTGTGGACGTAAACCTACGATCGATCGTCGTCTGGTTATAACTGAAGTGTGATTAAGGCCATGATTCTTTCTTTTAGTCTCTACGTATTTTATGGTTTCTAGAATACTACAATACGAAAATGGAAACGTAGAGAAACCATCGTAGCGTAATGTTATGTTGTATGATATTGAAATATGTACCTGTTCAAGGTAAGGAGACGAGTGAGCGATTCAATCAATTGATGGTTTTTGCAGAGTACAAGGCAAACGGTGCGACCAATGTGCTCGTACCAGCTGATTAGCGACGCACCAAACTGCATCGGTGGCCAAACGTTCTTAGGAGCCACTTTCCTCATTACGTATTGTGCGGGCTGTACTCCCTTCGGCACCTTGTAAAATGGCTGCCATATTATATGACTTCATTTAATTAGTTAACCAAAATATTCCAATATATACATAGTTATTGCCAAAACTAAGTTGAGAAAATCAGAATTTGCACTGATATATAAACGATATGATGATATAAGACCTTTTTACTCATTAAGTAGCATCAGCTGTTTTGAAGTAGAAGTTTATGATTACGAAAGGGTTAATTGACTTACAGGAGCCAAGAGAGTGAGGGACTTGATAGCTCCAGGGTGTTTAACGGCGAGTGCAAGAGCCAAAACGCAGCCTAAAGAGTGAGCCACTATGTGGAACGTTTTGAGCTTATAGTGAGAGATCACCGATTTCTCAATCATCTCTAAATGTTCTCGTAATGTATACAACGAGTCGTTTGGCTTCGGACTTCTTCCATAACCCAAAAGATCGACTGCGATGAGCCTATAATTCGATTTGGCTGAATTAGAAAAGCTTGGGAAGACAGTCTCTGTCCAAAAGGAGGATGATGATAAGAAGCCATGTATGAACACAACGTTGTCTCGTGCTTTCTTGTTATCTGCACATATAAATATCTCATTTATTTTAATCTGGTACCTTAACTAGTGTATATTCCCCAAAATGAGAAAGCTTGTAGCTAGCTAGTGTATTGGATATTTGGATGACGACAAGAATGTATACCTATATCAGACTAAAAAGTAAAAACAATGCATAACCCTTGTATTCATAATAATCAATATATTATTCTTGCAGGTGATTTCGTTTTCGTAAAATACTCATAATATTTTATTTTCTAGCTAGGGGAAGTTTTAATTTTTTAATGGAAAATATAATTTGTTCTATATATGTATAGTCGTCTTTACAATAAATAATCACTGTAGTTATTTTATTGTTGTATTTATAATACTTTTAAAACATTTCTTAATTAATGTGCATTAGTAAGAAACCATCACTAAATATGAAATAAAGGGATTATGTTATGTTTTACGTTTATGTAAATGGTGATCTCTTTTATTGTACGTTAAGCTCATGTTACCATTTTGTTACAATAAATCAACTTTCATCTCACAAGAGTTTAATGTACCCAAGTATTCAAATTTCCTAGTTGTGTATATATATATACTCCAATGAATAAAAACAAATTATGGAATTAATTTAGGAATAGTGGGTTAGTTTTACCTTTGGGTTGTTGAACTTTGACAAAGAGAGAATCTTTGTTAGAAGAAGAAAGCCGGGAAGTACAGAAACTGCAATGACAATCCGACCATCTTGGTGTTGTTGGAGATTTATCAACGACCGTGGAATTCAAAGTCATTAATCTCTTTTTATTACCACCACGAGTCTTCTTCTTAGACTGGTCATTATGATCACAAGAGTCCACCACATTGCATCTCATGATCAAACCTGTATAATTGAAGCATTTCACGGACCTCACGAGCTTAGAGAGCCTCGTTAGAAGCGAAGGACCACGTGAGTAAAGTGTGTCCGAGATCTCATCGAAATGTATCTTTGTTCTTGTCATAGACACAACCTTTGAGTACTCTCCTCGCTCGGACACTATGATCTTCTCGGTCTTGGTTTGAGCCTCTAGTGGAGAAGAGCAATAACAAGGTTTCCACTCGGACTCGAAGAAGAAATCTAAAATCTTGTAAGTAAAACAAAGCAAATAGTCGACAATGTCGAGGAAAAAGAAGACGAATATGCCCACGGTGCGATTGAGCCACCGTGTAATGGCCATAATGTGTGATGGTGATGAAGAAGTGGTTTTTATTTGAATTTCGGTGGATGTGAGAGTGTGTTATATAAAATGATGTTGTATGAGAGAGAGGGTAATATATAGAAGATGACAGATATATGAATTTATTGTTTCATTTAAATAATTTGCTGTCCAAAGTATTGAAATTGGGTGGAGGTTGAATCCTTTTTTTTGGGTGGGCAAACCCTAAATCAACTATTTAATGTCTATTATCTATATTTTTAATATGTTTATAATTTGGAATGTACTATAGTATTAGTTTATGGTTTGAGGGCTAAAGTACTGAAGAAAAAAAAACAAATGTGGAAATCAAATGCTATTAAATTTAAAATCATTTCTAGTTTTCTAATAGTTCTATCAAAAGGTTAAAAACATATATGTATTTTTTTTTTTTGGTAATCGGAAGGAGATAGAAATCTCCCTCAAGTTTTATTAAAGAACTAAACAATGTCTTACAAACTGGGTTCGTGTAGAGCCATTTGCATCCTCCGTAACCAACTCTGCAATCTCAGGTGGGACGGAAGGAAAAGAATAAAAACCTAATGGCAAAGAGTAGGCAAAATTTGCAAGACCATCTGCTACAAACCTAAACATCTATGTATTTTTTGTCTCAATATATACGTAATTGGGTATTATATTAGTTGAAAATAATTCATATATAAATAATAATAATAATAATAATAACAATAATAATAATAATAATAATAATAATAATTTATCAAAAAAACTAAATGTTTAGTATAAATAGTTATACAAAAATTATGTAGTGTTTGTTAGAGAACGCGCCTGATATGAAATGTCAAGTGTGGTCGATGTGTCACATGTGCAATCAATAAAACTCTTTGCATCATCATTGTCTTTGAATATTATTAACAGGACAGCCTAGCCTAACTTGTTGTCTTATTCCCACATATTCATAATATTTGATTACAAAAATTACAAGGAGGAAGATAACGACTGTTGTTTATTTACCCTTTTTTTTTTGACATCGAAAGTGTTAATTTAGTTATAACTTATATTATTATTGAGACATACAATCACTATGTAAAACTCCAAACAATCAATATTTGTGTTAATTATATACCAAGAACCATGCTACACACTACGTATAATAGTGTACGTAGAAGAACCATGTGCAATAAACCTTTTGAACAAGTCCTAATGTAACATACGTAAGCAAGAGGAATGGTTCAAAAGTCTTATTGTATATATTCACGAACCTAAACTTTACTTAACTAAGCAGTACATCTCTTACCATTTGCAAAGATTCGTCAAAGTAAAAAAAAATGGAGATCACACATAGCTCTTCTCTCAAGCCTTTTAACTTCACTCTTCTTCTTCTTTGGCTATCACATGTTCAGGCTGCTCAATCTTTCACAAATTTCATATTTGGAGACTCATTGGTAGATGTTGGAAACAACAACTATATATTTACATTGTCGAAAGCTGATTCTTCTCCTTATGGCATCGACTTTGGACCTTCCAATGGCCAACCCACCGGAAGATTCACTAATGGTCGAACCATTTCTGATATCGTAGGTATGTTGTCTATTGGTTTATTAGTTTTTAACTTTTAATTAAGTAGATTGGAATTATATGTTTAGTACTTCATCAAAAACTTCATTCAAATCATGGGATGATAATATAAGAAAAATTAGTGAAAACAGCATTTATTGTGAGATTGAGAAAATAGTGAAAGTCGGTTACTACATAATCAGATATAGATGTGCATTGATTTAACGGTTAGTTACATCGATTTAAATAGAAAGGGAGGATTCTTCTAGTTACAAAGACACTTGAAGTCAACGGGTTGATAAGTTGACTTGTCTTGAAGCATGTAAAGTCAGAATTGGGTTGGAACGACAAATTAAAGAGTTTGTAATAGGGAAAAGTCAAAACGCGAATTCCATAAATGCAACATTCATAAAGTTTGGTTAGGAGTTCTAACTAATTTATCATAGGCTTCTTCTGATCATTTGTTGTCTGATTCTTTAATCACTTAATAATGTTATCTAAAGCTTAAGATGATGCCACTCTGTGATCAACGGTCTTATACAGCTTATAAGATAAACTAATATATAGTTTTATTTGAATAAATTTAAACAGGTGAAGCCTTAGGAGCAAAATCAGCACCACCTCCATATCTTGAACCAAACACTGAGGCTAACACAGTTTACAATGGAATCAACTATGCTTCTGGTGCGGCTGGAATCTTGGATGATACTGGACTTTTTTTCGTAAGCTCCATTAGCTTTGATTTCCATTACATATCACTATGTTTTGATAGAAATGTTGTTTTAAAATGTACATCATCATATTATAATTCAATATCTGTGTGAGAGATGTGTCAAAATAATACTTATTAGCTTTAATGATGACCAAAAAAAAATACATTTTTGTTTTGTTTTACAGATCGGAAGAGTTCCGTTGAGGGAACAAGTGAGTAATTTTGAGAAGAGTAGAGAAGATATGGTAAGAATGATTGGTGAAAATGGGACAAAAGAGATGTTGAAGGAGGCAATGTTCTCAATCACAATTGGGTCCAATGATATATTGAATTATATCCAACCATCAATACCTTTCTTCTCCCAAGAAAAGCTCCCCACTAATGTCTTGCAAGATTCCATGGTCTTCCATTTAACCACACACCTTAAGGTACTACTACATTTATTTATTATTTGAGGGAAATATTGCCATAAATTCGAATATTATTGAGTCAACGTTATTATTGAATTTATTGAATACACAAACACGATCTAAGTCATAATATTGAATTATTGATGTGTCCATTGCGTGTGTTGCAGCGTTTGCATGAACTAGGAGCTAGAAAGTTCCTGGTGGTCGGAGTGGGGCCACTCGGTTGCATACCGTTCGCTCGTGCATTGAATCTAATACCGGCCGGAAAATGCTCCGAACAAGTCAACCAAATCGTCCGAGGCTATAACATGAAGCTTAGACACTCTCTTGTGACATTGAACAGTGAGTTAAGATCCGAAGATCACAACACTACATTTGTCTACGCCAACTCTTACGACCTTTTCTTGAAACTGGTTTTGAACTATCGTCAGTTTGGTAAGAGTTAAGTGTTTTTATTTTTAACTTATTCTAGTAACGACCCACCATCATCACTAATTTTATAGATTGAAACGTTTTGGTTTGATGTTTTTGCAATAGGGTTGGAGAACGCAGACAAGCCGTGCTGCGGCGGCTACTTTCCACCGTTTACTTGCTTCAAAGGACCAAACCAGAACTCGAGCCAAGCGGCTTGTGAGGACCGGTCCAAGTTTGTCTTCTGGGACGCATATCACCCAACCGAAGCTGCCAATCTCATTGTTGCCAAAGCACTTCTTGATGGTGACCAAACTGTGGCTACACCTTTCAACATTCGTTACCTTAACGATCTTTGAGCTTTGATTATTTATGTAATGAATATTTGTGTAATTCGTAACCACATAACAGTACTCACTCAATCACATGTCATGCACGTTGATCATTCGCTAATAAGGTATAGTTTTATTAGGAAAATCACAACAAGATATATAGAGAACACGACTCTACTGATAGACTCTAAAGCTTAGTGAAGATCATAAACACACTACAAACTGAAATCGAAACTTAGACCAGATAACCGGTCTGTAAAATCAATTAAGCTCAATACCAAAGTTACCAGCTGAATGAATCTTTAGACTTGCCAATTTTGCTTTTGTATGAACTCTCTATTTCTTCCTGCACACAGATTTCATTAACATATACATATATCAGAGCCCTTTTTACATATTTTTCTATATGATCATGTATGTATTGTTTTAAAAAGCTTGTTGAGAATTAGAACAAGAGCAATGAGAGAATCACCTTGCATGATTTGAGTAAAGGTTCTAAGAATGAGGATCTGAAGAACTTGATTGATTTCCCAAGCAAACTTGTGTCTGAATCTGGCACTGGCAGGTTTTAAGTAACTAAGATTATTTATGGCGCTAAGTAAAGGAAAATCCAAAACATCTCAACATTGAGAGTATTAACGAAAGTACCATCATCATCATCCACATCCATTTTGGAGCCTCCTGAGTTGATTTCTTCTATTAGCTGCAAAATCGTAAGAAAATGAAAGACTATCAGTATCTTTGGGATGAACAAACTAATTCAGATCCACACTCTAATTATCATATTTTACCTGTGAAAGTGTTGGAACTGCGAGTGGATCAAACTCGTCGCAGTTATTTGGGTCAATCGGAACACAGACACGACCTGGAAACCAGAAAACGTTTCTTAAGTATGAACATGATTCTTATACAACTGGTGTAATATACTCGAAAATCAGCAAAAAAATACCTGTTTTTGGATGGACACAGAAGGGTGCCTTAAGCAGATGGTTCATTTGTTTTGAGACCTGTAATTGACCAAGGAACCATACAACTAAACAGTCACTTAACTTGTCAAGTAATGTCTCCCAAAACTGTAGCATACAAGATTATAAACAAACCTCCAAATCAATTCGAGGATACGTAAAGGTGAAGACAATTTCTTCTACGCACATCCGCAGTGATGGAGCCTAAAAACATTGGATAAGAGATTAAAAGATGAGCAAATCTCTAGGATTCAAGTTCATCAAGCTAAGAGCTGAGTGAAACACAAATAAGCTTTTCACAACTCTTTAACATTACTACACACCTTCTGTTTCTTGGAGTAGAGCGTGTTTTTAAGCTGCTCCCACCTTGCAAGGCTAGTGGCTTCTTCTGATAGGGATGATCTAGCAGCATTCTCCCACTTTTCTCTGAGCTCTAACTGAATATCTGTTGTGAAAATGTAAGATCATCGTAAGTGACCAAACTAAGGTTAGTACCTTCTCATATACATCATCACACTTGCCATACCTTCATCTGAAATCATCTCAAGTATCTTCTCATACTTTTCTTTGCTTGAGAATATACTTTGATTTGCTTGTAGCTCGCCCTCAAAAAAATCCTTTAGAAAATCCACATACGACCTCCTGAAAAGCCAAAGATGAACATTAGTAGCAGAAAATAGAGAATTTCATCGAATCAGAAAGAAAGGCAAAAAGTGAATGGAGAAACTCATACGCAAGGAACGGATGAAGAGAATGACCCATAAGAGCAACTTTTCTTGCATTGTTTTCATTTCCCTTATAAACACGGAAGTATTCAGCAACTGCTGATCTTTGTTCATTAGTCAACCTGCAGGATTTGATCACAAAAGAGTTTAATTTCATAACGCACAAGATAGAAAATGCAGAAAATGTGATTCATACAACAAGAGAAACGAGCAAACGGTGTTAGAAATGAGTTCAGTAATTGTTTTCACCTTCGAGCTTTAACATCACAAACCCAACAGTGAACTCCGCGACGTCCACTGAAGACCCAGAGGATGTGTTTGAAACCAAAATCCTCTGCAAATTGGGAAAACCAAAATGAGTAACTATACGTTCTTCCTATAATAAGACCAAACAGTCTTGCACATTGGCAAACAGTAAACTACAATAAGTTCTTCACATTACATAGGCTATTGTTCTACAGTATTGACACACTGAATCTAATTCCCAAAATCAGAGGTATCTTTGCGGTACCTCTTAAGGAAGTATCAATGACTTTGATAGCAACTGTCATTAAAGGCCAACATTTGGAGCAAACATCAGCTCCTGAGCAACAGTATCTGACATCGTCATAATCTGTTATATCCTGAGAGAAACAATATATTGAAATTCAAGTAAAGAAACCATACAAAAAACACATAAGAAGAAGAAGAAGAAGAAGAAGAAGAAGAAGAAGAAGAAGAAGCATCAAAACCAATGGTTTGTATCTAGAAAAGATGATAAAACTCACAATATCAAAGACCAACTCCCTCTCCACTGGAGTAAACACATTGGTACCACTTTGTGCATAAGCATGTCTCTTATCTGGCTGCAAATATGAAACATTCAAAAAAAAGTTTCTAATCATAATCATTTTGACAAGCACATATAAAGATGAAGCTTGTAACAAAATGGGATATTCTCGAGATGGCTTACATCAACGCTATACACAGCGCCAATATCAATCTTGTATGGGAAATTCACTTTGATAGCGTCTTCCATAGCAGAAGCATTCTTGAAGGACTTATAGCGCAAATAAACATCGTTCTCAAGTGTAAACGAGAACTCTCTTCTACCAAAGTAGAATTCATCGCAACCAGGATGTTTCCCATCTACAGGTTACAATACATATTCATGATGCATCAATGGTCTATAGCTCTCTCATGTGTGTGTGTGTGTGTGTGTGTGAAAGAGAGACACAAGCAGAGAAACAAGTACCGTGTCCGTACGAAAGCCATTTGTGGATATCAGTGTAAGGAAAGAGCTTTCCTGCAAATATCTTATGAATTAGCATATTACTTTGAACGAGAGAACACAGTAAGATATGATTTTGCGAAGAACCAAATGTGATAAAAATGAAACTTGCCATAGTAAATTCGGAGGTAATGGACATTGAATTCGTCTGGATTTTCGATTCTAGGTTTTGGGTTTGTGAATTTTGGTGCATCGATCATCATATCTTCTCCTCTGGTTTCAGGCTCCTCTCTCGTCATCTTCCTCGCGCACAAGACAAAGGGCTATTTTACTATCTGGGTTTCAAGTAGAGATTCACAGCAACATCACAATCGAACTGAATCTATACCGATACCCAAACAGAACAAAATAAGTTGATCTCAGACTGAATCCGCAGAAAACAGAAGACGAATTTGGCCCAAAGAGAGCGCTTGTCGGAGAAGAAGGACAAAAATGTTTTGGCATTTGGTAACTGTGGAAAAAAAGGCGGGAAAGAATAAAGCAATTAGGGCAAATTTGGCGGGGAGAAAGAGAAAATGTATTGGGCCTCCTGACTAATTGCTGGGCGTCCAAACATTAATACAATTGATACCGTCAAAACTCAATCTGGCGCGAAAATCAGATCGTTAGGGTTGTGAGATTTCATCGATGAAAAGAAGAAGAAGGGAGAATGAAAAGTTGCGTCCCGATGAATCACCGGAGGAAATGATATCGCCGGTAATAGTATTTGCTCACGGTGCCGGCGCTCCCTCATCTTCGGAGTGGATGATTCGGTACGGGATAGCAATATAGCATAAGTCATCGCTTGACTTAGTAGCGTCTTTTTAAGTAATTTTGGCCTCTCACAATTTGGGTGTAGATGGAAGGATATGATGAAGAAGCAATTAGGAGCCGTTGAAGTTGTCACATTTGATTACCCTTGTGAGTGGATTTTTTTGTGTGTTATCATACAATTATACACTCTTAATTAAGCTATTGTAGATTAGATATTGGCGGTGGAGGAGGGAAAAGAAGAGTTGCTCCAAAGGCTGAAAAACTGATTGAATTCCATTTGGAAATTGTCAAAGAAACTGCTGCTCGGTTCCCTAATCATCCTTTGATCTTGGCTGGCAAATCAATGGGCTCCAGGTAGTGACTAGTGAGAGCTCTTTTTTCATCTTATACCCTTGTTCTGTTTTGCATGCTACGTTTCCTTATCTTCTTCTTCTTCTTCTTCCTCCTATTATGCTTCTGCAGAGTGAGCTGCATGGTAGCTGCGGATCCAGATGTTACAGTTTCAGCTGTCATTTGTTTGGGATATCCTCTTAAGGTTTTGTTTGCCGTTAAAAGTCCATTTCCTTATTCCCCGTTTCTATGATTGAACTATCAATTGAATTGAATCATGTATAAATTCTTCAGGGCATGAAAGGCGCAATAAGAGATGAGACCCTCTTGCAAATGGGAGTCCCTGTCATGTTTGTGCAGGTACAAGTCACGAAACATATCTCTTAGTCTTGGGTATGGGACATGATTTTAACCAGGAATTAACTAATGCTATCTTTGGATTTTGTATGAAACAAATAAAGGGTAGCAAAGATTCCATGTGTCCTTTGGATAAGCTCGATGCTGTTTGCAAGAAAATGAAAGCTGTGACCGAGCTGCATGTGATCGATGGTGGTGATCACTCTTTCAAGATTGGGAAGAGACACCTCCACACAAACGGTTTAACACAAGATGATGTTCAACTTGTCGCCCTCCAAGCAATATCTGCTTTTGTCTCCAAATGTATTGCTCACAACTTGTTAAACTAATATATGCTTTACTTGCAATATTGTATGCCTTATATATTGCCTTGTCTCAACTTTTAATGACAAAACTTACAAGAACTAGAAAAAGGAAAAAAGAGGATTTGAAGAAGATGAACACAAGTGTTTACATTTAAACCTCTTATAGCTCTTATAGCTCGAGCGAAGCATTACATTTGAAGCGACTGTTGTACAAGACCAGCATCCAATTGATTCAATGCTTCTTTTTAGCTTGACCAACCCGGTGCAGGTCAAGATCGCGAGTTGTTTGTCATACTTCCATCAACGACAGTTTTGTTACTTTTGTCCATTCCTAACAACATGGGTATACAGTATACTATCCATGAGACCGGCATGGATGACAATGAATCATCAATAAATAGATAAAGGTACACATGTGAATTGTGTACATAGGTGTCGTATAAAAATACTTAATTTCTGACCAACTGAGTCTTTGTTTCTAAACAAGACCAAACAGAATTAAGAAATCAAAATTCTGAAAGTTAAAGAGAAACACCCAACGATTATTAACTATAGGTCAATAGTCCGTAGGTTATTCAAACTAGATCGTTTGACTTATCATATTTGTAGTATGTATATTCAAAACAAGATGCATCATTTAGTTTAAATATTTTGGCCGTTTACAAAGAAATCAATGTTATGTAGGAGACATTTCGTCTCATCAAAACACCTATATCTTATTGAAGACGTTGCATTAAAACCAACTAACCAAGGTGTGTATGTATCTACCTTTCATTTGTTAAGAAACATTTAATTGACTTATCTTTGAGGGCCTACTTGGCTACTTCTTGTCGTGCATATATACTCATCACCAATTTTGTAATAGAGAACAATTCGTTTACTTTAACTTTTAAAGTTTGCATGTACTAGTTTAGAAAATTTATAACAAGATGAACAATTAATGGTGGCGTGATAAATAAAAGGCGCGCACATAATGTGAGTCCATACCTAATTTTTCGTCCTCATCCTCACATGAAAATGACTCTTTAAAATATTCGTTGTTACATGTTAATACATATATACTAATATTTGATCGTCACTTCAGCACGTAAACTGTAACAGTAACAACTACATTAACACTATAAAATACATATCCTGCTCAGTCACATCTCACATACATGTTTGTTTACATCAACATATATCATACTAACATGCTAGCTAAATGCAAGCAATTAAACTACTATTACTCATTCTACTCTTGAAAAATGTATGATCCAAAGTCCAAACTGTATTATTTTCATGTACTTTTAATACATATTTAAACGATATATTGCACTAACATAAACCATATACAGATATACTACATTGCATATCAAAGTCGATAACGTATTTTTTTATTTTTGATCGCCTACTTTACTCATAAGTCATAACCATAACCATATATAACTATTGTTATCCATCATATTCAACCTATAACTAAACGGTTACGATACGTACGTTTCATCATAAATGCATTAAACTTCTACATCCACGCATACGTCCAAGTGTCCAACACGATTATTCATTTCCAAAATGTTTTTCATAAACAAAACAATAAACTCTCTAGTATTATATATAATATTAATATGTATCAAATATACGAGTTAAATAAATATTATAAGTTTTCATGCACATGATATTCCAACGACCCGATTCGCCGGGAATCTCTCGGACACGGTTTTCCTAACAAGAGAGCTGATCTCGGGCCCCACCTCCCTCTCCGTTGACTCTGGAATTGTAGTTAACGAACCCGATTTGTCATAAACGACGTAGTATCTATCTTTATCGCCACCGCGGTGTCCGGCCGCCTTGTAGACCGGCGAAGAAGGAGTGCTTGATGAGGACAAGCTTTGGTGCTGTTTTGGTCTGAACACTGACTTCAAGAACCTCTGGAGAGAACGAGAGATCTTGTTCGAATGTTTCTTGGCGACAGAGGAAGAAGTTGTCGCCGGCGGAGGATAAGACTTCGGCGAGAGTGAGTCGAGAGGAGGGAGACGGCGGTCGGGAAGATGAGACATGGACATGGTTCTGGCGGAGGAAGCAGAGATGGCTGAGTCGAGTTGACGTTTGAACGAGTTGAGCTCAAACGAGTCGTAGAGAGAGCTACCACAGTCCCACACGTGTGAACTCGTCTTCTTGTTAGAAATATTATTATTCTCTTTCTTGTTCTCTTCTTTCTCTTTGGTGCTTTCTGCGTTTTGACCATAATTTTGTTAACGCGTAAAACATCTTATATATGTATATGTAAACACACACTTATATTTGCATAACTGAATTAACAGAGTATAAATACATCAATGAATAACTTTAGGATATGTTGAAGAACATCCCTAAAAATATTAAGATTTGATAAATAAACATAAGATGGTTTTTCATTTTTTTTTTAAAATAGCTAGAAAAGTGTTACATGTATATTAATACCTTAGTTTGTAATAAAAATGAAGAAGACAAAATATCAACATCGCAACAAATTAAGGGAACAAAAGATCGGCAGCTTACCGATTTCCAAGTTCTTCATAATCTCAAGTGATGATGATGATGAAGATGAGGATCCCGAGTCACTCTTAGAATCATCTTGTTTCGTTTCATCAGAGTTTTGTCTTAAACCCTCCATGATCTTCATACTTTCTTGTCCTTTAGTATTAATCTCTTCTTCTGCCTTTTGACCAACCAGGACACACGCTTTCATGTTCGTCACATCTTCCTCTTTAGCTGCTACAATCGTCGACTCTGTGGCTTTTGGTTTGACTTTAATCTCCATGCTTATATTTTCGTGCCAAACAGAAGAAAATAAACGCAGATCAATCTATCTCCCGAAACCTTTTTGTTTACAATAAGTATGGAAAGTGAAAACATGTGAACTGTTAATCTTTCGGTGGTTGTTAAAGTATTGATAGGATGTATATCTATAAACTATAATATAGTAGTCTATGTCTATGTATGGAGAAAATAATAGACACTGAAAGAGAGAGAGAGAGAGAGAGAGAGAGAGAGAGAGAAACAAAAAAAGTGGGTGCTTGGTGGTGACTACTGACTGGTGAATAATGATGAATGTCCTCAAGAGCTTCACGGTCTGATATATTTCTTTATTTACAGAACAAGAACAAGAAAGAGATGATCAATATTTGATTAATTATAATGCGATTTTAAAAAATAACTAGTAGAGTACCCGCACGTTTGTGCGGTGTGACGTTGTTGTTTTGTGTAGAAAATTTAAACCCTAAATCCGAACCCGACAAAAAACCCTAATCAAAAAATTTAAAAACCCAAACTTTTTTAATAGGTCTAAACATGAAAATCCGAAATCAAAAAAATCCCGAAAACCCTGACTGAACAAAAAAAATCTGGAAACTTTTTCACCCGGAACCCGACCCCAATACCTAATCAAAATTTTAAAATACTCAATTTTTTTAATATATCTAAACCCGAAAACCAGAAATCTAAAAAATCCGGAAAACCCTAAACTGAAAAAAAAATTGAACCTAACCCGAACAGAAATTTTCAAAGAAACCCGAACAATTTCTATATCTCTATATATATCTCTATAAAATTATGTCTCAGATTTTCACCCAAACCCGAACTTGTCTATAAAAACCCGAAAATCCAAAAAGCATATTCTATTGATTTGGAATTATCGTTAGATTATGTTAAGTTTTTTTTTTGCAGATTTTTAAGAGATGGAAAACGGAAGTTTTCTAAACCATCGGTTTATTTTAAGTTATTATTCTTGTATCCAAACAATTTTTTCCATTTATTCTTCTATCCAAATAGATTTTTCTCTTATTCTTATATCCAAACAACTTTTGTTTCCATTTATTCTTCTATCCAAATAGATGTTTCTCTAATTCTTGTATCCAAACATTAGAATGTACTTCTCAATTAATAATATAAAGATGATAAAGTTCCATCTAGTAAAAATGTTTGATCCATGTTATTAGGAGTCAATATTCGACAGTTGATTTAACAACGAAAGATGAAATAAATAAACAAACGTGTTAACTCTTACCACCTATGTGTCTATTGTCTTGTAAAAACAAAACGAGCTACGTTCTTGTATGGGTTTGTTGACTATTCGTGCTCGTTCCCAATCTTATCACGTAAACCTTAGAGATATATAAATTCATAATATTAAATACTACTATAACACATGACATGATAATGTCCCCACATATATTTAATTCTCATTTATGATGAAGATCCTCAAATCATATCTTAATGTAGTAAATACTCGCAGAAAATTGTCCAAAGAAACCACCAGTACATGACAAAAAAGATGTTGAGAATTCTCGTAATGAATCCTCTCATCAAAGATGGAATGGTTTTAACTTTTATTTAGTGGAACGAGTCCTACTACTGGAAGTCAACCTCAAATGGATAACTAATTTCATGAATCACATCTTCAACCTTTGGTCACTGGACTCGCATTTCATCAATTTTCATATGAAAAGATTGTACAAATAGATAGAAGTAAAAGTAGAGCAGAGTCTCAAAACTGATATTTAACCTTTTTGACAAGAATAAAAAGGAAACACTCTAAATGTAAGCATCTGTGAGTGAAACAAATATTAAGCAGATGGAAGAAAGGCTCAAGCGATGTTGTTCCTCTTGGTCAAAAAGTATTCCCCGACTGTGAGATAAACATGTTCCCCAACAAGGACTGTCACAGCTGGAAACTTTTCAATGCAGCTTACACTTATCTGCCCACACGAAATAAAAGAGGAAACAATTGCTTAGTTATATATACAAAGGCAGAGCATATTATTAATATAAGTGAGTGGCACAAGACAAACCTTGCCATGTCCTGCTTGGAATTCGGATTTCAAATTCCATTGATCCCTCGATAGCAAGTATGTCTGGAGCCCACTCGCTAACTTGGCATCTCCTGAAAACCATCATTACGTCATATACATAAGCATTCGTTAGAGAGCGAGAGAGGGAGAATGAACCAGTAGGGATGATAGAAAATTACAACTGGGCGACTCACCTGAGTATAAACCAAGAATAGCCTCTTCGTTGAACATCAAAGCCGGTCTCGCCAAACTTATCTTAAACGACAACTTTGATACATTTTCGTAACTCTCTTCAGCTATTACGCCCTGCAAAATAACAGACACAGATCGATCATCAGTCAACAGACATTAATCAATCAAGTTCCTAGGGGCACAAGGAGTGTTGATGACTGCTGAGGAATACTTACAGCATGCCATGGCATTAAGGAAGACGGAAGCAAAGAGGAACCGATGCTGTCCCTTATGTATTGTTCCTGCCCACGACAAAAGAAGAAACGATCAGATATTCTCTTCAAACCATGCATTTCATTTAAAAACATTCAATCAATGTGACTTTCAAGGAAACCAAACCACAGATTCAATTAGATCAGCTCAAAAGCGTTTATAAGACCCAAGCAAGTTACTTGATTTATAAACCATGTAATAATTGGCAACCATAGAAAATGAAATATGCGTAGAGCTCAAGTTAACAACAAGTGAGAATCACAACAAACAGCAGTTACCTGAGATTTTACAATTTGTTGCAATGCACATTCGTCTTTGTCCATTGATTCTATGTAAACTTCAACAGTGTCTGTTGGTTCCAAGCCTGACTTCTTCCGTAATTTCTGGATCCTGTTGACGATCTATTTATCACACACGGAAAGAAGCTCGTGAGCACATATAAAATATACAACTTCTTATAAGAAAATGTATTCCTACGGTTTCATCTACTACGGTTTCATGCAGCAATATATTAATTACCTCACGAGCAACACCTGCTTCATACAACGAATCATCTGCTCGTAGATCCAAGATCACCAAAACATCACCTGCATCATGAACAAAAGCAATATGTATCCTTAATAGTACAGCACCGGTAACCGATCAAAGATTCCAATAAACTGACATTAGAAAAGGCAATCAACTATGATTCATACCATCTCCATTCGCATCAATCTCTGTATCTTTCAAACCGTCCGGACGTTTGAAAACCCTGACAATCTGAACAACACGTCAAAGAAATGTGTCAGAACTTAGCTGTTTACAGCATATTATTCATTCTACCCCACAAGAAAAAAGCATAGGATGAGAGACCTTGATATCTGTTTGCTCCAGCTTGTGTCCAGCAAAAGTAACTTCCTTAGCCTCCTCAAATCTTAAGATGTCTTGCTGAGACATTTCTTTGACTTCTTTTGCAACAAGCCCCATTGACTTCCCAAGTCGTTTTCCCAATACGCTATAAGATTGAACAAGTCAAATTGCATTCTACATTGAGCAGGACAGGTTAAAAGCAAAATGCAAGAAGAAAACTTAACCAACCTGAAATCTGGTTCTGCTTTTAGAGACGCATACATCAGAGTATCATTGCACGGCACAAGAGATCTTACATTCAGCTCTTCCAGGACATACTGCAATGCAAAATCAAATGGATAAACTTGAAGTATAGGTTCTTTGAATGTAATGAGAAGAAAAGCTGTAGAGACATGTTTTGCTGATTTCAAGCGGTCCTCAGTAACGACCTCAAAAAGTTTCTTCTAGATATTTTATATATCTAATTAAAAACTTCAAGAAGATAAACTAATTTTCCTGTAAGACCACATACCTCTCTTAGTCTTCCAGTTATGTCATTCAAGAAATCCGCATCTGGATGAACTACAGTGATTTCCCTGATACAAACAAGCATAAGCATGTATGAATTTTTTTGTTCAGTTTTAGGCTAGCAAAACAGATGCTGCAAGTCCAAACAATAACAAGTAGAATGCTCACTGTAGAGGAGTTTTCAAGGGTAGCTTGTGACGCTCACGAATGTTCCGAGCAAGATCAATGATTGTCATCATCCTTGTAACACTTTGCTCAATCCTACCCCCTCTCTGTTTAAATACAAAAAGAAAAACAAATAAGAAAACTTTCAGACGATTTATATGTTGTCCTTGGATATAGAGATATGGACTTGAGTATTACCGTTCCTTCCGCTTCCGGGAAGCTGCAGTAGTGAATGCTTTCCTCAGAACCTTTACAAGCTTTCCGCAGATTCTGGTATAAAGTCTCAGTGAAGAAAGGTGTAAAAGGGGTCATCACTTTGCAAGAAGTAAGGAGAACCTGAAAATCCAGACACAATCATTAGTCACTACTAGTGTTCAAATAATGGTCAACATGCAAACAAAGAGATCCCCAAAACTATTTACTATACATTGTATAGAGTTGAAAGAGCGATGTGACAATCATCTTCTCCTGTACGGCCTTTTAACCTCTTGCGGTTGAATCTAACATATATGTTGGTGAGATTGTCGAGGAACTTCAAGAGATAAGGAACCACCTAAAAAGGAAAACCAAATACGTGCTTAATGCCACGTCACAGCAATAGCTTGTTTTCTGATACAGACATCATATCATGCTAAAAAAGACATGTAGATAGCATACAGTGTAAAGGCGATATCCATCCATCTCCTGGCGTACAAAATGAACAAGACTCTGCGTAGCTGAGTGAATCCACTGATCGAGAACGTTTGATGACTGTAATTTTGCCAGATCAGTAGGAACAAAGGGTGCAGAACCCTCAATCTCAAGTCTCTTTGCATTCTGAACAAGGAATCGATATGCATTGTACCATGGAAGGAATACATCTTTGACCTAGTGAGCCCCCACAAAAGACCAAAATTGTTCAGACAAACAATATATCTACTCAAACAAGCAGGCAACAAAATCAACAGCCAAGAGCACTCACAACACCAAGTACTCCTTCTTTCTTGAAGCGTAGTGGCTCAGCGCGTACAACCGGAGAATTTATCAGGTACAATCGCACAGCATCCTGTCAAGGTTCACGTGAAGTCACTAAACGATGAGGTGTACACAGACGGCAAGATTTTCATAGCTATAGAAGATAAAAGGTCACAAAGTAAAACTGAAAACGCAGGCAGGATAAGAGCAGATTAATGGGAAAACTTACAGCTCCATACTCATCAATGACTTCCAAAGGTGGTGGATAATTCTGTAATTTCTTAGACATCTTTTTTCCATCCTCAGCAAGCACAAGACCATTGCAAATAAGATTTCGAAATGCTGGCTTTCCAAATAGTGCAGTTGACAGCACCATGAGAGTATAAAACCTGTATATACAAACCAGAACTCTAGATGTTATTAATTGCCTACTTAGCAGAAAAAACGATATTGCTTTTTTTAATACACTTCTAAAATCACATTTGATATTTTACTAATGACACCTTCCATTAGCCTCGACTCATTACTTAATTTAGAACTGTCACTGAGGATAGTTAGGACCCAGATCATCCAATACATTAAAGGGAGGGAGCAAACCCAGAGATACAGTAAGAGATGATTTAACATACCATCCACGAGTTTGATCAAGCCCTTCAGCCACAAAATGACCAGGGAAATTCTTCTCAAAAAGCTCCTTGTTTTCAAAAGGATAATGGATGTACGCATAAGGCATTGAACCACTCTCAAACCAACAATCAAATACCTGAAAAAGGTAATATAAGCATAAGTGTGAGATAACACCCCAGACAACCAGGGATTATAGATAAAATGAAAGAGAATGGGATCCATCTTACATCGTCTACACGACGGAGAACACCAAACTCATGTCCACGGCTGGATGGGATTGTAATTTGATCAATATGGTGTCGATGTAAATCAAAGACCTGCACCATAAATCATCAGAAAAACAAAATGAGCATCAGGCTTTTTGACATCTATAACCCTACAGTAAGAAGAAAAGTACAAAACCCTATAAGATGTCACAAAAATTAACAGAACATATCAAGAAGACTTGGAACCATTCAGCAAGATATCGAACAAAGTATTGAGTTATCCAACAGTTGAAGTAGCAAATATAAATATCCACCACATTAATTATTGATGAAACAAGATCGTGACAGTAGCCTTTCCCGAAGCATCAATCAGCTACCTGCTGATATATTGCTGTTTATGTTCTAAAATTAGCTATATCCTATAGTGCCATGACAAGTTGTTGTTGCAGCACAGAGACAGAGTAAGAGAAAAAAATAAATAAATGCAAACAACAAAAGAACAGACCTTGACACCAGAGAGCTTTTCAAGCTTCTCAACGGAATCCATGACAACAACTTCCTCCCCATCATCGCTGATCCATATCGGAAGAGGCGTTCCCCAAAATCGACTTCGGCTAATGGCCCAATCCCTTGCATTATCGAGCCAATTGTGAAAACGTTTATCCTGAGTTGCAGGTCAATCAAGATGAAGGTTTAGATATCAACAAACTAAAACAACAGAACTTGTAATATATTTAGAGTATTGATCCTTTCTTCCACTGACCTTCACGTAATCAGGTACCCAGTGTGTCTGTGCATTGTTTGCTAACAACTGTTCCTTCAACTGCTCCACCCGCACAAACCTAACAGGTCAAACACGAACAAACTTCAAAGTCCTAACCACGTATAAAAAATTGAAAAAACAATCTTCGTATCATTATTGCTAATTTCTACGTGACATTTAGGTCAGCTTTACACTAGAGGTAGAAGAATATAAAATTGGGAAATGAAAACATGGGAAACTAATATGTTCACTATATCATTCAGTGGAACTAGCACTAAGATCGTAGCTCAATCTCATATGAAGCAAGAAGCATACCAACTGGGAACAGCTCTATATATGAGAGGAGTGTCTGATCGCCAGCAAAATGGATATGAGTGAGTGAAACTTCCCGTTTTAACAAGCCTGCCTTTGGCCTGAAATAACAAGAAATAATAATTAACAAAAAAAGTCGCCTAAAATAATACAATCCAATGATCCAAAATGTACTTAGATTCTCCAATAGACTTGTCAAATCGTTGTGACATGTCACAAACATTAGGCATTAATAATCACCTTCACGGCTTCAATGATATCCTTGTCTGCATCTTTGACATACCGGCCACTGAAGTGGGTGATTCTCTCAGTAAACGACCCATCGTCATCAACAGCCACAACTAGATTCTCACCCTGCAAGCGAGTATAACAATATATAGTCAAGTTAACATTATGAGACTAAGGGAGATCAGTAGAGTAGAGACGAGCATGGGTTCTTCATGATACTGTAAGGCTAAACAAGGGAGAAAGAAACTACAAATGAGGATCTCTTCCTTAACAATAAATCGTTTAGTGCGTAGTCCCTTGTACCCCTAAGAGTTCCGCTAAAGCTACCAACCCAAAATTAAAGAGCAACTTTGCTAGTCATGTCTGACGTTGAGGGGCTGATAAAGAGTATGTAGTCAAAAATCTAACCTTTTTAATGATCTTGTTCTCAAGACAAACACGATAATCGTCTTCACCAAAGGCAGGAGCACAATGGACAATACCAGTACCACTGTCATCAGTTACATAATTATCTGCTACGACGCGAAAGGCCTCACTTGCGAAATCGCTAAAGTAGTCAAACAATGGTTCATACTTCTTCCCAACGAGGGAAGCTCCATCAAATTTCTCCAAAACCTCATAAGAATCAGCAGCACTGTCAGGTTTAGCACCACCTTTGGCTTTAGGATTCGGTTTCTTGGAATCAGCATTAGCTGAGTTGGCCTTGGGCTTATCAGCAGGAAGGGCTGACAAACGAGATTCAGCAACCACGTACACTTTGCCATTGTACTTGTTGCGAACCTTCACATAGACAAACTTTGCATTGACACACAAAGCGAGATTGCTTGGAAGAGTCCATGGAGTCGTAGTCCATGCCACAAAAGCAGCATTATCCTGATCGCCAATAACTGGGAAAGTCACCATGATCTCTGGATCTGGAACGTCCTTGTAGTTCTGACCCGCTTCGAAATTAGATAGAGGTGTCTTACAACCAGTACTATACGGCATAACCTGCAACAACATAACGACATTGAATCAAACATGATGACTCAATTCGATTCACCAGATTTCAATCAAACCACATAAATAAATAAATAAATGCAGGGGAAGCCAAAGCCAGACCTTGAAGCCTCTGTAGACAAGATTCTTATCAAAAAGCTGAGCAAAAACCCACCAAACACTTTCCATAAAGGGCAAATCCATGGTCTTATAGTCATTGCTGAAATCAATCCAACGCCCAGTCCTAGTGATAACCTTCTCCCACTCCTCAACATAGCGCGTCACAATGCTCCTACACTCCTCGTTGTACTTATCGATCCCCATCTCAAGCACCTGCTCTCTCTTCTTAATATTCAGCTTCTTGTCAATCTCGTTCTCGACTGGGAGACCATGACAGTCCCACCCGAAGCGACGCGTGACGTGGTGACCAGTCATGGTCTGGTACCGAGTCACGATGTCCTTAATCGTGCCGGCGAGGATGTGCCCGTAGTGAGGAAGACCTGTGGCGAAAGGAGGCCCGTCGTAGAAGATGTATTCCGGGAGATGCTCAGTTCGCTTGAGCTGGGTCTTGAAGGCATCCTTTTCTTTCCAGAATGACAGAACATTCTCTTCCTCGCGAGGAAATGAGAATTCCTTTCCCTCACAGACTTCTTCCATTGCCAAAACTCACTGAAGATCCCCCAAGGAATTAGGGTTTCTCTACGTTAGTCAACACAGAATAAGAACGGCGCAGAGAGAGAGCGAGTAACGTTGAAGCTTTTTTCTCTTCTTTACTCTTTCGTTTATCGGGCCTAAAGCCCATCAATTGTGGCTCCACTTAATGGTTTCAAATCGGAATTTTTCTTTTCTTTCTGACAAAATCAAAACGTATATTTTTCTAGTCAAGAAAAGAACCTTGTGGATTGGTAACAACTACTAATATACATACTGTATTAAGCTGCTCATTTCAATGATTTAATGTATAGTCAAATCTAGAATTTGAATTTATTTGTACAAAAATGGCAAATCATATTCTCAACAAGCTAACATAACCTGATCAAGTTCGATATTATTTTCGTTTTCAGTTTCACAAACAAAAGAGAACTAGCCCTTCAATTTCATAACAAAATGTTTATATTTCCATTTGAACTTGTAATTTCTTTCCTCTCTTTTTATCGAAACTCTCACCCAAAAAAACATGTACACACATCACAAACCCCACAAAAGTGCGTCTATATATATGAATATATGAATTATATTTGTATATCATTTACTAAATAAAAAGTGTCTAATCAACAACTTCGCTACTAAACAACTTGAACTTATTAGCATCGAGAACAAGTTTCCTAACAGAGGAGAAAGCTCCCATGAGTCCAGCACAAGTAAACACAACCATGATGGTCATGTTTATCCAATACGTGAAGCTCCGTTTCGTCGGCTTATAGGTCATGTTGTATAGAAGCATTGGCAGCACGAAATCCAGTGGTATAAACCCAAACGCTCCCACCACAGCGTTTATATCCCCAAAGAAGGGTAGCATCGCCGCCATGAACCCACAAAACGCCATATATAGCGTTCTCAGTATCAAACGCGGCACCAGGTTACGTCTTGAGAATATCCCTTTTGTCGTATCCGCAGATTTCTTCTCCATTATCTCATACGCAACTTGAGAATACACCTAAGAGAAGAAAACAGCCAAGGAAACAAAAATGTGGGATATATAATCTATTGAAGATGGCTTAACTTGCTATCCAAGTAAAGTAACCTATAGCTGAAACTTACGAGGCCAATGGCGAAGAGCTGAAGAAGAACAAAGATGACGGCTAGGCCGATGACCACGATAGGAGCCAGAGTGGGTCCTTGGTCAGGCATTAGGTTCTTGAGAATATTAGAGCTCGAGTTGTTACCAAAGACCCAATACCCCGAAATTGCAGCAGAGTAAAACGTGAAGAAGATGACACTATAACACAAGATTAGTCCTTTCAACATCTTCCCTGTGGCTGGTGGAGCAAGAGTTGCCTACATTTATATATATATAATCATCACATAAACCCCAAGCTCCTAACATATTATATAATGTTTGAGTGAATCATTTTGCGACTGATTTCACCTGTATTTCAGGCAAAATTCCATTTCCGAAGATAGCGGCTATGATGGAAATCGATGTGAAGGCACTGAAAACTTTGCCTGAATCCGAATGCTCAAGAGAATAGTCTCGTTTAGGAGCGTTTTTAGAAAAACCTGCGTCACCAAAACAAAGTCTATTTTCAACATGGTTGTTTTGGCAATGATGTAATTCAATCATCATATTGATATTCGTACCTAGGTTGATACAAGCCCCAACGACGAGGAAAGTGTAGCCCAAGCTGAGAAGCAGAGACACGAAGTTAATGTGTCTGAGAGAGTGAAAACTTGGGAGCTGTGATAGAATGATCATCACAGCTGTGACCATAGCAATGAACTCATAGAGCTTCAAGGTTCCTTGTGGGAAAAGACTCGAGTACAATATCTGTATATTAGAGGAAGATATTAACATTTGATCCGTACAGCTCTCAGTGTCTTGTTAAGCAAGTAACTAAAGTTTTTTGTTTACATCAAGGCATTGGCCAGCGAGTAGAATGGCGCCAATACCGATTCCAGTGTTGATAGCTGTTTGAATGAAGATTACAACATAAAACATCCATCCTGATCCTGCACCACCCCATTTCAATAATTCAAGGGTTTAACCGAACCAGTCAGCTACAAATTCCATTCTGGCTATCAATTCAATCAAAACCAAAACTGATCCAAATGTATTTCTGTAAACCGATTGTACTATTATTAAATCAGATAGACCCAAGTTTACAGAACTGAACCAAACCTAACAAAAAAATAAAATACTTTTGTTTTGGTCAACTTTAGAAACCAATATTTTAAATTGAATCGAAATAATATTTGTTCTACCTAACACCTTCAACAAAATCCCAACTAGATTTTTCTACTCAAACCAAAAGTCGTTGGTTCCAGTTTGTTAAGAATTCGATAAACCCAAACTTTCTGATCTAAACCGATCTATAAGCTGACGAAATTCTACCCGGAACCAAAGACCGGTTTCTAAAATTCGGTACACATCGCTTCAGTACCAACCAAACCAAACCCGAAACCATGTTAAGCACGTGCGATGATGAGAGAATCTAACAAAAAGTCAAAACATCCACATTTGAAACTCGATCCAACCGTTTCGGATTACCCAAAAAAAGAAATAAAATATTACAGAGATTCTGCAATTACCGAGAACATCGGCGGCGAGTTCCCGGAATCGGATGTGACGGCGGCCGGATTTTTCACAGTGATCGAGAACCTTCGACATGAGGTAGTAAGCGTAGAAAGTGACGAGTCCCATCGTCGTCAAGCACACAAACCCTAACCACCATCCCAATCCCCTGAAAGCGTACGGTAATGTCAATATTGTTGGTCCCACAATCGCCGTCGTCAGGTGAAATCCGGCGTGCCACCACTCGCCTGAATTATCCAGTATCAGATTATCATCTATATATTATATATATATGGTTTTAGGAGAAGTTTAATCGTAATTATAGATTGGTATAGTTACTTACCTTTTGCCTGGAGGACGAAGAGTGCTCCAGCGTCGGAATCTAGTCGGGTTGAAGGAAAAAGATCGGATTTCGGAGGATCCGTCATTGGTGATTGGTTATCGGTGGAGGATAAGGATTTTAGGTGGAAGAGAAGATTGTGGAATTAAGAAAGTGATGATGATTCTCTGGAACGATGATGAAGAGCAACGTGGAGGAGGTGGTGCATGTTAGCTGGTGAGAGTTTGTTGTTGCTATAATGTTTCATTACGTTGGTTCTTTAAAGAAACGAACCAACCTGTCATTGTGGGGGAAAGAAGTCATAATATGCATTTCCCCCTTTTCTCGGATGTGATAAAATCATAAAAATATATCAAAATCCTTTTCCATGTACTGTACTTATCTTTCTTAATTATTTTCATTTTTTTGTTGTCAATGGAAAATCTTTTTCCATGTCCTGATGTGAAAAAGATCTAATGCTTAAGTTTAATATATCTATGTATCAGATATTGAAATTTTAATTATATGTAAAAAATACAGTTGTACTTAATATATCTACTAATTCCTTCTTCTGCTATGGAAGAAAATATATTAATGTAACATCCCCCGTCTGGTTGACTTGTGCTATCAAAACGCAGGAAACAAAAAAATAAGTGAAGAAGCGACTGCGATCTAAAGTACGATTTCAGTGTTCACATTAGAGATGTAATCTGATACAATGACTTATGCAAAGGATAAACAAATGTTTGGTAGTAACTATGAACACACTCACAAAAAAGAAGAGATATGTTTAAAAATCTGCAAACGTCACATCATGGATTCGCAAGTTGGAGGTGTTTCGAAAATTGATTGGTTCTTGCATAGTGGATGCAGAGTACTTAAGGGTTACAAGGTTAATCAGTCGTTATTCACCACGTCTACTAGTTTCCATGTATAATGTGATTGGAGTGCTATAAATATTCCAATTAGCATCGGATACTGCAAATATGCGTTTTTATTTACTTTCTAATAAGATAATCTTTACTTACCTTCTTGATGACGATTTGGACCTTAAAAAACTGATCTGAAATATTCTAAGCGATGTGCATAAAGTATGATAAATTCTCACGAAGTCGATAACAAATAGTCAAATACACTATACCAACAACATTTAATCGTTCTATACAATCACAGCCCCAAAAAAATAAAATACCAAATTCATTTCTGTGACTCCCTTTATTCCCACTAATTCCACTTGAAAACAAAAATTACACAACCAAATAAAAAATGCAAAAAATTGCACCATTACAAATACACAAAATGTACCCAACCAAAAAAACTCTCAACCAGAAAATTTTCGTAAATCCAACTTCTTCTTGATGGACCAAAACCCAAACTAAGAACCATATATAGATTGTTTTGCATTGATGTGAGGTCCGGAAAGAAAAGCAACGTACCGTACCGTACCGAATCTGATGATGGCACGAGGTCTTAGGCTCGCTGTGACTGTCTTTGGCCTCCTCGAGCTACAACTGTCTTAGACAAAATCTCCTCAAGATATTCACAGCGACCTCTGTGATGATCGATCCAAACACATAGTTGCCTTATCGCTTCTCTTTTCTCTTCTCCAAGTCCCATCAGAGTCTCTTTCATCGTCTCCTTCTCCTTTTCATCTTCACTTGCTTTTTCTCCAAGCTTTTTTATTTCCTCCTCTTTCCTCTCCATCTCTTTCTCCATCTTCTCCTTCTCGTGATTCCTCTCTATCACCCAATTCGTCGCTGTCCACAGTATTTTCGACGCCTCCATTACTGTTTTCTCGTACTTCCCTTGCTTCTCCGTGAGTTTTTCCGACATTGATTGAAACCCATCTAGTGTTATGTTCACTTTATCTGCTATCTCTTTGATCATACCTCGATAAGTCTCGTGTGTCACTGTGAGACTTTTCTCAAGCAATGCTTGCTCCTCCAAGTGCTTAGCTTCTTCTCTCCTGAAAGCTTCTTCTTTCTCCGTAAGAACCTGTTCAGTTACTCTCAGTTTCTGATTCGATAATCGTAGCTTAACCTCAATGTTACTGATCTTCTCCATGAGAGTTTCGATCTCCTCTCCTTTCATTTCCAGCTCGTTACGTAAACTCTCCATCGTCTCTTCAAATACAGCAATTGCAGAGTCTCTGGATGTTACTTCCTTACCTGTCTCCTCCAACAGTCTTTGAGCTTCTTTATGGTCATCTGTTAGCTTATTGAGTGTTTCCTCACGTTCTTTGAGCAGTTCGTTGATCTGTTTGTGTTCCTCTCTCAGTGTATTGTAAGCAGCTTCTTGCTCCACCGATGCTCTCTGGAAATCAGTGATCTGACTGGACAATTCTGATTTCTCTTGCTTCTCTCTATCAAGCTCTGCTTCAGTTTCACTCTTCTGCGACTGTAGAGAATCAAGCTCATGCTGCAGATTGTTGATCCGTTCTGTCAAGGTCATTGTTTCAGCGGAGGCTTGGCTGATTTTATCACGCAGTTGAACGTTATCTTCTGTTTTAGTTCTCAGCTCCTCATCAAGCTCACTTCTCTGTTTCTGTAGAGTCTCTAGCTCAACTTCAAGGCCATTGATCTTCTCAGATAAACCATTTCTTTCTTCTGCAATATTCTCAAGATCTTTGGCCTTGTTTATGATCTCCTCTTTTAGATTTGTAACCTGACTCATATATTCAGAGATCTCCTCAGACTTCTTCTCAAGTTGAATCTCGAGTTCTGCTTTCTGGCTCTCAAGTGAGGCCACTTGTTGGCTCAGACCATCGATCTCATCCGCTAAACCTTTAACCTGCATTGAAGCTTCATCGCCTTTGTTAACTATTACTTTCTCCAACTCATCCTTGTGAGCAGACATTGAATCTAGTTCTGCTCGTAGGCCATCAATCTCAGCTGTCAAGCTCTCAATTGTGGACGATGATTCCTTCTCTTTATCCTCTAGTTTTTGGGTTAAAACAGAGAGTTCAGTTCCTCTCTCGTCCATTTTCTTCTCAAGTTCGGAGATTCTAGCAACCATTTCTGTGTTTTGAGCTTCCAATTTCTCAACTTCAGTGGTTTTGCTTGCAATATCTGTCTCAAGATCTATTGTATGGGCACGAACAGACTGTAGTTCCAGCTCAAGGGTCGCTACTGTTGCTTCTAGTTCTTTTATTTGCACCTGTGAGTTGCTTTCCTTCTCTGTCAAAAGTAAAAGTTCGCCTTCTTTCTCAGTGAGCTGCTCTTTAAGTTTGCTTGACTCAGCTGTGAGTTCCTGCAACGTGATCTGTAACCTTTTGAGCTCGCCTGAAGTATCTGAGATTTTAGTGGACATGGTTTTGTTTTCTTCCTCTGCAATCTTCAGACTCTCGCTTAACTCCGAAGCCCGTTGTTCAGATGACTTCAGTTGCTCTTCTAAATCTTTTAAATGAGTGGATGATTCTCTCTGATGAGTCTCATGGATATCCCTCAAACTGAAAAGTTCCTTGTCTTTCTCACTGTGGCTCTCTTTTAACTGTCCAGACTCAGACATGAGTTCTTGTATGGTGTTCTCTGCCTGCTTGATCTCATTCGACATTTCTGAAATTCGCTGAGACAACACTTTATTCTCTTCCTCTGCACTGTTTAGCCTCTGGTTCAAATCTTTAACCCGTTGCTCTCCTGATTCCACCTGCGCTTCTAATTCTTTCACCTGACTCGATGAATCTCTCTTATGTGACTCGTGTACCTCCACCAAACTAGAAAGCTCACTCTCTTTCTGTATGTGTAAATCTTTCGACTCTGCCAATTCCGCCATTAGTTCTTGTATCTTGTTCTGCGCCTGTTTGAGCTCGTCTGTAGTTTCCAAGATCTTCGAGGACACGGACTTACTTTCTTCCTCTGCAGCATTCAGACTCGCACTCAAATCTGAGACCCGCTCTTCTGATGATTTCAGTTGAGCTTCTAAATCACTCATTCGAGTGGATGATTCTCTCTGATGAGTCTCGTGGGTGTCCCTCAAACCAGAAAACTCTCTCTCTTTCACACTGTGGCTCTCTTTCCAATGTTCAGACTCAGCCACGAGTTCTTGTATGGTGTTCTGCGCCTGTTGAATCTCACTGGAGACTTCTGATACTTTCTGAGATAGCAGTTTCTTCTCTTCCTCTGCATTGTTCAGATTTTGGTTCAAATCTGCAACCAATTTCTCTGATGATTCCACTTGCGCTTCTAAGTCTTTCAATCGACTTGTTGAATCTCTCTGATGTGACTCATGTACCTCCACCAAACTAGAAATCTCACTCTCTTTCTCTTTGTGTCGGTCTTTCAACTCCCCCAATTCACCCATGAGTTCCTGTATAGTGTTCTGCGCCTGTTCAAGCTTGTCCAGGGTTTCCACATTCTTCGAGGAGATAGCTTTGTTTGCTTCCTCTGCAGCCTTCAGACTCGCACTCAAATCTGAGACCTGCTTTTCTGAGGATTCCAGTTGAGCTTCTAATTCACTCGTTCGGGTGGATGATTCTCTCTGATGAGTCTCGTGGGTGTCCCTCAAACCAGTAAACTCTCTCTCTTTCACACTGTGGCTCTCTTTCAACTGTTCACATTCAGACGTGAGTTTTTGTATGGTGTTCTGCGCCTGTTGAATCTCACTGGAGATCTCTGACACTTTCTGAGATAGCAGTTTTTTCTCTTCCTCTGCATTATTCAGGCTTTGGTTCAAATCTGCAACCAATTTCTCTGATGATTCCACCAGTGCTTCTAATTCTTTCACGTGACTAGATGATTCTGTTACATGGGTCTCATGTAACTCCACCAGACTAGAATGCTCACTCTCTTTTCCTTTGTACTTTTCTTTCACCTCTCCCAGTTCAGAAGTGAGTTCTTGTATAGTGTTCTGTGCCTGTTGGATCTCACCTGAAATCTCTGAAACTTGCAAAGATAGAGATTTGTTCTCTTCCTCTGCGCTATTCATTCTGCGGGTCAGATCCGAAACTCGTTGCTCTGATGCTTCTAGCTGCTGCTTGAAATTAGAAACTTCATCTTTGAGCTGATCACTCGTTGTTTTCCAATCTTCTGCAACTTTTTCAGCTTCTTGACATCTTCTGATATAATCGTCTCTTTCAGTTTGCAGTTCATCTCTCTCTTTTTTTATATCTTCTAACTTCTGATACAGATCAGTTTCTGTTTTGCCAGCAACTTCCAGTTTCTGATGTACTTCTCTGCTATCACTCAGAGCTGTTGTCTTTTCGCCTTCCAACTTCTCAGTTTCAAGTTTCAGATTGTTGATGATATCTTCTGATTCTTTTAACTTCGTCAAAGCTGCTTCAAGCTCAGAATCTACTGCTTCTTTTTCTTCAATACTCGTCGTCAACTTCCTGTTTAATTCAGCAATTTCAAGATTCGCAGCTTCGATTTGTTGCTTCAAGCCATCTGTTACTGACTCTACATCTTTCTGTACTTGTCCATTTCTCTTAGTCTTCCTCTTTGAAGAATGGTCAGAATCTGAGTCTGAGCTCGATGACGAAGAGGTTTCTCCTTTCCCGTGGACCTTTTTCCTGATCTCTCCTGTTAGATCATCGTACTGACGATACAGAGACTGGTACTCGCTGTAGAATTCATTCACTAACTCTGAAACCACTTGTCTCTTAGATTCATCGTCGTCGATGTGTCCACTCTCAACCATTCCCAAGATTTTCTTCACCTTTTCATCTATCTCTGCATCAGACGGTGAGAGTACTTTTCATGTAAGCGGTTATTAAACAAAGAGCTATGAGTTTCATTGAACATGTGAAACACAACTTAGTAGTGGAGTGTAGGAAAAATTACCAGATTTTGATCCTTTAAGCATTTCACCTTTCTCATGATCAAAATGAGGCTCAAAGAAAGACTTCAAGGTCTCTCTAAACCGATGCTTTTTCATAATTTTTTCTTCGGTTTCTCCGATTACTTCTACGACCAAATATTCACCTGAGAACCTCCACTACACACGATCTGACTTTGCACAATTCACAGAGAGACACATCAGAAGAATCGTTAAGACTAGCAAAACTAAACTTGTTCATATTAAACGCCAATATTTAATTAGAAAAGAGGTACCATCCTTTTCACATTCATGCTCGTAAAACTATATAATACCAACAAATTAGTAAACTAATAATAATTTGGCTTTTACAGAATCCAGATCATAGGTTAGCATGTTGGTATTCAACAGAAAGAGAATATAATAATAGAACTCTGACAAGGTAAACACTATACAGACAATAATTCAGAAAATGGGTCCCGCAAAGAACATAGATAGATCATAGATCCAAAGCCTTGCATCGTTGAGAGTACCTTTCTTACTAAGTGATAGATGAAGTTACTTATACAGAAGTTACAAAACTGAATGAAACTTAATTAGAATTTAGGTCTTGGATTAACGCTAGTCCTATTATAAGTGCCGGGTCTAATTAGGGAATCTCATGGTATTGGCTAGACAAAAAATCTCATGTGGAGCCACCTCAGCAATTTTGGAAAAGCACCAGAGAAAGCACATACCTCTAGAACAATAAAAGACAGCTATCATATTCATATCTCAGAAAATGTGAGTTGTTACTTTTTGTTCTTATGTTACCTTTAAATAATACAGTTTCAGGTTTCAACTAAAACAATCTCGATCCCATCATCCCATATTACTGAAAAAAGCATTTTTTTCCATGAAATTTACTACTAGTAAAACAGTAAGGAGTTTCTGGTTTTTCTTACCTTTTATCTCAAACTTTCTTTAAGCTCCACGGAATATCCAATCCACAATTGATTTAATGGTTCTTGCCTGTATAGATAAGAGAAAAAGATTCATATAAAAATGATTTGAGTGAAGGTAAAAATGATTCAGAGCAGTTGAGGGAAGGTAAAAATTATTTGATCGTAAAATCTAAAGGAAATGAAATCAGTTATATCTAAGCATCAAATTCTCATGAGAGGAACAACATAATAAAATCCGATCACAAAATCTATGTGTATAGTTAAGTGTGTCACACAAAACAAAAACCCAATCGCCAAAACCTTGAAGACGAACAAAGAAACTTGGAAAATGAAGCTCATGACCTTGCTTTACCTTATAAAAACCTTATCACTACTATATTGAAACAACGGAACAAAATTAACCATAATCGAATCAATTATCTGAAAATAGTCAGATGTAAATGATCAAATCCCCAACTAGACATAAAACAATTCGAAAAAATAAATGAACTAGAGAATCAGTAACTTGTAACTTTCCCAGTAAAACGCAACAGCGACCCAAAATAGCTACCTAATAAATTAACCATCCGACGTTTCTATTCATGATCCACTGATCTAACACTAAGCAACCATAGCGTAAATAAAAGCTACTTCAAATCAATAATCTAACCACGCGGAGAAATCGAAGCTACCAAGTAATTTAGAGTCCGTTTGTAACCGAGAATTTTACCTGAATACGGGAGCTCCGTTGATTCAATAAATAACGAGGAAACTTGTAGAGACACAAAACAAAAAAAAAGAAAAAGAGATGAGGAGAAATTCTCGACAGGTCTCTCTCTCTTTCTCTCTGTGTTTTCAAAGATGATAGGATTACGAAATTGAAATAGAGAGCGAGGGAAGAGAGAGAGAGAGAGAGAGAGAGAGATTGAAGAGGAAGAAGAAAAAAAAGGTGATTTGGTTTTGGACTTAAGGGAGAGAAGAGAAGAAAAGAGAACAGTTCTGAGCAGAAATTTGTTTTTTTGCTTTTGTGGAGACGAATGAGAATCTTTTCGGAAAATCGTCTTCCACAAACGCTCCTCTCTTTATCAGATTATTACGTTTTTGCCACTAATGCTCTTTCTTTGCTCTTCAATTTCTCGTCGACGCGGTCAAATTTATCAAAATATCATTTGACTGTTGTAATCATCTAAGAGGTTTATTTACGCTTTTACCCTTTTAATTATTAGAATTTAGATGAATTGTCTTTTTGTTTGTTTTTGGCATGTCTAATGCCGTAATGACTTGTGGCTCGTTTCCCGCCTTTTTTTCTGGTCGTTTAAGAAAGAAATATGCCTCAATTTTCAGATGATATCTATTTTTTCTTATACAGATTTGCAGATGATATTTATAGGAAAACAATTAAGAAGACTGATTTATTTACCTAATCCTAAATTTAAGACTGCATGTTTCCATAGGATTCTGGATTTATTTATACTATAAATTTTATTATTGGTTCACGATTTTAATTTTAATTTTGTCTCTCTTAATCTTGAGTTTCTTTGTGATTTATTTCTATAAACAGAGTTTTGCATGGCATCAGCTAGCATCCAGCCATGTCCTCAAGTTTTGATTCATTAATATTAATACAAGAAAATTTATTTTTAATATTTTCTGTCTTTTTTAGCCATGAGATTTCAGACCTCTAATCCTCAATTAATCTTTCATAACCTATGGATGAGTTGAGTATTCTTACTATAAAAAACGTTCATAGTAGCCAAACGTGTGAAACCACAATAGAAAAATTCGAGATTCTGATCCATTAAAAGCATCGTAAACTATAATCTAAAAACTTATCTAGAAGCTTCGGATGTTAATTCTACTAGTTCTCCCCAAAAATGAAAATGTTTCTGTAGAAGGGTTTGCAAGAGGCTTTACCTGTAGGCGGGAATCTCCTCAGCCGAGGAATTTTAGACTCTGCTTACTGTATCCATTGCGGAGAGCTGGAGACAACAGAGCACCTTTTCCTCCATTGTCCTTATGCGGTAGCAGTTTGGGAGTTAGCTCCGTTCTCTGCAACCATAAGTACAAACCAGATCCACACCTTCTCGGCAACTCTATCCTCATCCAAAAGCTGGATCTGCCTTCCCCCTGTTGGCGCAGGATTGGGACCTCTCTTTCCATGGATGTTGGTCCATCTAAAAAACAAGAAACACCCTAATCTTCGAAGAGCGACTCTTCAAACCTGAAGAAACAATACTTAAAACGATCAGGGACGCAAAGGAATGACAAATCGCACAGCTACAACGAAAACCCTTGGTAATAAGACCAATTCCCATAAACAGTGACTCGAATCAGGAAATTTCTATTACCTGTTTTACAGATGGGGCATGGAACAAAGACACCGGTTTCGGTGGTTCAAGATGGATCTTCGTCGCCAACGACGGGACAGAAATGGCTTGAGGACAGGCCTCCGAACGACTTGTATCATCGCCCCTGATGATTGAAGCTCTAGTGATTCGCTCGGCTCTCAATCACGCTTTGGAGAACGGCTTCTCCCACCTCCACCTCAAATCGGACGCTCAGGATCTGATCCGAGCTTTGAATACGCAAGAGCAGCTCAAGGAGATCTATAGTCTTCTCTTCGACATACATGCTCTTGCCTTCATGTTCTCCTCTATTTCGTTCAGCTACATTCCCAGATCGGAAAACGCCATAGCCGATTCAATTGCAAAATCTGTTAATTGTCGTTTAATTTCCCCTTTATCCCGGTGGATTTAGTTGGTTTTATTTAATGAAAGTCTTTGCTGTTCAAAAAAAAAAAATCTACTACTAAAACATAGTTGAATATAATTATAATATGTTATTTACAATATATGCATTTACATCCATGGAATTAAACTCAAATCTCGCAAAGTAATATTTACAAGTTTACACCAACAAAGGAACAATTAAAATATGACCAAACAAGAAGTAGTACTGTAGTAGTGAAGTTGGTTTAGGCTTGAAGAGCAACCTTAAAAATGGAAGCTTTGAGATCCTCATATCGACAACGTTGATAATCAACCAAAACACATAGTTGTCTTATGGCTTCTCTCTTCTCTTCTCCTAAGCTCAACAATTCAACATCTCTCTCCTTCACATGAATCTCAAGCTTTTTGATTCTTCTCATAGCCTTTTCTAGGCTCAGCTTCCCTGCTCCTTCCTCTGCAAGCTTCGCTTCTAGTTTCGATAGCTTCTCCTTGAGCAGAGTTTCTTGTGCTTCTCTGCATTCTAGTTTCGCTTCCAGTGTTTCAACCTCATGCTTCATCTTGCTCTTCTTCTCCTGCACCCATTTCCTCGCCGAATCTATTTCTTGACCTAATCTGCTGACTCGGCTCGTTAACTCTTCGCCTTCTTCCAGCTTCTTTAGCACCATTTCTGATCCAGCAAGCCCTTGTTCCACCATTTCTTTCATCTTCTTGAATTGGGTTTCAGAGACATTGAAATCTCCTCTGTTTTTGTGTGTGTTGTCTAATGTGTGCTTGTTCTTGCTCTCCAAGTGTATTTGCTCGGCTACATGGATCCTCCTGTAGAGTATCCGGAGGTGATCTTCCATTTTCATCCGATAATCGTCAGCTAATTCTTCCATTTTCTTCTCAAGAAGATTTGTATTCAACGTCGAACCGAATGACCAACGTTTCATCACCTTTTGATCCTCTGAGAACTTGTCAATGGCGACTTTCTGTTCTTTCACAAGTTTCTTCTGATCCTTGATCTCCACTGATAGCCTGCACTCAACCAAACTCAATGGTAACAACAAAAATCACCTTAATAATTAGATAGCAAAAATCTTGTTTACTTCTTACCGGTGAATGACGTCTTCTTGTTCCTTCACTTTAATGTTTTTCATCTCTCGCTGCTTCTGTAGTGAATCTAGCTCTGCAATTCTTGTATGAAGCTTTTGATTCTCTTCCTTAAGACGATCAATCTCAGTGATCTTACTCTTCATCTCCTCATTAAACTTGTTTCTTCCCACTTCAAGTTTCTCTACTTTGTTCAACAAAGCTTCTTTTTCCTCAACAATTTTAGCCCGTTCCTCTGTTACTTGCTCCATACGCTTCAGTCTCTTCTGTGTCTCTGAAACTTCACTGGTTTTCTTCTCCAGCTCCAATGATAACTCATTCTTCTGGTTACGCAACAATGCAACTTCACCATTTGTTATCATCAGATTCAAGCCCTTGAAATGTGCTCTGTCCTCGTTTCTTTTACCTCCGATTTCTCCCGCCAACTCCACGTTTTGGTCGCGTAGGTAACACGTTTCTTGTCTCAGACTACTCACCTGTCTCTTTAAATCTTCATTTGTTAACTCTGTCTCTTGTATCTTTCTGAGCATCGCCGAATAATCCGATGTGATCTCGCTAACATTACCCGATGTGATCTCTGTTTCCTCTGAAGAATAGTAATCCAAATCCGAACTAGAACTCGACGAAGAAGCATTACCTGAATGATCATTTCTTCCACCAATCTCCAAATCATGATCAAACACAGAGTAGAGCAATTGGTATTGCTCGTGAAGATCGTTGACGATCCCAACAAGCTCCTTCTTTATAACCTTTGGGATCTTGTTCTTGTTTTGTATAAACTTGTAAAGTGTGGAAACTTTCTTCTCCACTTCTGAAAATGTAATTAAACAGAACTAAGAGTAAAAGAGATTGCCTCACAAATGTTAAACCAATGAGCATTAATTAATTTAAAACAATTCTAATTACCTGCTTTCGCCTCCTCCATTTGCAACATGTTTTGTCCTTTGTGATTAAAAATGCATGCAGGAGCTTAATCACAGAAAGAGAAGCATCAAAAGCTCTGAGAAAACAAAATTAATCAAATTCAACTCATTGCATAAAAGCAAACGAGTAGCAATCTATTTACTTCACATGCAAGCAAACAAAAACATGCATTCTTAATGGACGGAGATTTGAGAACAAATTAGAAGAAACTCTAGCAATCTTCACCAATTACTTTTACTTTTACCACAGAAACTTTCCAATTAACACTATCATTAGGGATAAGAAGATGCAACTTCCTTGAGCATCACGAATCCTTAGGGTCACAGAGGAAATATATATACATATACATGAGAAATTAGAAAAAACGAAAATGACTTGAATAAATCGGAATTTTTGTGTTTTTTCAAGAGGATGAAAATTAAACGAACGTTGTTGTCATCAAAACCAAGCCAAGGCCCACACTGAAGGTGGCGATTAATTAAATATTCATGTCGATTTCGTTTCCCACACAACTAGGCTCCACGTTCCACCATTGTTTTTGATTTCATACCACACAACTTACCATAATATTTTCCTGCATTTTCTCAGGAGATTCAATAAGAAAAAACTGACCCTAAATTGGAGGAGGTGTTGGAGATCTTTACCGGAAAAATCTGGATTGGATTTTGTTTCTCTGTCCGGCAGAGAAACTTGAAAAACGAGGAAGATCTCCGACTATTGGTAGAGAAAGAGTAGCGAATTATGGGATCATAGTCAGATAAAACGAGAGGTTGTGGTGCAATTAACTTTTCAATGTTTTAAAAATAATTAGAAGGTTTGTTTTTGCTTTTACGAGAGAATTCAAAATTTGGCACTACTTGTTATCTGAAAATGCCATTCAAGTTTGGTTATAATTACGGACATAACCAAACACAATGATGAATTGTATGGCCAATTCCAATTTCTCGTCTCGATATTTTGCCAAAAGGACGTGTGATTAGCTTCAATCCTGCCACGTGGCATATACAGCTATGGCTTGAGCTCCAAGTCGCCGCCAATTTACCTTGTTTTAATCGCATTTCACTAGATTCCGACACAGTAACTGTTGACTGTACATTATGTTCACCAATTTAGACGCATTAGTCACACTTTTGATTGATGAGGAAGCATTTATCCCTTCAACAAGCTTCGGTTTCAACATTCCATAACATTCCATAACAAACCCCAACAATTGCAAGCAACAGTATAATTATAGTCCTGTGTAGTCTACACCGGAAATTCGAGCCAAAACCAAACAAAAATTAATCAGATTGATGTTTTGCTTGGACAACAAAGTATTGAGTGACGATGTACATAAAACTCTAAAAGTAAGAATACAAAACAGCTCACAGTTTTGATACAACTCAAAAACAACAACTTTTAATAGGAATCCTCCTCAGAAGCAGCAAGCTTCTGCTTCTTCCATCTTTGAGCAGCTTCAAGAATCTTGAGGTTCGTTGTCTGCGATTCTTCAGGGAACAAATAATCAATGTATTCTTCGTACCTGTCAAAAGATTCAAACACAAGTTTGCACATTAAGCTTTAGCATTCAATTCTCCACATTTGAAAGATAAACAAATCGAGAAATGATACATAGATATATGCAAAACGTACTCTGTTGAGCCGTCTTCTCTACTGATCGGCTTTCTCTTCTTGAGCTTCTTCGGGAGTTTCGATTGAACGTCGCTGACATCACCGAGCTCGCCAAAGCTCGTCTCCATGTTGAGCCAGTCCTCCAAGAGCGTTGTTCGCTCATCTTTGAGCTCTGGAGTGGAATCCTTGTAGTATGTGTTGGCTCTATCAAATATCGCTGAATTGAAGAATGATGATAGAGTAAAAAAGGAAACAGTTAGTTAAACCATGTCGCAAGGAATCATCAAAAACTCAAAGTAACATGTAGATTTGAAGTTACCTCTGGCGCGTCTGATGCATTCTTTTTTGCGCTCAATAACTTCTTCTTCTTCTTTGTCACCATCTTCCTCGACTCCTTCTACAGCAGAGGCTTCAAATTTTGCAAAACTAACCCAAACCTTGTAGTGCTTTGTTCTGTCCAAGAGTCGCTCGTACAAAGCTCGTGTCCTCTCTAATTCCCCTTCTGATATCTCAAAATCAATGTATGCCTGCCACAAATAATACATAGAGATTTAATTATCCAATCGGTTCAATTCAAAAGTTTGAGAGAGAATCTTCACTTCTTTGGATGCATTAGAGTGAAAATATTTACCTTCCATAGCAGCTCAGGCATGTCAAGAGCAGGCTGAGATATAGCCAGTTCGAAAATAGCTCTAGCTCTTTCGGTTTCAGCAAGGGATATCTCTAGTTCAGCAAACTTGCTCCAAGCATAGCAATTCTCTGGAGACCATTCCAGATACCGCTCGTATAACTTTCTACATCTATCCATGTTTGCCAACTGGAGTTCGATCTCAATGTATTTCTTGAATATCTGTTTTTGTATGAACGAAAATCAAAGTAAGCAAAACATGAGCAATGAGAAATATAGTAAACAGTGTTTCCAGATAAACCGTTAAGGCTTACCTTATCTTTCGGAGCTTTTCCAATCGCATTTCCTAATATCTGACGTGCACCCGTTAGATTCAACTGCCTGATCTCAAACTGTGCAGCGAGCAACCATATTTTGGCAAAAGAAAATTTGTTGTGTGGGATAAGCTTCAGGCATTCTCTGTAACATTCGGTAAGGCAAATACATACAGTCAGTCTAAATTCCCAATGACTGACATGTGAAACAGAAAGGAAGTGAATAAAAGTTTCAAATTGGGTAAGCATACCTGTATACATCTCGTGTACGCTCCACATCTTCAGTTTCAATCTCTTCATACAATGCATAATTAATCCTACAGCAATCAGTCACATCAGTGTCAGTGTTTGAGTAAACCCGCAGAGCCATAAAGGATATACAAAAATAGTGTTCCACAGAATGCAACAATAATGCGCTAAATGCTCCACATAGATGATGATAAGACTAATCTCAACCTAACACAAAGTTCAGTTAAAGGAAACTAAACCTAACCATGATCAACAATAAGAAGCCAAAAGCATTACTATCAAAATCTGTAAAGGATATGATAAAGAAAACACTCACCAAAGATAGATATATCGTTGCCAGTATCGTTTCTCTTCAGCGGGTGGAACATTAGCGATAGCCCTCTCATAGGTTTCTCTAATCCTATCTTTGTTCCCTACAGACTCTTCTAACCTAACGTAATCGAACCACGAATCATAGTTCAAAGGGTTCTTCCTCACTTCATCTTCATACTGAAACCTCCTCTTCCCAACAATGGCGTCCTCGATCCCTTCCTTATCACCGTACTGTTTCTCAAAAGCCACAAACTTCTTATACAAATCCTCAGCTCTTCCTTTAGGAATATGGTCAAGAGCAAACTTGTAGATAAGCCTAGCCCGCTCTACTTCCTTGCATCGTTCTTCAAATTCAGCAAACGCCACAAAGAGAATCTCAGATTCCTCATCATCAGCAAGCTTCTCGGTGGCACGTTCGTACACGTTCCTCGCACGAGCAACTTCACCGCCTTTCATCTCGAACTTCGCATATCGAATGTAAGCAGAGACTTTCGGATGGCAAAGAACAAATCTCTCGTAGATCGATCTCGCACGCTCGATTTCGTTATACCTGAGCTCGAATTTGATAAAGGAGAGCCAACCTTGTTGATCCGGTGAGAAATTCATCCACCGCTCGAATATCTGTCTGGCTCCGGCGATGTTCCCAAGTATCTCCTCCATGTGAATGTACTTGTACCAGAGCTGGTCGATTCGAGGGAGAAGCGTGACGCCTCGATCCCAAACGTTCCTGGCGCTGTTTACGAACTTGTTCTTCATCTCGAACTCGGCGTACTTTAGCCATAGCGTATGGTTCCGGTAATCGCCTTCAATGGCTCGTTCCCACACGCTCCGAGCACGAGCGTAGTCCTTCTGCGACTCTTCCCACTGCGCGTACTTGACCCACACTTGGATGTTCCATCTCGCGCGGCGGATCTTGTCCTCGAACTCCTTCCGACGTCGGAGTCTGTAGTCGGAGAGCTCAGTCGAATCAGTGATTTTCTGCTTAGGCGGCCGGATCTCAGCCTCTTGCCTCTCCCGAGCTTCTCTTAGAATCTGCTCGGCGGTGATTTGAACCGGCGCCGGAGTCTTGTTCTTGACCCGCGTCGGCCGAGGAAGCTTCACTTCGGTATCCTTACGGGTCATGTACCCTAAGGTACGGTCGGAATCTCTGCCGGAGGCCATGAGGTTTGCTTTTTCGTTCTCTCTGGGGTTTCTGGATTTGGGGAAAGAGGGAAGAAAAAGAAAAGGATTGATTAAACACATACGCATATGATTAATATTGGGCTATAATAGGTTGGCCTCATATGTCAATTGTAGCCCAATTAAGTCCACTTCCAAAATGGCCCAAACCTAATACAAGTGTTGGTAGAGATATATTTTGGCAAAATATTTCATTTTTCATCGAAAGCTGTGTCATTGATGAAACTAATCCTTATTCTGATCACGGAAATTTATTAAGAATCATAGAAAAAGGCATTGTCACGAAGCTACAGTATCCATATAATTTTTGACAATTTTAGTTTCGAACAAACATAAAAGTTATGTACTAATGTACATCTTACAATGATAAAAGGTATGTACATCGGATATAGCGCTTTCTTAAACTATCGTCATGTCTAGTTGTCTACTCGATGGTAATGAGGATTAACGATAATGACCAGCCACTAAATAAAGTTTGTTTTGTAGTCGTCAACAAGACAACAACAACAGCGTATTGTAGTGATAACAACAATTTGTAGCGATATATGTTTTTCTGAAAATTATCTTGAAAACCAATTCTTGATTTTAGCGGTTGGTTTCAGTCATGAATTTGATTTTTGGTTGATGTTCGGGTGTGATGGCCAAATTGTTTGTTTTCCAAGAATATCCATCACTTAAATAGAGTTTGCTAGCCAAAATATTGTTTTGTCAACGCGGCTTTGAGATCTCTAATATCGTTATTTGTAACTGTCGAATCCATCGATGGTAATGGTGATATCGGTTATGTTTAATTGTTTATGAACCAAAATCATGTCAGACAGTATTAATGGTTACAAATGCCGTCCGCGTGAGGTAACATACATGTAGAGTAGAGGAGCACACGATCCATATATACATAATACATTACATACATATCTTTATTTATTTTTCATATAGTAAAACACATACATGTACAGTATAATACTGATACATACATACATATATGTATAGACACACACATGCAAATATATTTTGTATATTTCACTCTTTCACCAGCTATTTTTTATTTATAAATAGTACCGTATGAAACGACGACAGACGATATATTACATCTAGTGCTCGTTCTCCGCGGACCAGAGAAAAGCTCCGATGGCAAACTTTCTCTTCTCGTTTGAGTCTCCAATGACCGGCAAGCCATACTGTCTCAGAAGCTGATCCAACTGCCACTCTGGCATTTTCTCATAATCACTCTTCGTATACTTTGGATAATGAAGTGGAATCGTGAAACTGCTCGATCGATTTTGACACGTCTCTTCACTGATCTTCGTCTTGATCTTCTGATCTTCACAGTCTTGATGATGATCGTTGTCGTGGACAGCTGAATTCGAATGATCGTGGCTGAATTTGAGTCCCATTTTTATATAAAAGAAGAGTTAATTATTTTGATAAGAAAACTAGGGCTTTAGAGATTTTAATAGGGTTTTGAGGTTTCTTATTATGTGGTGGAAATGGGAGTTGTGTTTATATAGGGAAAACTTGTGGATGAGGTGAAGAACTTCGTGGGATCATGTAGAAGCACGCACGTACTAGATTTTGAATTTTTCTTTTGTTTTATTTGCTACTATCATTTTATTATAGTATTTAGTTTTTTTTTGTCCTTTGTTTGTTTAATTTGTCTCGATCGTCGTCGACCTCGACTACATCAAACGCGAAAGAAATTTCAAACTTCTTGCAAAACGTTTTAATCTCATTTCATTTACGTAAAAAAAAAACAAAAACAAATTTTATTTTTGAAAATGGAGTACTAATATAATGAGTACTACTATAATGAGTAAAATCCCATGGCTCATATCATACACAATTGTGTTGGTTAAAGCGACGAAGTCTATCATCATCGCGGATTTTTATTTGGGCGAATATTTGGTCACATGAGATCGATTTGTCAATAATCAGAGACTGAATTGCTTAAAGATATTTAAGATGAAGCAGTGAACATCTAAACCAACACACTTTTGTTTGTATATACATTTGATTTATAGTTAGTTCTCGATTGTTACAAATTCAAAACCGGAGGCTGCTTAAAACTAAAAAACAAATTTTGGAGGCGCTGCTTGCTATGACGAATTGATTCTTCATCTATGACAATAATATCACTTCGCATATTAAATGCATCGAGATAACTATTTTGTGTGGATAGTTCTATCTCTCAGCTCATTAATTGGCTTTTGTTGAATTTTGCTAGTTTTCGTTATCACATAACAGAAGCGAATTGAATGCTTTTTGTTGTTGTTGTTGTTCTTTGTAACTGTGAGACACTGAGACTGCGATCGAATTTAAGTGTTGAACACAACTTGGTGATGAGAAAGAAAGGAAAATCAGTTTTCTAAAACGAAAGTTTATGCTTAAAAGTTGAGAACATGGTTAATCCACGATTTAAATTATCAGTGTTTATATTATCAGGCTTGTTCAAAAAGAGAAGCTCATAATTTCGTAGTGTGACGATAAAATGAAAAAAAAAAATTGTACTGATTAAATGAAGGAATCTGAGTTTGTTCCGGAATTTTCGTAGGGGACAAATAAGGATATAAATGAAGGAAGATGGACCCATTAATATTGATTCTTTGGAAACATCGAAATCTTTCTAGTTGCATGCATGCGACGACTACTCGACGTTCATTTTAATGTTTACAAGTGCCCTATCCTTACGGATTTGGCATTTGGCTTTGCATTTCACTTTCGTCCATGTGTAGTTAATTACGAGAGCCAGTGGGCTGACTTGTGGGACACTCGTTGTCACAATAAGTTTTGATCGCAAATATACGAATTTGTGTTTATTTTGGATAATCAACCGTTTGTAAGAATGATTGACATGCACTCGTGACAACTAACAAAGATAAGTCTGCTAAAATAAAATATGTATCATCATTTTCTACTGCACACTACCAATCATAAGTTTAATCGCCAAACAAATGCAAAATAACGTTTGAAATTACCAATCAATTAAACTCGTTACAATTTCACTTGTCATCGGTAAGAATCAATTTCACGAGCGTACCATTTGGTTTGCTTAACCGGAACAAAGCCTAATAGCTTCAATAAACTAAACCCGAACCAACTAGTATAAAATACCCAACCGAATTGGTTATAGACTTATAGGAAATAAACACACAATTGATCTGGTACAGTCGAATTTACTACTTTTGGTTTTGGGCACCTCCATGTACATTTACAAGGAAAAGAATATCAGTACGTGTAAAAATAGTTCATTGCTTCAAAAGAAGTCATAAGCAAGCTTCTGATTCTAAAGGAAGGTAAAGCTAGAACAAAGATCACTGTGTTCAATTTACTAGCAAATGCTTTTCTACATAGATGAGATGAGACTTTTTTGTAGTACTAACTAAGTAGCTGTTCTCGTCCAATTGAATCAAGAATCTGTCTTATCTTCCACGAGAACTTGCTTTAAGGTCTTGGGATTCGCTTCGTTAGTCACGGGCAAGTCCACGAGCGTGTGTGGAGGCGCAAAGTACATATGGAGGGACATGATGCATATGATAATACCCAAGAAAAGCTGCAGAAAGTTTGTTTGATTCAGGGCAAAGAAGACGAATGAGGCAAATACGGATACGAGAGGGAAAGTGGGTAAGTAAACACAAATAGCTATATTCGAACCTGCACTGTCGGTTTGAAACTGAAGAGGTATATGGATGCAACCATAGTAAGCAGCATCGCCATTGATGTCGAATAAACCTAAAAGAAGAAAATGTTGATGCGAGTTGTTTAACAACAGGTTTTTGTTTTTGACTTGTTATGGAGAACAAGTTTTAATCTTTTACCTTGACGATATTGTCTGCATACTTCATTAGCCACGAGACGAGTAAGCCGGTGGATCCTAGATTCAGAACCACCATCCAAGTAGTGAGGCTATACCCATCAAAGATACGTTGCCACCAATAACCCTTTTCAAACCCGAGTCTGAAATCATCTGCTATAAGTCGAGCAACGTTGAAAAGTGAACCAAACCTGACAAGTAAAGAAAGAAAGAATGAATATGATGACTGAACCGAATATGAATACCGTTGCCTAACGAAGAGCTTCTAAGTTGAATAAGCAGTGTGACAACTAATACTAATGGCATGAGAAAGCTTGATGGGATACCTACGTATACAACTGCAAGTTTTGCCAGTATAAGCTGTCGTTGTTTCTCTTCATCAGAAACTCTGTGTAGATTCCGGCTAGTGCGGACAAGCCAGCTGAGAGGATGCCCAACAGATACCCTTGTATTGGTGCTGTGAATAGCGAATCACATGAAGCTTCTCCGCATCCCTTCACCTGAAACAAGGACAAGAAATATTGAATAGTTGAAATCATTTTGAATTACCAGAGTGTGCTGCTAACTGCTAAAGATGAAGACAGTTTTCAGCAACATAAGGTTCTAAGCCTATACAGATCATTTTCCAAGCGCAATTCAATGTGTAATATGTATCACCTGGCTGGTAGTTGTTCCAACAGCTAAAAGACCAATTGCCATCCACTGAAGGTTTGATAGTTTCCTCTTCAGGAATAACCTACAACGACAATAAGATTACAAATCATTGTTGCCCTTATTTCTTCTTCAGCGAAAAGATAATAAAAATAAAAACGAAGCAGGTACCTAAAGAGAATGCCAGTGGTGACAATCTTGAGATTACCCATAATCTGATAAGTGGATGTGTCCACATAAGTCAATGTAGCGAATTGCACATTGTTATGGATCAGGTATATAAGAGAAGGAATAACAAATAAGCGCACGCTCTTCCAATCCTTAGTAATCCTTGCAGTTGCTGAGGGAGATGTTCGCATCTCTCTCCACAGAAATAAACCAGAAATGATCAGCTGCAGAAGAAGTTAACAAAAATAAACTCAGCAGCTATAATAAGCAATGCAGAAACTTCAGTAGCAGTCATTAAGCTTATTTAGCGGGTAAAACTAAAATGGGATGATCATAAGTAGATTAAACACACAAAAAAATACCTTGAAAACTTCGGCAAGAAATGGGACAGTCGCATAATCATACTTATATCCTCCATCGCTTTGAGAAAGAGTTGTTAAAATCCCCTGAGGCATAAAGTTTTAGACAGTGAGAGAAGGAAAACATATTTCATCAACCTATTCCTCATTTCGAATCTATTCAGCGAACAATTTCTATCGTAAACCTTCACCCATAACATAAAGCTGATGCTCTTCACTTGTATCGACTACTAACTTGGAATTTCTGACCACTAATTCTCACTCTACTTCTTCAGCGATATAGATCCATCAATCAACCAATCATCAGGCAAAATGAACACAAAAACACGAGCAACAATAGACTGAAATGGGTTCTGATTCCACAGAGAAACAATCAAGCATTCGCAATTTACACCAGAATTCACTGAAATATCACATCTCACGAATTGGAGTATCATTTCCATTCATTGCATTGCTCGAAATCGTGGAAATAGCATTATCACACTCTAACCGATAGAGCGACAATACCACCACCGATAACTCAACTATAGATTCAAAAATTTCAGGGGAAGAAGGAACAATCGGAAATGAATCTGGAAAGCGTATGAAATTGGCAAAGATTCAATCATAATTAGACACAAAGAACAACAAAAGAAGAAGAAGAAGAAGAAGAAGAAGAGGATTCGGAGATCTAGGGCTGGAAATTGGCACCTGAGAGCTCGTAAGAATGGTGAGAAGTAGTGCGACAAAGTACCACGGAGTAGCCATCGGTGTTCTTCTTCGTTTTCTATGTTATCGTCTTCACTCTCCCATTTTGTAGCTCTTCACTCTCTTTTCTCAACCGTACATGAATCGCGCATCACCGCCCTTTTCCCCGTAAAATTTCTCTTTCTCGCCGTTAGAAAAAATCAAACTGGTAAATTGAGTCGCTTTGAGATTTGGGCTTGATAAAACTTTTGGGCCTCATATAAAAATCGAAAGGCTTTTTCATTTTTCTCCTCCGCAATCAGCCACCGGAGTCGACTTTTTCAGTTTCAGTTCAATTTTGATCTTCATCTGTAAATCACTTGAAATTTAGCGAGGTCCTGATGAAATTGAAGCAGGTACATTGGGCATGCATAAATCTCACATGAACATTGGAGCAGCTCTTACTGATATGATATCGGTTGCTTCTGATTTAGCGATTCTGGTGTCCAGAATAAAAAATCTGCAGGCAAATAACCAGACTTTGATTGTTCGTGGCGCTCCAAGATGTTCTCTCAGCTCGAACCCAAATGCCGGTCGTGGTTGATATATGGTATATGGATTGTCGAAGCATGTGCTCTGTGGTATATTTATTGACAAGGCTGATGATTGGAACTTGTCTAGGATTTACTGAAACCGAGAATTGAGATGTCGTGTTCAGTGCAAATGCAGCCATACATCCATAACGGCGAGTGGCTTCTGAGGATTTTGGTTCAATCAACATTCAACAGGACGAATCCAGACCCAATGGAGCTTGTTTGAGGCTAATCTGGTATGAGTCACATATGCTCACTAGGGGCAGTGTTTGTCTCAAGAGATTGACTGCGAAATTAGGTAGCACTGAGATTTGAAGAAGATGATGTGTTTGGATTCACGAATACATAGTAACTAGTGTTGCTTCTGCGTTTGTATTTACCAACAGAGTTTCATAAGCCAACTCCAACAGCTTCTGCTTCTGCTTTCATAGGCTCCCTCATCATCATCATCAACATCTTTGTTATCGCTGCTGTTGCTTCCACTACTAAAGTCGTCCATTTCAGTGATACGATTCTCATCTTCATCCCTCAAGATCCTTACACCGCATGCAATAATCTTGTACATGCTCCAGCAGTGGAATTCAAACAGAATCTCGCTCATACTCTCATCCCCTTCTGAGCATCTCTTCTGTCGACCAATCAAGCCACCACGAAATATAAACACATGTTCCGTGAGAATCAGAGGCGGCTCGTCTGAAAGCACATGTAAATAACTGATTTTGTTGAACAGGACATCTCCGTGGCTTCTTTGATAACAAGTTATATGAAGCTGCTCGTAATCAGTATCATTGATTGGCGAAAGCAGGAGGCAAGCCTTAAATCTCGAGGACTCTGAGAAGAAAGTCTCCCAAGGGATGATTATGGAGTTTCCTGTATCTTTGTGAGTGAACTCTGCAGGGAACTTATCACCGGGTAAGCATACATACCTGGCAACCTTATGATGTATGATTGCTCTTCTTGATTCTGCATCCAGCTTCAAACAGTTGTGGAATATCAATTCTTTGATTGGATCTTGGAAAACTCTGGGGAGTGTCACTCTCTCAAGTGACACACAACTGTCTACATGAAGGTACCTGAGCGAAGGGGGAAGACCCTCCACTGACACGAGTTTTCCACAGTTTTTGATGATGAGGGTATGCAGCTGGCGGCTATATCTAACGTAAGACGGAATCTTCTCTATATATCTGTTGCTTAGGTTTAGTTCCCTTAAACTTCTTCTCTTGTGGTCTCTGCCACCTACATCCCTACTCCAAGGTTCACAATAAAATTTCATTTCACGAAATTTTTTTATCTCCACTCTTCCTTCATAGAGATTCTTGATGTTGGTAGATATATCTGGAAAATTTCTTAATCCTGAGCAATAACTCGTTATGGATTCCGCAGGAGATGCAGAGTTGATGTTCAATGGAACAACTCGCAACTCTTTGCAGCCCCACATTCTTAACGTTTCCAGGTTGGGAAGATCCAGAATATACGAGGGAAACTCCACCAAGCTTGTGCATTGGACAAGTGTCATTGTCTCGAGATTAGTAGCTTTCGACAGGTTTGGGATCTCTTTCAACTTGTAAGAAAAGTTCAAATTCACCTTCTTGAGGTTTGCTAGGGGCTGCATGTGTCAAACAAAACATAATGTGAAACATCATGTTCAGGTTGAATCACTGGATACAGACTCAGAATCATCAAGTACCAACCTGGATTCCTCCCCAGAGCTTCTCGAGCTTGCTTGATGCCATACGGAGCTCGATGAGACATTCTGTTCGAAATGTTGGAGGAAAAAGTGCTCCTGGGTATGAATCCCACCGTAGCAACCTTAGACGAGGTAGATGTTTCATGTCCTCTGTTGTGCTTAACCTAACATTTGCATTTGAATGAGAATGTCCCATGAAAACTCTTAAGAACTGGAGATTACACATTCTTTCAAACGCTCTTCCCCTTATAACCAAGTCGCCGGTCTTAGACATATCAAACGATATACCTAAGACAGATCCAGTGCCCTAACATGTATCCAGAATAAGATTAAGATTGATGAGAATGAAATTGTTACCATAATAAGCAATTTCTCTAGAGAATGTGAACAACTTACTGTTTCATTGGCAAGTACATTAAAAATATCTTGAGCTTCTACTAAAAACTGACGTTTCCCTGGCTCATGAGACTGTTCAATAACTTCTTGTCTACCCAACTTTTTGAGTAGATAGTGCATCTCTATCTTCCCATCTGTAGATATATGTAGGAGAGATTTGCTGGCTAAGATCTTCAACCCATTCCTGATATCCAAGTTACTGTCAGCGAGCATGGATGTGACATGGTCAACATCCTCATTGTTGAAGAAGCATGCAATGTGGAGAAAGACGGATTGATGTTTCTTTGACAATTTGTCATATCCCACTCTTAACACGTCCTCAATTTTTCTATCAAGGCTAGTTTCAAGCTCATGTGATTGAAGCCCCCACTCGACTTTGGTCTCACCACGCAAAGATGAACCCACAACACAGAGGCCTAACGGGAGATTATCGCAGAGCTTGGCTACTTTCTTTGCAAGCTCTTCAAAACCATCGTGTGGAGAAGTTTGTTTGAAAGCAGATAGACAGAAGATCTCAAGAGCTTCTTCTTCGGATGGAAAATCCACATGGTAGATATCTAAAATTCCATGTGCCTTGAGAATCTTGTTGTCTTGTGTGGTAACGATGATCCGACTTCCGGAGCCAAACCAAGAAGGCTCTTTAGCCAAGGCCTCTAGTTTCTCTATGTCATCAACATCATCAAGAATGATGAGCACCTTTTGATCTTGCAGCCATTCTTTTATTGAACGTAAATGGTGTACCCTCATATCCTTATGCTTCAAGATCTTACAAAGAAGTTGACTTTGCAAACACAACTTGGAATCATAGTCATCCACTCCCATTATGCTCTTACAACTTCCCTTGAGGTTCCCCATAAAACAACTAAGTAGAAAATGGCTAGAGAGTTGGCTGAACAGAGCTCTAGCAATCGTAGTCTTACCGATTCCCGCAGGACCCCAAATTCCAATCATCTTCACTTCATCATCATGCTCGAGGCATAACAAAGTTTCTAGTTCCCTCAAGTGAGCTTCCATTCCAACCATCCCCTCAAAATCTCTCGAGAGCGTGAGATTCAGTTTCTTGGAAACATCTGCGGCAATCTTTTTAATCATCTCCCCTTCATCACCCCTAACAAATTAAACAAACAGAATCACGTTGATGAATGACAATTTGATGAATCATTTTGCTCACAAAATCATGTTGGTGGATAGATTCATTAAGAAAACGACAGACCAATTCAGAGAGTGTTCTCCGGCTATTTTTGCGACATAAGTCAGAGCTTTGCTCCATCTCTGCTTGTCCTTGTCTGTCTTCCCATGACAAGTTTTCTCGAATGCGCATCCGAAATCACCGCTCTGTTTCCGAACATGGGACGGATCAACGTCGTAAAAGAGAGTCATCACTATCTGCCCCAAAGCTTCCTTGCACCTCAAGATTTCAACCAGTTCATCTAAGCACCAGCTGGAAGAAGCGTACTTCTCCGAAAGCACAACGATGGAGACCCTCGATTCTCTAATTGCTTGTACGAGCTTAGGTCCGATCGTCTGGCCTCTCTCGATCTCCTCATCTTTGAACACTGTGATTCCTTTTCTTGCAAAGTAGTAATGTAAATGACTGAGGAATTTACTACGGACATCTGGACCGTGGAAGCTTGGAAAGACATGGTATCTTCTTGAGCAAGTCAACGCAGAAGAAGAAGAAGCCATCAAGACTAAACTCCAAAAATGATTTCGGACAAGACAAAAAATAATGTGTAAAGATAAGAGAAACTTGAAAGAGATCTGAATGCTGATTGGTTGACTAATTCTTTGATCTTTGTTGGATACGATCATACGAAACTTCCTCATAGTCGTCGACGACCCATAATATAAGTCAATAACTTTATTAAGGCATGGTACATGTCGTCAATGTCATTGTTGTGGAAGGGACGGATTTTTGTAAATAATATCGTTAAGTTAATTGCATCCAGTTAGGTGATTCCAAGACTGCAATCAACATTCATTTGCTTAATTAGTGCTTTGGCTGGACTTTCAAACTATTGATAGGTTGTAAATATGATTTGAGTCCTTTTCGATAAACCATTTATCAAATGACAATTATGAATTTGGCATAGATTGTAGCAGAAATAGTTAAGAAATTTAGAAATCAGAATGGAGCTTCTGTATTCTTCTTCGTCTTCATCTTCTTCCCAAGACCAAGCATTCAAAGGACAAAAATAAGAAAAATATAATAAAGAACAAAAAAACCTTTACAATGAAACTCCAACAATCTGTGTGTTTGGTGCTTTCCACAGCTTCGGCTTTCTCTCTTTGGCAGCTGATGTTGCCCACAGGTTCACAGACTCCATCATCATCATTACCGTAGTCATCTATGTGGTCGGTTGTCTTGTCTCCGGGTTTCAAAATGGGCCATTCAGTGTTACGTTTCTTAACTTCCTCCTTGAAGATTTGTACACCACACTCAACAATCTTGTGGTTATCTGTGCAGGTGAATTCAAACAGAAACTCGCTGGTATCCACATCCACTTGAGGGGTTTTGTTTTGTTGGCGTGACAGTGACAGATCACCGCTAAGTATAAAGAGATGCTGCGTTCGAAGTTGAGGAGAGTGGCCTGAATTGTATGCCAAACAGCTGACTTGGTTAATGAGGACACCTTCTTTGCTTTTCAGACAACAGTTGACATGAAGAAGTGCGTTGTCCTTGATTGGTGAAAGTAAGATGCAAGCCTTAAATCTTGAGGAAGCATCCCCTGGTGAGACGGTTATAGAGTTTGCTGTAGCTTTGTGAGTGAACTCCGAGGGGACTTGTTCACCTGGTAAGCATACATATTTGGCAAACCTACGATTTATGATTACTCTTGTTACTTGTTCGTCCAGTCTCAAACAGTTACGGAGCATGAGTTCCCTTACTGAATCTGAATCCTGTGAAAACATTGAGAATTCGACCCTCTCAAGAGAAGCACAATTGTTTGCATGCAGGGACTTGAGGGAGCTGGGGAGATGCTCCACTGAAATGAGTTTCCTACAGTTTTCGATGATAAGTGTTTGTAGCCGATGGAGACCGCTGATGTAATCTGGAATCCTCTCTATACCACTACCGCTTAGGTCTAGCCTCGTTACCCTTTCCGGAACATGTGTTAATCTCGTGAGTTCTCTGCCAGCTATATCAAGCCTTTGGTGATGACTCCGACGACTAACAATTGATGGACTGGCAAGAGTTTGAGCGGGAATCCTCTCTATATGACTACTGCTTAGGTCTTGTAGCTTCCTAACATGTTCCGGAACATGAGGTAATCTCTTGAAGTCTCTGCCAGCTACATCAAGCCTTTTGGGAGGAAACCGACGAACAACAAATGGTGGACCCCCGTCCCAGAAATTATCTATGTTCCTAGTAATATCTGGGAAACTACTCATCCGTGAGGAATATTTCTTATAAAACCTCCCGTCGGTGACTTGTAGCTTATTGCAACCCCACATCCTCACCGTTTTTAGTCTGTCTAGATTCATAATAGAGGAAGGAAACTTCACCAAAGACGTGCATTGGATAAATGCCAGTGTCTCCAGATTAGTAGCTCTCGAAAGGTTTGGTATCTCTTTCAACTCGAAAGAGAAGTTGAGATTTAACTTCTTCAGATTTACAAGGGGCTGCATGTCAAACACCACAACAGATTACAAGGTTGAATTATTAGAAACATATTTTAAAAGGGATATCAAATGCCATACCTGGATTCCTTTCCATAGCTTCTCAAGTTTGCTTGATGGCATGTGGAGCTCGATGAGAGATTCTGGCCGAAATGTTGGAGGAAGACTTATTCCTGGGTATGAACTCCAATGTAGCAGCCTTAGACGAGGTAGAAACTCCATGTCTTCTAGACGAGGTACAAACTCCATGCCCTCTGCTGTGCACAAGCTAACATTTTCACTGGAATCACCCATGTAAACTCTTAAAAATTGGAGATTGCGCATTTCTTCAAAGGCTCTCCGACTTATAGACAACTCTCGGTTCTTGGACACATCAAAAGATATGCCTAAAACAGATTCAGTACCCTGGCATGCATCCAAAATAGATTAATGAATCTCTTGTCACAAAAGGCAAGATGTATAGACTATGGAGGAACAAATACTCTACGTAACAACTTACTGTTCCATTTGCGAGCACATGCATGATATCTTGAGCTTCTACTAAGAACTGACGTTTCCCCGGCTCGTTAGACTGTTGTAAAACTAACTGCCTACCCAATTTTTGGAGTAGATAATGCATCACTATCTTCCCATCAGTGGATGTATGCACGAGAGCCTTTTCGGCTAGGATCTTTAACCCATTTCTGACATCCAAGTTACTGTCAACGAGCATTGATGTCACATGATCAACATCCTCATTATTGAAAAAGCAAGCTATGTGGAGAAAGATGGATTGATGTGTCATCAACAATTTGTCATATCCCACTCTTAATACATCCTCAATTTTCCTATCAAGGTTAGTTTCAAGCCCTGACAACTGAAGCTCCCACTCGGCTTTCGTCTCTCCAAGCAAAGATGAACCTACAACACAAAGGCCTAGTGGGAGATTTCCGCAAAGCATCGCTACTTTCTTTGCAAGTTCTTCAAAGCCATCTTGTACAGAACTCTGCTCGAAAGCAGATAGACATAAGATCTTAAGAGCTTCTTCTTCGGATGGAAAATCCACATGGTAGACGTCGTTAATCTTATGTGCCTTCAAAATCTTAAAATCTTCTGTGGTAACGATGATCCGACTTCCATTTCCGAACCAAGAATGCTCCTTAGCCAATACCTTTAATTGTTGTAAATCATCCACATCATCAAGAACTATAAGCACCCTTTGGTCTTGCAGCCATTCTTGTACTGCACCTAGATTAAGTATCTTCATATTTGGTTGGTTCAGAATCTTGGACAAAAATTGGCTTTGCAAACACAACTTCATATCATAGTCATCAACACCCATTATGCTCCTACAACTTCCTTTGAGGTTCCCCAAAAAACAACTAAGTGGGAAATGGCTAGAGAGTTGGCTGAATAAAGCTCTAGCAATGGTGGTCTTACCGATTCCCGCAGGACCCCAAACTCCAATCATCTTCACTTGATCGCAATTCCCAAGCTGTAACAAAGAGTCCAATTTCCTCAAGTGAGCTTCCATCCCCACCATCCCCTCAAAATCCCTTGAGACTGTAACATTCAGTCTATCGGAAACATTCATGGCAATCTTTTCGACCATCCTGGCTTCATCATCCCTAGTAAAAGAAGTTGAAGCAATGATTAAGAAAGATCAAAGCAATATAATTCACTGAACCGAAAGAAAATGACGACAAACCATTTAATAGAATGTTCTCCAGCTATCTCTGCAACATAAGTCAGAGCTTGGCTCCATCTCAGCTTCTCCATCTCCGTCTTCCCTTGACAAGTTTTCTTAAAAGCGATACCGAAATCATCGCTCTGTTTCCGAACATGGGACGGGTCAACGTCATAAAAAATCGTCATCACAATCTGGCCTCCATCTTTTTGGCACTTCAAGATTTCCACCAGCTCATCTAAGCACCAGCTTGAAGAAGCGTAATTCTTGGAGAGCACAACAATGGAGACCCTCGATTGTCTAATTGCTTGTACGAGCTCAGGCCCGATCCTCTGGCCTCTCTCGATCCCTTGATCTTTGAACGTCGTGATCCCTTTGCTTTCAAAATGTTTGTGTAAATGACTGAGAAATCTTGTACGAACATCTGGGCCGTGGAAGCTAGGGAAGACATGGTATCTTCTTGAGCAAGTCAACGCAGAAGAAGCCATTACAGGCGTATTGAGTACAGACTAATTGCAATGATTTGGGAGAAAAGACTAATCGACACAAAAACGCGTAAACAGAAGAAGATAAAAGATGAATGCTGATCGGTTGACTTAGTCTAGGCTTTGTATATTAATGGACACGAAACTTCCTCATAGTCGTCGACGACCCATATATAAGTCAATAGTTGATCATTTCCAAATAACATTTTGGGACGTGTGGGTATATTAGCAACGTGAAGGCCACAACATGAATACTATATGCAATATTTTATAAGGAAACTCGCGGGAACAGATCATACATATGGACTCCACAGAATTCGGACATGTTTTCAACGATCAAACACAAACCAAATCAACCTGCAGCCGAATAACATCATTTCCAATATTTTCCTGCAATTTCTTTTCTTCATTTTCTCTGAAACCGTTACAGAGAAAAAAAATAATTATTAGGGATTTTCTTAGCAACCCAGAAGAATACAAAAAGGGGAAATATTTTCGCTTCCCCTGGATTCCTCTTGAGCCTTGTCTTTTCTTCTGTCGCCCTCTGTTTCTCCTTTGGAGCTTTTGTATTGGTCCGATCAATTCCTGAACGGCCGCTTTCATTTCCCTTCTTTTGACTCCGAGTTTCCAATTTGATATTGTTTTTGGATGATCTGATCAGATCAAATATTGTAATTTGGTGATCAAGTCGGAGAATTGCTCTGTTTCGGTTCGTGTATGAAATGTGATTTTGTATGCTCGATTGATCGGTCCTTGAAACAATAAAAGGATCTTCATTTCAGGTTTGGCCTCGCAAACCCTAATGTTTGCTTCTCTTTTTTTTGGTAAAATGTTTGCTTCTCCTTTATCAATCTGAATGTTCTTTGGTCTCATTTTGATCATATCTACCGTGTATAAACGCGTAACGTAATTGCAATTTGATCTCTTTTCTGATTTTCTCTTATTCTTCCAGCATTTGTAAATCTCAAGCCTACTGGATTAGTTTTGTTGGTTTGAGGATTTTGTCAATGGAACAATTCAGACAAATCGGCGAGGTTTTAGGAAGTCTAAACGCACTAATGGTATTACAAGACGACATATTAATCAACCGAAGACAATGTTGTTTATTGTTAGACATCTTCAGCTTAGCATTCACCACCGTCGCTGAAGAAATCAGACAGAACCTAAAGCTTGAAGAGAAGCACACTAAATGGAGAGCCCTTGAACAACCCTTAAGAGAGCTTTACAGAGTATTTAAAGAAGGAGAGTTATACGTTAAGCATTGCATGGACAATAGTGACTGGTGGGGCAAAGTAATCAATCTTCATCAGAACAAAGACTGTGTTGAGTTTCATATACACAACTTGTTCTGTTACTTCCCTGCGGTTGTCGAAGCTATTGAATCTGCCGGTGAGATCTCAGGTCTTGACCCGTCTGAGATGGAGAGAAGAAGAGTGGTCTTCTCAAGAAAGTATGATAGAGAATGGAACGATCCAAAGCTGTTCCAATGGAGGTTTGGGAAACAGTATCTTGTCCCGAAAGATATTTGCCTCCGGTTTGAGAATTCATGGAGAGAAGACAGATGGAATCTTGTGGAGGCGTTGCAAGAGAAGAGGAAATCGGATAGCGATGAGATCGGAAAGACAGAGAAGCGTCTAGCTGACTTGCTTCTCAAGAAACTGACCGGGTTAGAGCAGTTTAACGGGAAGCTGTTTCCGAGCTCGATACTTGTTGGGTCAAAGGATTATCAGGTGAGAAGAAGGTTAGGTGGAGATGGACAGTACAAGGAGATTCAATGGTTAGGTGATAGCTTTGCAGTGAGGCATTTCTTCAGCGATCTTGAGCCGTTGAGCTCTGAGATCTCATCTCTTTTATCACTTTGTCATTCGAATATACTTCAGTACTTGTGTGGATTCTATGATGAAGAAAGGAAAGAGTGTTTCTTGGTTATGGAGCTTATGAACAAAGATCTTCAGAGCTACATGAAGGAGAATTGCGGACCGAGAAGAAGATATCTCTTCTCTGTCTCTGTAGTGATTGATATCATGTTGCAGATCGCAAGAGGGATGGAGTATCTCCATGGGAATGATATCTTTCATGGAGATTTAAACCCAATGAACATTCTTTTGAAAGAGAGGAGTCACACAGAAGGTTACTTCCACGCCAAGATATCTGGTTTTGGTTTATCTTCTGTCAAAGGTCAATCTTCTAGGTCTTCTTCGAAACCTAGCACTACGTCTCCTGATCCTGTAATCTGGTATGCACCTGAGGTATTAGCAGAGATGGAACAAGGTACAACAACAACAACAACAACAACAGCTCCGAAATCAAAGATGACGCACAAAGCTGATGTTTACAGCTTTGCAATGGTGTGTTTTGAGCTTATAACAGGGAAAGTCCCATTTGAAGATAGTCATCTTCAAGGTGAACCAATGGCTTATAACATACGGATGGGAGAGAGACCTCTCTTCCCTTTCCCTTCACCGAAGTATCTCGTTGGTCTGATAAAACGGTGTTGGCACTCAGATCCGAGCCAGAGACCTAACTTCTCTTCCATTTGCCGGATTCTACGTTACATCAAGAAGTTCTTGGTTGTGAATCCTGATCAGGGTCATCCTCAGATGCAGACTCCATTAGTTGATTGTTGGGACTTAGAAGCGAGGTTCTTGAGAAAGTTTCCAGGTGACTCAGGGTCTCACACAGCGTCCGTGACTCAAATACCTTTCCAGATATACTCATACCGGATTTCGGAAAGAGAGAAGCTGAATCCAAACCTGAAAGAAGGCGTAGGTGACTCAGAGGCAGGCGAATCAGAAAGCGTTTCAGTGGTTGAAGATCCACCTAATGCCACGGTAACAAGAGATACAAAGTCTTTGAATTTGGATGCAACGTCTGAATATTCGGATACAAGATCAGTATACTCAGAAGCTCCTATCAAAAAGGTCTCCGCTTTAAAGAGTGGTGAATTGGTTAAGCTCAGGAAAAGTCCAAGCTTAGGTTTGTTTATTCACATGTTTCTCTCTTTACTTCAACTCTGTACAATGACAAGATTTAAGTTGGTTGATAGATTCATAACATTTTTTGTTGAAAATGATTAATGCAGGTTCACCAAAGTTGAGATCCACAGGGACTTCACCGGTAAAAGCAAGGTCAACGCCAAAACCTTCACCGTTGAGTCCATTTGGAAGAAGCATTAAAGCGAGGAAGGATAATCGATTGCCTTTGAGTCCAATGAGTCCACTAAGCCCAGGACTACGTAGAAAACATACTGGTCATGTTTCAGATTCTGAGCTTACTTAGCTTTTTTTCATCAAAAACCAGATAAGTAAGAAGCAGAAGAAAGACTATTTTTTGGTCAGCATTTCATAGTTTCAGACATGAAAAAAACAATGAGGTAGGGATCTCTTTTTTTCTGTTAATTTAGGAAACATCTCTTGTGATTTTGTCCTCAAGAGAATGGTTTCCTCTTTCTTCTTTCTTTTGTAGCTTCTGGCGCATGTTACTTTTTTGGAGTTGGGTTATTTTGTGTCCTCAAGAACAGAGTCTAATGTTGTAAAACTTTTTTGTACAAAACGGAAGTTGATCAGTTGTTTTTTTTTTGCAAGAGATTCAACTAAATTTTCTTTTGTTTATTTTAAACATTTAAGGCAACTAATTAATGATTGTACTGTAGTTTTTATTTTAGTGTTTGGAAAACTCACATTAATATCCATTCTACAATTAACAAAAAGATATAGGTGATGTTTATAGTTTTTTCCATTTTAAATTTGAAAAAAATAGCCCACAGTGGGTGTTCATGACTTCATTCTTATGAGTTTTTATATTGTTGAAATAGATATATTAAATTTTTCATTAAACCTTTAAGTAATTATGATAGGAGGAAGCCTAAAATCAATTAGGGACTCACGTGTGGTTTTAAAACAAAACTAAATTTGAAAATCAAAGCATTAAAAGTGGAAATTAAATTTTGTTCAAAAAACAAAAATGGAAATTAAAATGTAAACTGATGTTGACAATTGATGTTGTTCGTTTTTCCTTTTTACGGGAAATAGCAATAGGGAAAAGGAAATCTTGCTCCTCAAGTCTCCTTGTCCATAACAGATTATGACTTTCTTTTTTATTTATGTTCGGCAACATGTCAGTGTATATATATAGAGTTGCAGAAACCTACAAATCACAATTTCATCAACCTCTCACATACGAACGCTTCTTTTCTCTCTCTGATCGATCCAAAAAACAATCGTCTCTCTAAGATTTTCTCCATGACGAAGTCTTTGGCGTTGAAGATGGAAGAAGACTTGATTCTAGAGATCATGTCTCATTGTGCTTCGACGGATGTTGCAAAACTCCGTTTGCTAAACAAAGCCTGCAACAAACGAAGTTATGAGTTCTTCTTCCTCAATCGTCATCTTGATAGAGCCAACTCTGTTTTTGGCTATTTCATTCAAAGCTACAGCCGGTTTAAGTATCACCCTACTTTTGTCTCCGGCGACGTCAACGAAGAAGTTCCTGACAAAAAAGGAATCTCGCTTGAATTTCTCCCACAGAAAGATGTTAAGATTGAAGCTTGCGATACACATCATGGGATCTTGCTCTGCGTCGATGATGATAGATTCAAAGGAGGACAACGAATACCAGATTACATCGTTTGTAAACCGGCTACGAAGCAGTACCGAATCATACCAAACCCGAAAACCCGTTATTTCACTCTTGCAACCGGTTTAATGGTGATTCAGTCGAACCCGTTTCGGTACAAGATCGTTAGCGTTTCTCAACCAATGGCACACGAGAGAAAGAAGACCAAGGAGGGTTTCTACAATCGCAATTGCGAGGTCTTCGATTCTGATTCGTTCGCATGGAAGCGACTGAATGATTTGGAAATACCGATGGACAAGTCTGTCGTAGGATCAGATAAACCGGTGTCGGCGTACGGTTTCTTGCATTGGTTGACGAGAGAAAACGATGTGATCCGGTTCTGTTTCCGAACCGAAACTTGGTCTAACTTCCCGGTTCCTGAGGATGCGGTAGGCGATGGTTCTCTAGAGTTGGTCAGCTACGAAGGAAAGCTTAGTGTGATTTGTTCGAATTCGAGACAAGGATTTGATTTGTGGGTTATGAGTAAAAGTTTTGGAAACTCTTGGGTAAATGTGAAGGATGTGAAAATTACAGGGCTAGAAGATGAATTTGCAAAACCTCTATGGTTCCCAAGCAACGACGTCGTATCGGTGAATGGTTTTTGTCGGCTTGGTCTCAACAACATGAACAACAAGAAGTCTTCGTATTTGCGGATGACTCAGCATTCGTTGCCTAACTATATACCAAGAGATATTTGCTTCCCTTTCTACTCAAACTACGAAAGAGTTTGTCTGAATGAAGATCGTGCTGGAAGGTCCAACAAATGTAAACAATCAAAGGCAAAATTCCATGTGTTGTTACCTTTTTTGGTAATCATATTGCTATGTATCTTCTTCTTTTAATCCTCTTTCATATCCCCTTGATCAGATTCCATCTTGGTTAAGTTTATTAAAATTGTAAAGTTTATAATTATTAACGTCTAATTGCGTAATTGCTCTACGAAACATTCGTCTTTTTAATTGTCACTGTAATTTGTAAAAAAAAAACTAATCAGTTTGTTATGTAGGAAATTTGAGCAACTCCTCGAAGGAAATGGTTGAGCAACTGCATCTAACATGCCAAGAGGTTATTGTGATAGTTGATATGATTGATGACTTGATAGTGCAACTTCGCTCTTACGTTTGGTATTCCATGTTCTATAATCGACATTATGCACATAACATTGCAGAAAGATGAAAGGAGAAATGGTGGTAAAATGCAAGAGTAGTATTGGAGAAGATATTGGCTATAACGGATACCTTTTTTCGTTTCTTTAGAGGTGATGTGGATACGTGTTGGATCCCGTAGAAGAGAAGGAGAGAAAGATGAAAGAAGAAGGCGAGTATGAGTCTTCTCGTTTGTCTGCAGACGCATCCTGTAATTGCGTCACTTGCAGTTGGGAGGACAAAGAAGTCTACCGCGGCCCTTTGAAGAAGGTTCCGTGTTAGAAGGCTCTTACCAAGTTGTGATGCTTGAATGCCTAGAAAAAGAATGTGGTAAAGTGTAAGACTGTAAGAGTAGCAATGGGACATCGATAGGATACAAGGGCTACATCACTAACGACGTTCTTTAAAATACGGTATATGAATTACAAACAATAAAAACTAATATGTACGAAACTTGAACAACTCCTTGGTAGGAAACTCAGTGGCAGTGGCGGCGATTCTCTAGGCATTCAAAAACCAATACGTAGACGTTTGATTGGCACGTCGTCTAACTAAATCCATTTGTTGATTTTGTGTGTGGATCATAATGGACAGGTTTTTGTTTGGCCTTTTTAAGTGTTGTTCTGCTTTACTAATTTTAACTTAGGGTTAGGAATAAGGATGACGGTCTTTCTTGTTGGTGAAGCTTACTTTTATGATAAACAAATAAAAATTCTTTTTTTATATAAATAGAGTTGCAGCACAAGACATATAAACCACAATTTTGTCAACCTTCTCAGATATATACGTTTGCTTCTTCTTCTCTCTGACTGATCCAAAAAAACACTCCTTTCTCCATGACGATTTCTTGCGACTGTGAAAGTTATAATGAGTTTTTAGGTGATTTTGGGTGAATTGTTATGAATTCAATTAAAATACTCTAGAATTTTATTTAAAACCATGAGATTGAATTTCACTAGAATTTTCCTAAATTTCACCCCTTAGAATATTTTCAACAACATTAAATCTAAGATATTTTAATGTTTATGTTAGAATAACACAAGTCCAAATCATCTCAAGTACTCAATTAAATAAACCCCTAACTGGCCTTTAAAGAAAATCTAGTAATCGGTACTATTAAAAACAATCATAAATACAGAAAGGGAGTAAGGAGGATTTTCGTATAGTACAAAAGATCGGCGAATCTAGAGAAAGTCTTTTCTTAAAATAGATTTGGGCCATTAGGGAAATGTTTGTTTACATCAAACAAAAAAACACATTTGATATGGAAACAAATCTCTGGATACCAAAACTTAGCAAATTTTTCCTACTCAAATCCTAAGCAAGTAATCAAATTCAATATAAACAAGGTTTGGTCTTTCTCCTCTTCCTAACTTCTCCGGTACGTACATCAAAAAATGAGTTATCCAGCTATGAGCCAAGACGTGATTTTAGAGATTTTCTCTTACTGTCCAGCTTCAGCAATTGAAAAGTTCAGATTCCTCAACAAAGATTACTACAAACGAATGTCTGAATCTTCGTTCATCAACCTTAACCTCCTTCGAACCAATTCTATAATCGGAGTTTTTCTCCAGTACCGACAATATCCTTCAACTTTTAATTCCAGTTTTGTCCTCGCTGGAGATGGAGAACAAGTCTCGCTTGATTTTCTTCCGAATAAGAAGATAGGGATCGAAGCTTGTGACCCAAGTCACGGGATTTTGCTATGTAGCGATCATCTTTACTTTGGAAAAACTTCTTACATCGTTTGTAAACCAACCACAAGGCAATACCGTACTATACTTCGACTCTTGAATCTAATTTTCAATCTATTGTATCCCGTTTAACTGTGATCTGGGCAAACCCTTTAAAGTATAAAATCGTCAAGATATCTATGCAATACAAGAAATTCACAGTCGTCTGCGAGGGTTTTGATTCTGATCTGTTTGCGTGGAAACGATTAGACCATGTGATACTGCCAAAAGGCGAATTTTTACAGATTTCAAGCGTACCGGTATCGAATAACCGGTTCTTGCATTGGTTAACGACGTCAAACAAAAATGTGTTCCGGTTTTGTATGAAAACCGAAACATGGTCACTCCTCCCACTTCCAAACGATTTATTGTACTCTTCTTCCCTCGTTTTAACTAATTACGAAGGTAAGCTAGGCATCATTCGTTGGAGACCGAAAAGCGGACGAGAATTAAAGTGGACTTGGGTTTTGGATAGCACTTTTGGAAAATCGTGGGTGAATCCGAAAGAAGAGAAAAGTATTGTGGAAGAAGATAAATTTGTTAAACCTGTGTGGTTACATCCAAGTAACGACGTGATACTGATGGCTGGTTTCGATTGGGTCGGCCTTTACAATATGAAGACTAATAATCGCATGAAACCTCAACGTTTCAAGGTAAGTCTTCCATATTCGTTCGACTACACTTCTTCTTCCGTTAATTATTTCCCTTTTCGTTCTGATTACGAGAAACTTGATCTGAACGAAGATGATGTTGAAAAATCTAACGATAGAAGTTAAAAACTCACAAGTACCATGAGACAATTAAAACGAATCAAATGTCCTAGATGATCATTATTTTCCCAAAAGGTATTGTAATTGTAATAAAATAAAATAAAAATCTCTGTTGTAATAGACTAATACTCTAATAGTACATGTATACAAAAATAGAAAGACTCTTTTTATTTGTCAGCATTTCATAGTTTCAGACATGAAAAACTCACAGAAAGCAAAAACAAAAACAGTGAGGTAGGGATCTCTTTTTGTCTGTTAATTTTGGAAACAACTCTTGTGATTTTGTCCTCAAGAGAATAGTTTCCTCTTTCATCTTTCTTTTGTAGCTTCTGGCGCATGTTACTTTTTTGGAGTTGGGTTATTTTGTGTCCTCAAGAACAGAGTCTAAATGTTGTAAAAGTTGTTCGTTTTTCCTTTTTACGGGAAATAGCAATAGGGAAAAGGAAATCTTGCTCCTCAAGTCTCCTTGTCCTTAACAGATTATGACTTTCTTTTTTTTTATTTATGTTCGGCAATAGAGTTGCAGAAACCTACAAATCACAATTTCATCAACCTCTCACATACGAACGCTTCTTTTCTCTCTCTAAGATTTTCTCCATGACGAATTCTTTGGCGTTGAAGATGGAAGAAGACTTGATTCTAGAGATCATCTCTCATTGTGGTTCGACGGATGTTGCAAAATTCCGTTTACTAAACAAAGCCTGCAACAAACGAAGTTATGAGTCCTCAACCGTCATCTCCATAGAGCCAATCTGTTTTTGGCTATTTCATTCAACGCTACAGCCGGTTTAAGTATCACCCTACTTTTGTCTCCGGCTTCGTCGACGAAGAAGCTCCTGACAAAAAAGGAATCTCGCTTGAATTTCTCCCACAGAAAGATGTTAAGATTGAAGCTTGCGATACACATCATGGGATCTTGCTCTGCGTCGAGTATGATAGATTCAAAGGAGCACAAAACCCATAAATTTTTCCTCGAATCATCAAAGATTCAAATTATGATAAACGAAACACTAGTTACTTGATTATCATGTTTAGTTCATGTTGAGAAACCGTAAATGATAACCATTGTTGTGTTCCAGTTCAACGTGCTTAAATTAGTAGACATGCTCCATCCTTGCTGGATAATTCAAAAGCCATAGGCATAATAATAGCTTGACCCAAGAGCAAAACAAGACTATATCCAACCCAATAAAGTTGAAATCAGAAATGTATTAACATGAGCACAAATAGAACGTCCAAGGAGATAATAGAAGATACAACAACGACACTAAGTAAAAATTAGTAAAGCAGAACAACACTTAAAAGGCCAAACAAAAACACAACTTGGTTTATTATTATGATGATCCACACACATAATCAAAACAGGGATTTAGTTAGACTGGGAGTCTAATCATCCTTAGGTTTAGGTATAGTTTGCGAGCTCTGGAGACTCGGAATCTCATCAGTTATTGGTTTTGGTATAGTTTGAGAGCTGAGGATCTGACCGACGAGACTGAAGCATCCGGTCCGGTGATTGTAGATTCTTCTGACGATAGCAATGCGATCAACATCCTTCTTCTTAACCCGAGCCTTGCTCCGGTCCATGTGCCTTATGTAGAAAACTGCATTAGTGGGGCGACAAAGTCCAGGTCCAGGTCCCTCCTCATCACTAGTATCAATAGAGACAGCAACTTGGACAATCTTGAGCTTGGAGAGATCAGGACTTTTAGAGGTGGCCCTATGAGTTGCGGCAAATGCAAGATCCAGATACATACGAACCCACTCATTCTCTTCCACCTCCGACTTGTTCAGCTGCAAGATGCATAGTTAAACTCCCCCAATCTTTTATTTTATTTTTTTATATAAATATTTAAATGATTAATCTTAAACTTAATTTACCAAGTAAAAACGGTTAGTATCTTGGAAAGGATCCAGTGGCGGCATCACAGGCATGCAACCACTGAGATTGTATTCCCTCGCCGCTTCCCTGCTACTCGTGACTTCGTCTCCAATGTTATAGATTTTCCTGGTCTCCCCTGAATCAATCATTCAACTAATATATTGACTTGTCCGTATAATTATCATGTAGCTTTAATAGCAATACTTACCATGGGGTATAACAAAATTGCACCTCAAAGAGAATTGGCCATAAGTTAGTTCAGACACACAAGTCTCAAAAATTCGAACCAAATTCAGACATGGATCTATGGCATCCAAGGCCATGCGGTAAGTGGAAGCTGCAGGAGGACCCCTGGTTTTGCTGTACTCAAGCACACGACTAAACTTCAATTTTTTCCCCTAATTGAGAGAGAAAATTGGATAAACAAGACAACACACACACACACACCACTAAACGAAGGAAAACAAGAAGAGGTAATATCATATTATTAGGCACTAGACTTGCCTGGAGCAAATTGTAACCATGAAGGCCCATGGCAGCATAAAGGCTGACTAAAACAGGACAAGGAGAATACGGAGGAGCATTGCAAATCGTTATATGTTCACTTCTGCTGTAGTACCCCAACCCAAGTAGAACACTCTTGCCAAACACCTCCTGCAAGTAGTTGAGAAAATCATCCCAAACAAAAGACATATTATATTAGTCAATCTGAATCTACCATATGCGTGAAGGATGTGAGAATCAATATTACCTCCTCGGTATACTTAACCCTAGGCCCTTCTGTTGAGAGCGACGACGGCACCATTGTCAATTGTCTCCTCCTCCGGTCGATTTCCTATTATATATACTCCTATCGATATTTCTGGGCCTTTACAACCCAATAAGACTCATTCACTTGGGCCGTGTGAAATCGAGCAGCAACATATTTGGATTATCTCTTTCACACCACCAAAGGAGTTCATATTAGAGGATGCTGTGCTTGATGCTGATGCTTGATGAAGCAAGAAGAGCAGAGTCCACCGAGGCAGGCGAATTGCCTAACTTGATGATCATCAACTCTGCTGAGAGATTACTGCTCTGTAACCTGCAAATATGCATTTTGTTTCAACGAGCAGCCAGCGATTTTTATTTTGTACAAGCCACACGTTTTCTTAATGGCTTAATCAAAACCCTTTTGTTTATCATCTGTCGGTTGAGGATTCAATTTGTAAAATCTGGTATTTAGCTTAATGGAAGAAGAATCAGAGTCGAAGAAACTCGCTAAACAACTCACAAGGTTTCAACGAGTGTCTTAGGCTGATTGAAGAAACGCTTACACGTGAAGAAAACATGTCTTTTTCTCCCAAACAAACTGCTTTTGTTTACAGTTAGATTTTCGATAGGAAGCTTAACACAAAACTTGAGTCACTAAAGCTTGATTGACCAAATTTTGACTTTTAAAAGACTTTTAAAAGACCCGCGTCCTCTACTTTGAAACCTGTTTTTTCTTGGTAAGAAATCACAACTTTAAGTCTTGGTTTCTGCTTCTGCCTCTTCTTCTACTTCTTCTTTTCCTTCTTCTTCCTCAGCCGCCTCAAGCCCTAGAGACTGGCCTAGGCACTCTTGAGCTTCTTCTAGTGGAGATTCATTTGCATCCGTCGCATATAACATCTTCATAACCGTTACCACTATCTGCTCATATTGCGGTTTCAACAATACATTTTCTTATCAGATTTGAGTCCAAACGAAGAGAAACAAAAACTAGGCATTTGCTATGACATTTACCGCAAGTTCATCGAGCTCAGGAGTCTGACAGAGTATCTCTATATCCCGGAGCTTAGAGAAGTAAAAGTCACTTTCGAGATCCACAGAGACCTTCAGCTCTGCAAGCTGGTATTGTCAAACAAAGTTTCATTACAATTTTATTCTCATCAACACGAAGAGTGAAACAATTAGTAAAGGGCGATGATTACCTCCTTTGACAGAGCTTGCACTTGGGCTGATGAGTTGCTCCCACCTCCAACTGCATGTGATTTTGCTTGCTTGAGACCACTAGTGACTGGAGGATGATGATGATGCATATTGTTTGTTTGCAATGACTTTGAGGCCTTACTAGCTCCCTTTACGCTCTTCTCTTTGCCGCCTCTTGATCTTCCTTCTACTGGATTATAATTCCTATACAATGATGACACCATTGGAGTGTCATTAAGTTATTAACAAAAAGAAGAAAAGGTTGAGAGACAAGGTACAAAAGTCAGTCCATACTCGTTCATAATGCCGCCATTTATGGAGTCGCAGAAACGTTTCAGCCATTGTCGAAACTCCAACTTGTCTAGTGGTCGGCCTTTCACAAGCCTGTTCACTTCCAATGGCTGAGGTACAGCAATATTGTAAGTCACTAGCCCACAATCCTTTATCCCAAGCAAGTATAGGAAGACGATATCTAAGAGAAAAAATTTACCTTTGTAATTTTCAGTTTGGTGAAGACTTCTTGCATGACCTCGTAGTTTTGTATCATCTCGTACTCATTCTTTGCATCAAAATTAACCTAAAAAGTGGGAGATTTTAGATTGCTCTGAAGAAGAAACGATTGCAAGAGATCTCGCCAAAAATGTGAAAAAACTTAAAAAAATCACCTTGTGCATTGGCACAGCTCCTGGAAAAGTGATGTCCAACATTTGACATTGCACAGCAGCACCAGATGCAGCCTAGCAAAACCCAACCATCAGCTACTTAGATAAACAAACAGTCCCACAAGCAAGACCAATTAAGGACAGTTTCAATTCTACTGGACTATAAACCGGAATATTCAACAACAAACGTGTGAGCTGCTTCCAATAGCTAAGCATTATTCATCACATACACACAACAAAGAACCGTAGATCAGAGAGTCAAAAATACCTAAACCATTAGGCAGAATTAAAGACAGTGGAAGACTTACCTTGTTATAAATTTGAGACTGGTCTTTGAAGAATGCCTTGGACTTCAAAACATGGGATGCTGTTTTCCTTTTGCTGCAACACCCAGAAGGAGCTTCTTCCTTGCTGGCTTTAGTTCTCCCCATTTCCACTGAGTAAAAATCAGAGAGGAGATGCTGGGGTTGTATATGGCAAATATCAGTATCTATTCCTTCTCTTCTTAGAGATCCTACTGATATATGCATAACATGGAGAGACACGAATATGTAGCCCATAAATCCAGTGTCTTTCCCGTTACTCAACTTGCACTTAACCACTAATTCTCCTTTTATTACTCTGCAATGTAGCATCAGAACTTGGTGACTCCCCTCGAGCTCGGCATCTTGGTTTAATGGGCCACGATATACTTTTTTCTCTTCCCAACCCTTGTAACATGCAAGTGAGGCAGTAACTGGGTGCGTCCTGAGACGCTCTAATGCGTCAGCAAGAGTCTGATACTCAAAAACACGTCTCACGTAGTATCTGTCTTCATAATCATCTTCAAACCCGGTTTTAGCATAACAGTCGTCTGTTTCTTCCCATTCTACATTTGGAACACCATGTGCCATTATGTGTTTTAGCGCATCATCCACGTTATGTCCATAACAGTAATGGATGATTCCATTACTGATATGCTGCTCACGTTTGTCTGGGGCCACCTTTCTACAGAGATACATCGGAGACAATGACTTGTAACTTTGCTCCCAGCCGTCGAGCCAAAGAATGGCACTGATAAGGTCCGTTAACGCAAAGCACCAGCAAAGTCTACAACACTTCTGGTTACGGATGTGACCAGCGGTCTTCGTAATCCTTTTTGCAACTCTAGATGTCTTCCTAGAGCTATATTGCCTATACTCCTCTGCATTAGATTCCCAATATATGCGAGCTTCATCACCGTAGGAACAGAGCATGAGTTGAGTTTCTGGATTTGTTGCGGACTCAACTCCATTGAATCTCTCTTCAAGCAAAATCCTTGCCGTTTCATTGCTTATAACCTGTGATGAAATATACACTCGCTTCCCCTCACGCACTTGTTGCTCAACATGCTCGCCAAATACGTTCAGATACTCCCCAAGATTTTGAAGCCGGAGTCTCAAATCTGGAGACTCCATCATGATACCGTTAGGGTCGGCATCTGAGTCTGAGTCTTCGTCTTCCTCTGTGTCAGTATATTCCATATAATCATCATCCTCATCCAAGTCCTGGTAATCAAATTCGTTCAGATCCATCATGATACCGTCAGGGTCGGCATCATCATCTGAGTCTTCCTCTGTGTCAGAATCCTCATCCTCCGAGTCCTGGTAAGCAATTTCTTTCCCTTTAATGCTTGGTTGGCCAGCAATTTCTTTCCCTCTCTTGCTTGGTTGGCCAACCTCGGAAGTGTATTGCTTCTTCTTTGCGTCCTTGAATTTTCTCCCATGGTATGCTTCAGCTGTCTCCTTCATCTTTGTCCCTTGGAGAATTCCTGTACGTCTCACAGTCTGAAGATCATGTCTATCAATATCAAGCTCCAATCCCTAAAACAATTAAAGCACATACATTAAAACTTTACCAAGCAGTTAAAGCATATAGGTTTCCTTTATTATTAGTTAAGTGCTAAAGATTACGAACCTGAGAACAGATGATATCTTGAGCAGTGACGGATTTGAAATGATCCATTTTGTCTTTTGGAACCGCATACTCGTTACAGAACTGCAAGTAAATATTCGTACATCAAACTAATTTAACCATAAAATAAAGGGAAAAAATGGGTGAAATTGAGTTCTTACTTGGTACAATTGCCTTCTTCGAACACGGAGTATAAGCTCTCTAGCTTCTGCAAGCTCTGGACGTGAAGAGTTTTCAATAGTTTTGAGGATTGTCTCGTCCAACTGAAAATTGTGGAAGCACAAAATGTTTATAAAGAAGCAAAAGGAATTTGCTGCATACAGGAAAGGAAGAAAATAGAACCTTCCAGTATTCAGATGGGTTATCAATGTAAGAAGAAATCCCCAAATGATCATTAGCTTTCACCATTGCATCTGCTATCATAAGCTCAATTGCCTGTAAATGATTCGAAAGAAACAAGTGAGAAACAGAGAAAGAACAGAGAAGGAACAGAGAACTATGAAGAAAGGTGATGATTATTGGTACTCTACCTTTACTTTCGGATGTGTGTAGACTGTTCGATGAAGATCAGCTCGAGTGGAGAATAACTTGTGGACATTACGATCTACAGAAGTCAACCAGTTTTTATAAGGTAACCAAAGCAAACGCAAGCAAAATATATTCAGGTGGAGGAAAACTCACATTCCTTAGCGCGATAACAGATTTCATTGTCCATGACTCGCATCGTCTCTGTCAGTCTATAAAGTTCAGAGAATTAGCAAACTCTTCTTTACTAGCAAAGACTAAAAATGAGTGAAGTCTACAATGAATAATAGTACCTTTGGAACTGAAAATTGCATCCTAGTCCACATGCTCGAGAGTCACGAACAATGTAGTCAAACCTGTAAGTTTATTGTAGACATTAAAAGTTGACTTGCTATGACAAAGATGAAACCTAAGCATCATGATGAGTGAAAAGGGAAAGAAAGAAATGATAGAGTTACTTGTCCACATCAATCCCATTTCGACCATTAGCAACAATGTCATACAAGAAACGTTTCTCTTCATTGTTCTGTAAATGATGAGAAAAGGAAACTATCAAATATGAGCAGTAGTTCATGCGCGGCCAGAATGCACAATTTAGCTAATATATAACTTACATTCAGCTCAAAACCTTTTGAACTAGCGAGTATCATATCCTGTCAAGTAAGCATTAGATTTGATCATCAACAAAGAGGGAAAGGAAGCAAGAAACATTGTCACAGTTTCCCATCTCAGATACTAGATGACATTTGAGAGAAACTAAACAGTCTTAAGAAGGAATACTATTTACCTTCACTCGTTTCAGCATTTGAGGATCAATGTCAATGTGATGTGTATCAACGATATTGTCGATCATGGTTACAGACATTGACTCATGAGACCTGCATACAAGAATTAGCATGTAAAGAACTGGAGAGAAGAATAATCCAGAGAGCCAAAGTAGTGAAAAAATAAGGCACTAAATGTTCTGAAATTTGACATGTTAGAGAAAGTGCGACTTACCACTTACAGTCACTTATGACTCTTGGGAGGAACTCACGCTCAAACATATGACTGAAAGGGCCATGGCCAATATCATGGAGAAGTCCTATATATGCAAAAACTGGAGATCAGAAAAAAGCACCAAGATATAATGTAAGTAGTTTAGCTAACAAACAAAATTTACCAGAAAGTCTCACAGTCTGAAGATCATATCTATCAATATCAAGCTCCATTCCCTATAAACAATTAAAGCACCTACATTAAAACTTTACCATACTTAGTAAAATATTACTTCAGAGCAAAAAATCTTGTACCTGGAAAGTTTGAAGCCTCTGAACAGTTTCGCCTGCAAGCCAATACACGCCTAGAGAGTGCTCAAATCTAGAATGCACAGCGCCTGGATACACCATCCTTGTCACTCCTGAAACATGCAAAGAAAATTTCTCTCAGAGAAAGACTCAAGACTCATTACAGATACAGCTAGTATCCTACACATCCTCTGAAGATTTCAATTGGAAACTTTCTATATTTGACAACCGTATCTTCTCTTTGAGTGATTCTCAGGTAAATGCTTCTTAATAAACAAATACAAGATCGGAAAACGCAATCCAACTCACCGAGCTGCTTGAGTTCACGAAGCCTGCCACAATGAATTAAATCAACGAATCAGCACATTCCAAAGAATCCTCGACAATTTATACGAATAGTGGAAATGAAAACGAGCACAATCCAACGATAAGTTACCTCTGAAACTGCTCCGTGTCAATGAATTTCAAACAAAGCTGCAAATTAAAATGGAGTTTTCAGTACAGATGAACAGATTGAGATTTCAACGAAATTTGAAACTCGAAGCTTAATCGGAGAAAAACCGCATAACAGAAGTACAAATTCTAGCAAAAATCCACCAGATGCAACTACTAGACGATCTTCTTCCCGAGAAAATGAAAGATAACGAAGACATTATCCAGATTTCAACTCGAACAAAAGGCATCGGAAATTCAAATTTTACAGTAAAATCAGTTACAGAGCGTCGTCGTAACAGATACAAATTCCGGAAATCGACCGAAGAAGGATAAGAGAATTAGTACCGATTAACAGATTGAGGAATTTGAAACTCGAAGCAAAATCGGAGCAAAATTTCGCGTAACAGAACAATCAGATACAATTTCTAGCAAACGCATCTACCAAACGATTTTCGTCAAGAGAAAATGAAAGATAACGAAGAGATTTATCCAGAAGGCATCGGAAACTCAAATCTCACGGTACAAGCAGTTACAGAGCGTCGTCGTCGCAGTTACAAATTCCGGAAATAGAACGAAGAGGAGGAATCAAGAGAAACTTACAGGATCGAGATAGATGTTTCCGTGAACGTTGTCGTAGACATGCTTGCTCAACCGGAGCTCGTTCGTCGGAGCACCGGCCACGGAGGAAACCGGCGAACTTAGGTCGTCGTCGCAATTCGCTCCCATTTTGCTGAATCCGCGCGTCGAATCACTCGCTCGCTCGCGATCGCTATTTCAAGTGTCGAGAGCAACTGAAAATGAGACCCAAAAGAGAATTTGAAAATGATTTGAATTTTGAAGTTGTGACTTGAGTGAGAGAGAGAGAGGACTTTTATTTGACGTTCGTACGAAAATTATATTATCTATGAAAGCTTTAAATTGCAAATAGATCCCTATACTCTTCCTTTGTACCAAGAAAAGTCAGTATAAGTGGTAAGGCTATAAAGTATAAACTATTGGGGTTTGTTGTGTATATTTTTTAAAAAACGGGCTTTTTCGCATTAATTGAAAATTATAGGAGTAGGGATATAATCTACATAAGTTGTGCTAGCTTTTTTATCACGTTGATAAATTTTAATTGTTTGGTAATGCCGTTAATACAAATAATTCCCATGTGTCATTAGCGGGATCCCAATGGTGGTTAACAAAATTAATTCAAACATCAGCCCCCAATTAATTTGCCCCAGTTTACAAATATATACAAATTATAATCTGAAATTCATTAAATAGATCTTTGGCGTAGCCAGCAAGCACAACTGTGCTTCCGTACAAATCAAGTCATGGGCTCTCTTTTTTGCAGTCTGCAGAATGACGTACACACATCGACATTAATCACTTCTTCTGATGGGCCTCTTTCTAGTTGGGCCTTTTCTTTTTTGAAGCCCCATACATGTCTCCTTCGACATAGTCAAAGTGCTAGAAAGAAGAAACCATGATAGAAGTCATGGTAACAAATAGGAAAAAACCAGAGAACTCAGAAGTAATAACCTATAAAGCTTTGATGCAACGAAGTACACACTTGCTCAAGGAAGTATTTTGAAAATCTTAAGCAACATCACTTATAAAAAACAAAAAACAAAAAGCAAAAAAAGACTTATGTTTATTAACTATTGGTAAAATAAACAGAAGTTGTCGTAGCTGATTAAAAAACGACAATGTTGATTTAAGGCTGATAATAGGTAGCGATTATCACTTCAAGACAATGAAATTATGTTTGGAACCCTTTGTTGCTACAAAGTGGTGAGAAATGAAGCTTGCATCAGAAGAAGAAAAACAAAAAAAAATCATTGGAAGCATTTGTTGTTGCATCAAACGACATACGCTTTTGATTTAACCAACGAAACGGCATAAGCTTTTAAGTATGTTTTAAGTATGTATCCGAAGTTGGTAAAAAAATTGCAAGAGTCAGAGGATGGGTCCCACTTTCCATTTAACCGGTTAAGGAAAAGGTGAAATACTACGGTTGAGCCGCACCAAAGAAAAAGCGTCTTACGATGTGTGAGTTGGACGGTGAAGATTAGTCACTCGTGGACCCCATCCTACATTTTCCTTAAACTCAATCTCAGCCGTCCGATATCAGCATTTACTCTCCGACGCTCACACTAAACAATTATTGAAAACATGATTATTATTATTTTTGTGTGTGCAACTGTAAACCTGAAATGTGGGGAATATTTCACTCAAATCTTTACTTTTATGGATGGTGGACTTGCAAAACAGACTAATAACTAGGGACTTCTAAGAGTTTTCTGCACATTGTCCAACGGGATCCAAGTCAGTAAGTCACGGGATAAAGATCGAAGCTTGTGACCCAAGTCACCGGATTTTGCTATGTAGCGATTATCTTTACTTTGGAAAAACTTCTTACATCGTTTGTAAACCAACCACAAGGCAATACCGTACTATACTTCGACTCTTGAATCTAATTTTCAATCTATTGTATCCCGTTTAACTGTGATCTGGGCAAACCCTTTAAAGTATAAAATCGTCAAGATATCTATGCAATACAAGAAATTCACAGTCGTCTGCGAGGGTTTTGATTCTGATCTGTTTGCGTGGAAACGATTAGACCATGTGATACTGCCAAAAGGCGAATTTTTACAGATTTCAAGCGTACCGGTATCGAATAACCGGTTCTTGCATTGGTTAACGACGTCAAACAAAAATGTGTTCCGGTTTTGTATGAAAACCGAAACATGGTCACTCCTCCCACTTCCAAACGATTTATTGTACTCTTCTTCCCTCGTTTTAACTAATTACGAAGGTAAGCTAGGCATCATTCGTTGGAGACCGAAAAGCGGACGAGAATTAAAGTGGACTTGGGTTTTGGATAGCACTTTTGGAAAATCGTGGGTGAATCCGAAAGAAGAGAAAAGTATTGTGGAAGAAGATAAATTTGTTAAACCTGTGTGGTTACATCCAAGTAACGACGTGATACTGATGGCTGGTTTCGATTGGGTCGGCCTTTACAATATGAAGACTAATAATCGCATGAAACCTCAACGTTTCAAGGTAAGTCTTCCATATTCGTTCGACTACACTTCTTCTTCCGTTAATTATTTCCCTTTTCGTTCTGATTACGAGAAACTTGATCTGAACGAAGATGATGTTGAAACTTGAAAGATCTAACGATAAAAGTTAAAAACTCACAAGTACCATGGGACAATTAAAACGAATCAAATGTCCTAGAAGATGATCATTATTTTCCCAAAAGGTATTGTAATTGTAATAAAATAAAATAAAAATCTCTGTTGTAATAGTACATGTATACAAAAATAGAAAGACTCTTTTTTTTTCAGCATTTCATAGTTTCAGACATGAAAAACACACAGAAAGCAAAAACAAAAACAAGTGAGGTAGGGATCTCTTTTTGTCTGTTAATTTTGGAAACATCTCTTGTGATTTTGTCCTCAAGAGAATAGTTTCCTCTTTCATCTTTCTTTTGTAGCTTCTGGCGCATGTTACTTTTTTGGAGTTGGGTTATTTTGTGTCCTCAAGAACAGAGTCTAATGTTGTAAAACTTTTTTGTACAAAACGGAAGTTGATCAGTTTTTTTTTATTTTTTGCAAAGATTCAACTAAATTTTCTTTTGTTTATTTTAAACATTTAAGGCAACTAATTAATGATTGTACTGTAGTTTTTATTTTAGTGTTTGGAAAACTCACATTAATATCCATTCTACAATTAACAAAAAGATATAGGTGATGTTTATAGTCTTTTCCATTTTAAATTTGGAAAAACAAAACTAAAATTGTTCATTCTTATTTAATAACAAAACTAAAATTGAAAATCAAAGCATTAAAAATGGAAATAAAATTTTGTCCAAAAAAGCAAAAAAAGGAAATTAAAATGTAAACTGATGTTGACAGTTGATGCTGTTCGTTGTTCCTTTTTTACGGGAAATCGCAATAGGGAAAAGGAAATCTTGCTCGTCAAGTCTCCTTGTCCTTAACAGATTATGACTTTCTTTTTTTTTATTTATGTTCGGCAACATGTCAGTGTTTATATATAGAGTTGCAGAAACCTACAAATCACAATTTCATCAACCTCTCACATACGATACGAACGATCCAAAAAACAATGACCAATTCTTTGGCGTTGATTCTAGAGATCATGTCTCATTGTGCTTCAACGGATGTTGCAAAATCCGTTTGCTAAACAAAGCCTGCAACAAACGAAGTTATGAGTTCTTCTTCCTCAACCGTCATCTTGATAGAGCCAACTCTGTTTTTGGCTATTTCATTCAAAGCTACAGCCGGTGTAAGTATCACGCTACTTTTGTCTCCGGCGACGTCGACGAAGAAGCTCCTGACAAAAAAGGAATCTCGCTTGAATTTCTCCACAGAAAGATGTTAAGATTGAAGCTTGCGATACACATCATGGGATCTTGCTCTGCGTCGATGATAGATTCAAAGGAGGACAACGAATACCAGATTACATCGTTTGTAAACCGGCTACGAAGCAGTACCGAATCATACCAAACCCGAAAACCCGTTATTTCACTCTTGCAACCGGTTTAATGGTGATTCAGTCGAACCCGTTTCGGTACAAGATCGTTAGAGTTTCTCAACCAAATGGCACACGAGAGAAAGAAGACGAAGGAGGGTTTCTACAATCACTATTGCGAGGTTTTCGATTCTGATTCGTTCGCATGGAAGCGACTGAATGATTTGGAAATACCGATGGACAAGTCTTTCGTGGGATCAGAAAAACCGGTGTCGTCGTACGGTTTCTTGCATTGGTTGACGAGAGAAAACGATGTGATTCGGTTCTGTTTCCGAACCGAAACTTGGTCTAACTTCCGGTTCCGGATGTAGTAGGCGATGGTTCTCTAGAGTTGGTCAGCTACGAAGGAAAGCTTGGTGTGATTTGTTCGAACTCGAGACAAGGATATGATTTGTGGGTCATGAGCAACAGTTTTGGAAACTCTTGGGTAAATGTGAAGGATGTGAAAATTACAGGGCTAGAAGATGAAATTGCAAAACCTCTATGGTTCCCAAGCAACGACGTCGTATCGGTGAATGGTTTTTGTCGGCTTGGTCTATGCAACATGAACAACAACAAGTCTTCGTATTTGCGTATGACTCAGCATTTGTTGCCTCACTATATACTAAGAGATAGTTGCTTCCCTTTCTACTCAAACTACGAAAGAGTGTGTCTGAATGAAGATCGTGTTGGAAGGTCCAACAAATGCAAACAATCAAAGGCAAAATTCCATGTGTTGTTACCAGATGGATAATCATATTGCTATGTATCTTCTTCTTTTAATCCTCTTTCATATCCCCTTAACAGATTTCATCTTGGTTAAGTTCATTAAAATTGTAAAGTTTCTATTTATTAACGTTTAATTGCGTAATTGCTCTACAAAACATTCATCTTTTTAATTGTTACTGTAATTTGTAAAAAAAAACTATGCAAATGGTGGCTAATAGGTGGAATAAGTTGAATTAGGAAAATAATAATTAGTGGAATGGGAAATAGCGGAATGATGGTACAAGTTAGAGGAAAAATGTTATTCTACTAGTTCCTTCATCTCAGCGTAAAAAAGTTTTTAGACTTTTAACAGGGACCAAAATTAGCTTCTGATCGATGTTCCTTTTCCGTTGTTTGCTCTGTTTTTATATGTTGGTTCCGTCGTTGTTCGAGACTAGAAAAATGAGAATTCACACGGCCCAAGTGAATGAGTTTTTATTGGGTTGTAAAGGCCCAGAAATATCGATAGGAGTATATGATCGGAAATATCGACCGGACAATCCCTGAATCGAGGAGACAATTGACAATGGTGCCGTCGTCGCTCTCAACAGAAGAAGAAGAAGAAGAGCCTAGGGCAGTGAGAATATCCGAGGTAATCGATTGATTCTCACATACAAGATTTTTGCTTAGGATGATTTTCTGTAATAACGTGTGACTTGTCATGATTGATATGCTGTAATAACGAAAATTGGTGGTGCGTCTCACTTGCAGGAGCAGCAGGTGGTTGGCAAGAGTGTTCTACTTGGGTTGGGGTACTACTGCAGAAATAAACATATAACGATTTGCAATGCTCCTCCGTATTCTCCTTGTCCTGTCTTAGTCAGCCTTTATGCTGCCATGGGCCTTCATAGTTACAATTTGCTCCAGGCAAGTCTAGTGCCTAATAATATGATATTAACTCTTCTTGTTTTCCTTCGTTTAGTTTGGTGTGTGTGTGTGTGTGTGTGTGTCTTGTCTTGTCTTGTTTATCCAATTTTCTCTCTCAATTAGGGGAAAAGCTTCAAGTTTAGTCGTGTGCTGGAGTACAGCAAAACCTATGGTTCTCCTGCAGCTTCCACCTACCGCATGGCTTTGGATGCCATGGATCCATGTCTCAGTTCGGTTCGAGTTTTTGAGACTAGTGTGACTGAAAAATCTTATGGGAAATTGTCTTTGAGGTGCAATTTTGCCATACCTCTTGGTAAGTAAAGTACGTAATTAAGTCAGTCCATCACTTGCAAGTGCTCAATTCAATATATTTCTGCTGATATTAATTAATAGAATGATTGATTCAGGGGAAACCAGGAAAATCTATAACATCATAGATGAAATCAGGAGAAGCAGGGAAGCGTCGATGGAATACAATCTCACAGGTTGCATGCCTGAGATGCCGCCACTGGATCCTTTCCAAGATACAAATCGATTTTACTTGGTAAATTGAGACTATAGATTCTGTTTGGTTGATTGATACGTTTTAAGATACGATTGGGCGAGTTTAATTATGCTTCTTGCAGCTGAACAAGTCGGAGGTGGAAGAGAATGAGTGGATTCGTATGTATCTGGATCTTGCATTTGCCGCAACTCATAGGGGCACCTCTAAAGCTCCTGATCTCTCCAAGCTGGAGATTGTGGAAGTTGCTGTCTCTATTGATACTAGTGATGAGGAGGGCCCTGGACCTGGACCTGGACTTTGTCGCCCCACTAATGCAGTTTTCTACATAAGGCACATGGACCGGAGCACTGCTCGGGTTGAGAAAAACGATGTTGATCGCATTGCTATCGTCAGAAGAATCTACAATCCCCGGACCGGATGCTTCAGTCTTATCGGTCAGATCCTCAGCTCTCAAACTATACCAAAACCAATAATGGATGACAATCCGAGTCTCACAGTGGCGACGATTCTCTAAGTTGTTGTTTGATCATAATAAACCAATCGATGGTGGATTGGTCTTTGTTTGGCCTTTTAAGTTGTTGTATCTGTTTCGGAAAGATATGTCTCCTCCTTTTATCTCCTTTGACGTTCTATTTGTGCTCGTGTTATACATTTCTGATTGAGATTCTGATTTCAACTTTCATATGTTGGATATAGCCTTGTTTTGCTCTTGGGTCAAGCTATCCTGCCTATGGTTTTATTGAATTATCCAGCTTGTACACTGATATAGTTCAGGATGCTCGTTTTGCATCCTCATGGAGTATTGTCTACTTCTTATGGTAATTTAAACACGTGGTTTCTCGGGTACTCTGCCTTTTTTTATTGCTTTTCATCAAATGCAGATTCTTGATGCCTCCTCAAACTTTTATTATTAGTTTTTGTTCTACTTGTGAATTTTTTTCAAAATTTACTAAACCCAACACTACAAAGTTTCCATTCGAAACCACAAACTTTTCTATTCTTCAGATCCAATCTACAAACCAGCAAGGAACATTCCAGTTTTCCAGCTATGGAGCTAAAGATAGATACAAAAATCTGAGTCCGGGTCCAAAGTTCATAGAGAAGCAAGAGATTAAACGGAGGAAGAGTTGATGATTCATAAAATAGACAAAGACCCATAGAAAAAAAAGCGGTGAGGTTAAGTACATTTTACTCACGAGGTTTGTTCCCATCGCTGTTCACACACTTCGCCGGATTTTCTCAGTCATGGTAAACCATAAATGCGAGATTTGAAAACAAAATACGCGCTCCATATAATTTTTGTTGGAAATACACAACAAAGTAGTTGTTGTCGCTACCCAAATCACTAAGAGAGATTGAATCTCATTTTACGGCTCGCAGCATCTCTTAAAAGTAACATACATTATGTCTCATGCTACTTAGTAATGATATATGTCACATGATTAACCAAAATTAAAGTGTTAGAAAGAAGAAAACAGTAACTTATAAATAGCCTTGTGCTTTTTGAAATAAGTAAATAACTAATAAGGATATGATATAGGATAAAAATGGGTATCAGAATTACGTATTAGAAGATATTTAAAAAAAAATTAAACTAGTTTTTTTTCTTAAATATGTTTTCATATTTTACGAAAACTATAACTATTTTTCTATGTTTTTCTTTATTTTCCCATATATTTTTTCAGTTTTTCCGATTTAATAAAACTTTTAAGTTCCACATTTCTCGTTCCTATCTTATTCCCGTCGTTTCTCATCATGTATTCATTGGGAAATAATATATCATATAGCAAAATTAGTGTCCCAAATTTCTCTACTTGTAAAATACGATAGATGTCATTTGTTAACATTGCGCAACAACGATCGAAGAGAGAAGACAAATTTGATTTAAGGCCAAAAATAAGAAGCTATCGTCACTTCAAAACAATGAAATTATGACTATCACATAAACACCATCGTTTAGGACTATCATATATTTTGATGTTTGTTTTTCTTTCTAATCTGAACCGGAAATTTCTATACTTTTTCACATAAAAAAGTTAGATTACCTTTTTCACATTCATTTTTCTCAACTAAAATAAACCACATCAACTTCAATATCACCAAACTTAACTTTTTATAAATAATTTGATTCTAGCTACTAATTCAATGATTCACTTTCAACATTTCATTTTCATTTTTCTCAACTTGAACTCTATGTTATTTAGAAAAATAACATCAAACTCAAATATTTTAAGATAACTTCGACAACTAATGAATCACTCTAAACTCTAACATCTGATTAAAATAATGTTTTCAACCATTACATGCAAGTTTTGTACATCACTTCTAAAAAAACGAAAATGTACCCTCTCTAAAAGGCGTTGTAGACTTTAATTTCTTAAATCTTCCCAACTAGATGCTTCAAAGTTTCAGTTAGACTCAGATATCAAAAGAATTAAATATGTTTCCATTCACATTAGTTGCCTTTCCTAGGTCATTGTAAATGATGTCTACGTTGGTATTGTCCTTTTTCTTGTCCCTATTGTCAATCACGTAATTACCAACACAAACATAAGCGTTTGTACCACCAAGATGTATCCCTAAAACTCTTCCAATCTTCTTGCCTTGTTCTTCTACACCCTTGTCCTCTTCTTCAAATTCTGCAAATGGTCTCAAATGGTCTTAATTGAGGAAAATTAAACAAACTTGGTTTTCCTTGTCTTCTAAATGACATTAATTATCAGTATGTCATTAATAAATCAGACTCAATATTAAAAATAAATTATAATAAAAAATTTAAAATTCAGCCAATGAGATTAAAGAGAATATGGCCCCACAATTTGATGTGGACTTTTAAAAAACACAATCAAACAACACTAACAATTTGAAAAAAGAAATTTAGTGTAGGAAGTAAAGTATAGATTGAGATGATTTACATAATAAGTTTTTCACTTTGCCAAAGTTTTATGATATTGTCGATGTATTTTCAAGTTTTTGGTAATTCCTCTACAAAAAAGTGGGTGAAGACCCTCTGCATCAGCCGGAGACTTCTAACGCTAACCTTAAAAGAGGGCTTTAGGGTTTGGGCATGGAGTAAAAATCTACGCAATCGAATCGATCGCACATCTAGAGACAGAACACAGAGAGAGAAAGAAGCGAAACTTGAGATCGGAAACCATGGAGTCTACGATATCGCTGAAGCTGAAAGGGAAAGGAAAAGGATCGAAGGGAGGTTCCTCTTCGAATGAGAAATCGAAGTTGCAGCTCGTCAAGGAATGGAGCAATTGGTCACTGAAGAAGGCGAAAGTGGCGACTCAATACGGATTCATCCCTCTGATCATCATCGTCGGCATGAACTCCGATCCGAAGCCCCATCTCTTCCAGCTCCTTAGCCCTGTCTGATCCTCCGATTTCATCATCATCGAAGCCACATCATTCGATTGCTTGCTCCCGTTTGGCTTCAATTCCCCTATGCGTCGTCGTCTTGGATTCGCCGAATCTTCTCTTTGTTCTCAGTAGCTAGTAGTCTCTATTCGAATGCTTTCTCTGTGGTTCTTCTTCTACTTTCTGTATTGAATCAGTTAGCTTAATCGAATTCATGTTTTGAATCTATGGGAATTTCTTATTCAAAGTTTCGTTTTTTACAACAATATTCATACACAAATTTTTAATCTGTGATGATTGGAATAAAAATGCTTTGATTAATCTCTTGAAGAATTGAATTTGTTTTCTCACTCTGCATCAAATGTTCGAATGTCTTGCATCATTCTCACAACATCTGCTATATGAGGTCGATCCTGAGGCTTCAAGGCAACACAAGCCAAGCCTATTTTCAACATCTCAACCATCTCTTCCTCTATACCCATTTGCTTCATAAGCTCTATGTCGAACACCTCTCCGGTCCACTCTTTCGACACTACCGACCTTATCCAGCTCGCCAAGTCCATGTTCTCGTCTCGTGATGATAGCGGAGTCGCTGGTGATTTCCCTGTTAGAAGCTCCAGCAACACCACCCCGAAGCTGTATACGTCAGAAAACTGTGTGCACTTTCTTGTGTCTGTTACTTCAGGAGCGTGATAACCTGAAGAACGAATGGTTGCCTGAGGGAGAGATCTCATGATCGGTGTCAAGCCGAGATCGCAGATGCAGCCATTGCGTTGTGAGTCGATGAAGATGTTGTAAGATTTGATGTTCCCATGGACAAACTTCCTGTCATCTGCTTCGTGGATTATAGCCAAACCTCTTGCTGCACCAATGGCGATTCTCAATCGAGACTCCCAATCTAAAGGTACTCGCTTCTCTCCTTTGTTTCCTGCATAAGTTGAGCCCTCTGTTTGTGAGACATAGCAAAGGAATAGAGAGAGAGTAGAGACCAAGTTAGATAAAATAGATAACTGACCGTGCAACATCTCGAATAGGTTTCCATTACTGTAGTAGCTGTAAACAGCGAGCTTCTCGTTCTTGGAATAGTAGTAAGCTTTAAGCTCGGCCACATTATCATGCCTGACCCGACCAGCGATCTCCATTGTTTGCTCAAACTCTCTTCTTCCCGCAACCACTTCTTCCAGTCTCTTCACGACCACCGTGGCTGTGTCCTCCACGGCTACTTTGTAGGTTGAACCAGAAGCACCTTTCCCCAAAATTTCTGCAGATGCAGCTAACAAGTCGTCCAAATCAAACGTGTAGTTATTTCCTCCAAAGAAGACGATTTTGCCTTCATCGTCGTCATCTTCTGGTGCCCACTTACCAGAAGGAGATGTCTCTTTCTTCTTCGACTTCCATGACTTCCTTGAGAGCTTTGCTTTCATGCACCGTTTCTTTCTCAAGCAACAAGCCATCATCGTAGCAAGAATCAACAGGAAAGCAATCAGGTGCAAAATCAGATCTTCTCCAAGGCTCTAAGCTTTGTCAAACCCGGTTGAGAGCTTGGGATCGCTCTTGTGGAATCCATTTTACACAAATGAAGAAGAATTCAACCAAAGAAATCCGCAGGCAATGGACTCAAGAGCCGGTTATCCTCACGATAGAAATGTGACAAGACTCATCATCAGATTGAGGAAATCAGAAGTAAATTCTCTGTCCGGTCTCTCGATTTCTTGCTGCAGATCACTCTGGTTCAGCTGGCAAACCGGTGAGCTGACTTTCCTGTAGAGAAGAAACAAATAAGGAGGAAATATAAATCTGCAAATCTTGTCAAGAAATGAAGCCAAGAGTTCTTGTAAATCGTCTTGAAAGAGCTCTCTCTGTTTCCCACTCTGAGAATTACAAGGAAGCAGAAAGTCCAAGCAAATATGTCTCGTCTCTATCTAAACCGAAAAAAGTTTTGTCTCCATTGTCACAGAGAATCTTTTGTAACAGAAGAAATTTATATTTTAGTTTGAAAAGAATAGTTTACAATGCGAATATAAATGATACGCCAGTAGGTAAGCCGGCAAAAATCTTCGTAAATAGTATTATCTTAAGTGGAGACAAGCATGGTAGCCGCAAACACATCGTAATCTCGGTATTTTCTTCCCTTAGATTTCTTTGCTAAACCAAAACATTTGATTAGGTTCGTTTATCCATTTTCTAGTTTTGGTTCATATATATAAAATGTAATCGATTTAACAACAAAGCAGAGTGGCGCAGCGGAAGCGTGGTGGGCCCATAACCCACAGGTCCCAGGATCGAAACCTGGCTCTGCTAAATAATTTTGGTTTTGTTCTTTCATGTGTTTTATCAAATAGAAACGAAAATCACACGATTGGTTCGCCACCGTATTTCTTTTCAAATTAATATCAAGTGTTTAAACTCTTCTAACTGATTTTGTCCTAATCATTGTAAGGAACAACTATCTCCCTAATGGCGGCTATTATGGATCTTGTACTTTTTGCTCTTCTTTTTGAGTTACAAAAAAGGTAAAAACCTTTTGAATTCCATAGAATGTGGGGTTAATGAACAAATTCGTGTTGATGATTATTTAAGTTAGAGAGTTTAGAGAAGAATTCTCAATAATATTTTGATGAATCTGTTACTATTTTGCAGTATACTAGTATGATGTATGTTTTATAAGATTATCTTTAGTGTTTACTGTTTAGAGTCAGATATTTTATTTCTTTGGTGATATTTCTTAGTCAAATATTTTATTTCTTTAGTGATATTTCTTAGTTAAATATTTTACCCAAATTGTTACTGAAATAAATATCACCAAATTTCAAATATTTTAAAAATAATTTGACAGAAATATTGTATAGAAAGAAATATCACCAAATTTAACTTTTTCTATAAAAAAACTATTCCATTAATCCAATAATTCACTTTCAATATTTTATTTTCATTGTTCTCAACTTTGAACTCTATGTTATTTAGAGACATAACATCAAACTTAAATATTATAAGATAACTTCTACAACTAATGAATCACTCTAAACTCTCACATTTGATTAGAATAATCTTCTCAACCATTACACAAATTTTGTACATATTAGATTCCTCTTTCAAAAGCTCCAGTAGATTTACACATTACTTTCAAAGAAATGAAGATGTACCACTCTTTAAAGCATAGCGGTAAATGTGCAAGTGCTATCATAGATGTGATGACTTGGTGCATGCAGCAATTTCTTTAAGCCATATTCTTGTGCATGCAGCAATCCTACTTCCAAACTACCCCTCGCTAATTCCATACTCCCCTGCGTCAATTCCCTCATTCATACCAAGTGGGCACAAGGTAATGTAATTCTCCTCCCAGCCATACAGAACCAGTGATGCGCTAACCAAATCTGCAGAACTAAACGCCCAACACAGGAATCCACCTATGCTACTTCTTGGAGCTGGAAACAAGGATTAACCAAGGCTGCTTCTTGGACGTGGTAAGAGTAGTGACAATGTGCTGCTTCTTGGAGCTGGAAACAAGGATACACCAATGCTGCTTCTTGGATCCAGGAAGATGTTGTTGTTTGGAACTGGTGAGAAGAAGATTTTGCTTGAACGTGGTAAGAGGACTGACAATGGAGTGTATGAAGATTGGACAAAGCTGGTTCCACGGGTTATGTCACGGAGAATCGAAGTCCTTGTGAAGAAGAGGTGCGACAGCAACCACAAATGTGCAATTCCTGTCATCGATGTGATGACTTGGTTGCATCAGCTGAAGAAGAAGGCTGTCTTTCTCGCCACAGGGGAAGAAGACATGTCCCAGAGGACTTACTTTGACACAGAGAATGCTTCAAGAGGTCTAGGTAAGTTCATCGTTGTGGTTTTGGGTGGAGGATTGTGGTATATTGGGAAATTTCTTGTGGGTGAGGGATTCGAGTTCTTGAAGATGAGAGAGTGTGAGGTGAAGATAACTGACAAGATTGAGGAATTTGAAAATGAGATCGACATCTACACAATTGGAAAAATCACAGAAACAGTGAAAGTATAAGAGGAAAAGATGGTGAAGCACTTTGAAGAAGAGCTTGGAAGAGGCCATGAAAGAGATTGGGAAAGAAGGAAAAGGCAAATAGATTGAAATATCGATGAGAATCTCTTGCATATATGTAGGGTCTGTAATGAACACAACGGATCACATTCCTCAAAAAGCTTAGAGAGTTTCTTACAAGTTTCATTGACTTTGGTTTTGTAGATTTGAAACTTGACCAAAACTTAATGTTTTGTTTATCCGTCTTTCTGCTCCAAAGATCCTTCTCTTCTCTCAAACTCGTTTTAAGCAGCAAAATTCCTTTTTGTGCTTTGTTTTCCAAATTGTGTGGATCAAAGGTAAGGTTCCAAAGTCAAAACTCACAAGTCAAAGAGACTCAACAAACCACTTATTGGGTTTTGTTTAGACCGGACCAATCTGGTTTGGTTCATCAGATTCGCATAATAGAAGTAGAATAGACGACGTCGTTTGAGTCATGAGCTTGTACTAGTTCACCTAACACAAACGAGATTCAACTCTTGACCGGTTTGTTTAGTCGCCTTTGTTTGTCTCTTGGCTCCATCGACGAGTCCGTCACTTTCTTCTCCGTCTCTATATCTCCGCCACTCTCCTTCCTCATCTCTCCCATCACCCAACTCTGTCGAAAACCCGAAGCTCTCTCTTTTTCTCTCTGTCTCTCTCACCAATGGAGTCCGTCGCTCTCTCCCGCATTGGTCTCGCCGGTCTCGCCGTCATGGGCCAGAACCTCGCCCTGAACATCGCCGAGAAAGGATTCCCGATCTCCGTCTACAACCGAACCACCTCAAAAGTCGACGAAACCTTAGATCGTGCCGCCGCAGAAGGGAAACTCCCAGTGGCAGGGCAATACTCCCCTCGCGATTTCGTGCTCTCGATTCAGAAGCCTAGATCCGTCATCATCCTCGTCAAAGCCGGAGCCCCCGTTGACCAGACCATCGCCGCGCTCTCCGAATACATGGAGCCCGGCGATTGCATCATCGACGGCGGAAACGAGTGGTATCAGAACACGGAGCGACGAATCGTGGAGGCGGAGCAGAAAGGATTGCTGTATTTGGGTATGGGAGTGTCCGGTGGCGAGGAAGGAGCTCGTAACGGCCCCTCGCTCATGCCAGGTGGATCTCTCCAGGCGTATAACAACGTCAAGGACATTCTCGGGAAAGTCGCTGCTCAAGTCGAGGATGGTCCTTGCGTGACTTACATCGGAGAAGGCGGATCCGGGAATTTCGTGAAAATGGTTCACAACGGGATCGAATACGGCGATATGCAGCTGATTTCGGAGGCTTACGACGTGTTGAAGAACGTCGGAGGTCTGAGCAACGACGAGCTCGCGGAGATCTTCACGGAGTGGAACCGAGGTGAGCTCGAGAGCTTCTTGGTTGAGATTACGTCTGATATATTTAGGGTTAAGGATGATTACGGTGATGGAGAGCTGGTGGATAAGATTCTGGATAAGACTGGCATGAAAGGTACCGGGAAATGGACTGTTCAGCAGGCGGCTGAGCTCTCTGTGGCGGCGCCGACAATCGCTGCGTCGTTGGACTGTAGGTACTTGAGTGGATTGAAGGATGAGAGGGAGAATGCAGCCAGAGTGCTGGAAGAAGCTGGACTGAAGGAGGAGATTGGCTCTGCATCGCATGGGGTTGATAAGAAGAGGTTAATTGATGATGTGAGGCAGGCTTTGTACGCTTCTAAGATATGCAGTTATGCTCAGGGGATGAATCTGCTTAGGGCTAAGAGCTTGGAGAAAGGTTGGAACTTGGATCTTGGTGAGATGGCTAGGATCTGGAAAGGCGGGTGTATCATCAGGGCGGTTTTCTTGGACAGGATCAAGAAGGCTTACCAGAGAAACTCGAATCTGGCGAATCTAGTGGTTGATCCTGATTTTGCTAAGGAGATGGTTCAGAGGCAAGCTGCGTGGAGGAGAGTGGTGGGTTTGGCCATCTCTGCTGGGATAAGCACGCCGGGAATGTGCGCGAGTCTTGCCTACTTTGACACTTACAGGCGTGCGAGATTACCTGCGAATCTGGTTCAGGCGCAGAGGGATCTCTTTGGAGCTCATACTTATGAGAGAACAGATCGTCCTGGTGCGTACCACACTGAGTGGACTAAGCTTGCAAGGAAGAGCAATTAGCGCAGAGTCTCTTGTCTTGAGGTTATTCACTTTCTCTCTCTCTTTGACGATCTGTCTTGTGGTTATTTTGAATTTTCAGTGTTTGCTTTCCCGGAAGCTTTCCATGTTGTGTACTGTAGGGCTTTGTTTCATCATTTCATTCTTGAAAAAACAAAAGTTTCATGCTTTTTTAGGCATAGAAAATGAAAACACAACAAACAACCGATTTGTTCCAGCTTATTTTGTTCAGTTATAATAAGAAATGCAATGCCCTGACCTGACTGTTGTTGCTGTCGAGTTTCCTTTGAGTTTCTGTTCTTGAGCCATATGTCTGGTTTGGTTCGTATATGTATTTTCACTTGAATTGTTGTGATTTTGCAACCTGAACCGGAATTTAACCGAACTTAGTTGATTGTGTCCAAAGGGTACGAGTAAGTATAATTGTAAATTGTTAACGAAATTGACAATCTTTGGAACTTGATTCTTGAATCCTGTTACTCTTAGCACCATCCTGCAGTCTTGATCGTAAATTTCGTCCGGTCTACATGGCGCCAAAACAGACACAACAAATAAACGTATCGGGCTTTGAGAAAGAGCCCATTATTGTAAAATTCGAACGACTTTTGTTCAAAAAGACCTTTGCCTTACTCGTCTCTACTCGTACGGATATGCCCACTATAAGTTTAACAATCCCATATATTTTGGTTAAACTTTCTTCTATTTGTCTCAAAATTATCTCATGTTACGGTGAGACATCAGATTTTGACAATTTTTCCATGAAATGTAATTGTAGTTTATATTATTAAAAAAATGTTGTAATGTATTGAATTATTTGTTGATGCAATAATTACAAACAAACAAAAGATTCCTGGAAAATATGGCCCATGTGGTTATGGATTAGACAAATGAAATAACACAAAGGTATTGATTGGACAAACATTGGCAACAAACTATAATACAACAACTACTACAATTCATCGCGTTTTTTTTTTTTTTTTTTTTTTTTTTAATTCATCGCGTTTATGATGCTAGTTTCCAAGAAACAAAACAAAAAAAACACACACACATTTCTACGAACTTCATGTTAACTAATAATTCCCATTCAACGGCCATGCAATCATATTTCAACATCGTTAAAATCGAGTTCTTGCAAGTTATTAAAAAAGCTTTTGAGGATGACAACAAGTTATGAGTACTTTCTGCACTTGCCAGTCACTAATTCGTTTGACGAACCAACAATAACCGACTCTTAACTAGCTCAATATTTACCTAGATGATCTTAAACCTTATATACTTTATCTACTCCATCAGCAATCATATCTCAAAATAAAATGCATTTGGATATGTGTGTGGTTTGACATTTCGTGATTCACAATAATTTGTATAGAGCCAGAGTAGTTTTTGAATCACAAACACTTCTACACAGTCTTGCTCAAAACCAAACTCATTGCATAAACCCTTTAACCAAACAAATTCTTCCATTGATCTAGTAAGAATCTAGCAGTATTCAATTTTTGCGGTTGATAGTGCTACTACCTTTTGAATTCTTGACTTCCAGCTTATCACATATCCACTAAACACGAAAGCAAAACGAGTGATTAATATAACTTCTTTTGTTCTCATCAGATGCGTATAGTCAGAATCACTCAACCTACACAGCTTGACATCAAGAACGAATTGATCTTGTTATATTAACTTATGTGTTGTGAGTCTGTGGTACCACTTTTTGTAGACGAATTGATATTGCCATCTCGTAACAATTGCCAGTTAGTTTAAAGCTGTTACCATTTTTCATTAATGTTTTTACCCAAAAAAAAAGTATAGAAAATGTCAATATATCGTGAGAAATGTAACTTATAGTTAAAAATAAATAAAGGACGCCTTAGTTACATCAAAAAGACAAAAACCATAGTACGAACGCCTTAGTTACATCAAACAAATGTCATAAAAAATTATCATATCGATTTCGTTTTTGTATTGGCTAAGTGCCATCATAAAATTATTGGATCCCTGCCGCCACGCTATGTTGTCTCCCTTCCTCATAAAGTCATAATAATACAAATTCTTTCTTGAATCTGAGAATTTATTCCATAATGAATTCGTTAATCGTGCCGAAATTATTTGGTAAAGCATATATGTTCATTGCCGACATTTTGTAAATAATAGTATAAGAAAATTAAAAAATTAGTTATGCTAAACTCTTCTAGTGATGTTATATCATCGAATATCCAATCATTATGAAAACTCTTATAATTCCAAATTTTGAATTGAATCTATTTACAAATCATTTTTCCATAAATAATTTTTTGGATTTTTCCACTTTTAATTCAAGTCGACTTTCCAATGATTCTTATATATTTCACCCTCCATTTTCCTATACATTTAATCTTATTGGAAAGCCAGTAGATGATGATAACTAACCATGTTAGCACTTCTTGCAGAATTTCAACTTTACGGGACACGATTCAAATTTTTGTACTTGTTGAAGTTCAATGTACATAAGATGTCATTCAAACCTAATATAATATAGATTCCTATTACTTCTTTTTATAAAGATAACAAAAGTTAATAGTTGAAAAGATTTTTAATTCATTTATAAGGTATACACACATTAATTTATGCTATACACACATTAACAACTAAAGATTTTTTTGTTTAATTTTAATTTCCATCCAAACAATCTGAGATTATAGAAATGAATATCTGAAATAAAGAAAATCCATACTTAAACCTTAACTAATAGTACAGAATTATAAATAAACTTTAAATGTTTACGAAGTTGCATGTTCTAGACAAACGACTGCTCAATTTGGAACATCAAAGTACAAGTTTAAATGCTAAAATATTACTAAGTTATGATAAAGATATGCATCTAATTAGCAAGTTGGTCATTACACAATGATACTTTATGTCATCGATATTCTCCTTCTCTCTTTACATATATACATAAGTGTAATATATAGTATTACTTTGTGTACGTATATACATATACAGAAGCCTAACGATGGAGAAAAGGCTATGAAAGAAAGCCTAAGTGTGACAAAGATTTAGTAGGTACTTATCTTGAATCTTCAAACTTGATAAGAAGAATTACAAGTACACATTCAAATCTTCTATAAGATTTACGTTATAAACAATTACTTTGATTTAAAAATAAAAATAAAAAACAATTACTTTGATTATATAGAATATTTTAAAAGTTAATCATAAAGTCGAAGCTCCTTACGTCTCTACAAAATTTGAAAATTTGTTGTTAAATAATTCTTCTTAACATACGTAATATATAGCTCGCGAGAAGCCTTTGTTCAAAACATAAAATAAAAAGATAACCCGCTTGAACTAGCTTCAGTTATTTCTCATTTCATACATCACATAATTTTTCTCAAAGCATATATATATCTTTTTCGTCTTTTCAACCATAGAAGCAACAGGTAGAATATCCACGTGTACTAATAGGTTCATTGTAGACAAAATTAAGATTCCTGTTTTTATTTTAAAGTAAATTCTTATGTATTTTTTATCGAAAAGCAAGTTTCCCGGGAACAAGGTCCGGCCGCTCGAGTGTAAAGCAGAAAACTATTATGAAACATAAAGCAAATTTCGGAATTCTAATTGATTACAGAAAAAAAGAAAATTTTGTTGAAAATTTCGGCTTACCGAATGAGTATAGTCATGTTTTTTTAATGTAATCGATTGGTGCTTTTGTTTTTGGTCGTCCCATTTGGTGTTCAAGTATTTTGTTGGTTGTTGGTATAAAAAAAGATCACTGATAAAGATATAAAATTGACTTCATAAATCGTAAAAATTAAGCTAACTAATTTCACTGGTTTGTTTTCATTGTAAACGCTAAAATGATAAATTGTTAAGATCAATGAAGTTTCGTTTTAAACTCAGTTGAGAGCAAGCAAAGAATAAAAGTTTTTTTTTCTTATAAAGTATTTCCATAGAAGTGGAACAGTTCATAACTATTTTAACCAAAAAATAATCTCATATATATGATTGGATCTATTAGTTGTCAATTGCTTTTAAACTATAAATTTATAAATCCATCTTTAATATTATAATTAAACTAAATTAATTGTAAGAAAACATTTGGATATATGATTTCTAATATGATTTGAAATTGATTATAAACTCTTGTATAATTAATTACTAGGTAAAGTTAAACAAAGACTAAACACTAAGTGATAAAAAAATTTGGCCACAATATCTTCGTAAATATGAAATCAAGGATCAAACAAAAACGTGGAGAAAATATTAACCACCCACTTATTCAATAACATATATATAATTTCAAATTGTTAGTGCAACATATAACAAAAGAAAATGCACAAAACATTGTGGGTTTTGCCGGTTTATGTTTACCTTTGTTTTTGCTATATAAAGCCATTAATCCTTCATGCTCTTTAGACATCTTCTTCTCTCCACTCTCTTCTCTCTTCTCTCTTCTCTCTTCCCATTCTCTCACATAAACTCTTTCTTATACCTCAGGAAAATTGATGGTCATCTAGGGCTTATTTTGAAGATTAACGTTGATTCTAGCACATACATACAGGACGATCCTTGGATCAAGAATCAAAACGCATGGGCTATCTAACTAACTGTTTTGTGGTTTAATTTTCTGCTCTGCATAGTATACTCATATTTAGTCATATTCATTACATGTCCTTATACATATGCATATAGTTATAAGAAAATTTAATATGTTAAGAGTCTTGATTGTTGGGTTGGTGGAGGAAGAGAGCTTTCTTCGGTCCACTCATGGAGTAATATGTGAGATTTAATTGACTCTCGACTCATTCATCCAAATACCAAATGAAAGAATATGTACGCATATGGTAAATGAATCAATGATGCGAGAGACAAATTGAATCTTCACTTCTCTATGCTTGGACTGAAGGGAGCTCCCTTTTTCTATTTTTATTTTGGTACTACCACATTTCATTTATATATACCTGCATCACGAGTTCATGTACTGTTAGTCTGTATAACTCAAGATCAAATTCAACATAGATATTATATAGAGAACTCTGACACTCATCTACTTAATTATATGAGTACTGCTTATGGTGTTGTTTTGCAGGATTCAGTCGTGGGCTTCCGAGAACAGCTTCGAGCCTAATCTATGAAGATTTTATCTTTTCTTTGTAATGAGTTGTCATCTAGTGAAATAAAGCTTCATTACTAGCTAGAAGAAATAACATGTCCTTCCAAGACAAGGTCTTACTAGTTCATCAAATAATGTTTTTTTTTTTTATGTATTTCATGTAAAATATTATGTATCTTGCTTCCGCTCAATTAATAGTGACGTACTTGCAAATTGTTTATAAGCTATCACAAGCTACTACACGCAACTTCATGTTCAGAACTTGATCTAGATTATATGATCCATAAAATAAGATAAGCAACTAAGAAAAATGAGAGTATGAAAACTTTCGTAAACAATCTGTTTACATGTGTTTGAATAATTAGGGTTTTAACAGAAAAAGAAAAACCCTAAGATGGGCTGTAAATTAAAGTATCAAATTCTTACAAGAGAGAGAGAGAGAAAGAGATCTCAGTGTTCAACGACAACATCACCTCGGGTTTTGATCTCTTTTCATAGCAACAAGTTCCTAGATATGTCTTGTTCATGGTTGGAAAAATATTCCTTTAATTACTAAACTACCCTCAACAACAGGTATCCTCAGAAGGCCAAACTCGAACGTTAGGATCGACATTTGACGAGTGTCGACATCATTATCATGCATTGTCTACAGTTTGATGATCTCAGGTATTTTTTTTTTACATTTGCAGTTTACAACTTTAAATTTGAATTATTTTTGTGCCAAAAGAATCTTCTTAAAAATTGGGCTTATTGAGTGTAATCACAAATAATCAAAATAATTTAATCTAAGGTATAATAATCCATGGAGCATGACTTAATATATGCTTAGATTATGATGCCACATCTCCACCGAATACCCAGAAGAAAAAAAGTTTTAATTAGCTAAAGTTAGTAAATAATGATATGTATGTGTGTATTCTTGGGTAAGAATAAGATACCAGTTTTATATTAATCTAAGAAGCATCAAAATTATGCTATTTTAAAGCATACAATTGTATGCCAAATATAGGTGACAATCTTTTTCCAGTCCTCTCTTTATGATACTGTGTGTCATCTTATTATATTTCTTAATTGTTTACTCGATGTTCCTTCTAATTAACATGTGTGATTTCTCTTGTTTTCCAACACGTGGCATATAGTCTTATGCCAAGTGAGGTTGACACATATATTTGCCTGTATTATGAAACTTAACCAATGGTTTGGTCTAATCAAAGAAACGCATGTGTTAGATTAACTATGTTGAAATTTCGACATATACTTGACTAGGTCCGATTTCACAAATTTCAAATAGGTTTTGTCATTTTTTCTTCATTTTGATCAATTTGAACGTATAATGTATTTGAGTGCACTAGATATATTTGAAGTTTTGAGTTCAAGTATGACATAACTCTGACATATATGTACTCATTAGACGACGCGACAGTTAATTGCGAACTTGAAAGATTAACAAATGCCCTTGATTCTCGGAATATATATGATTTGAAGTTTGTTGTTAAAAGATAACATTTCGCAAACATGATGAGACAAAGAATAATGTTGGTGGATTATGGCATTTGACTTTAGTACCATTGGCACACTGAAAAGAGACAGTGGTGATGAGGAGAAAAATGCAGGTCTCATTATATATACACATTTTATATGTGTTTATGTGCGAGACGATGTGACATCACAAAATCTCTCTTATAAATTACACTAATGTGTGATGAAAAGCAACACCTGAGATTTGAGAATGTGAAATTGTTAATTGCTTAGTTGGGTACACTTATCGTGGCTTTTGGATAATTTTTTATCTTTAACTAATCTAAGATAATCGTCACTAAGTCTATTCTTCATAACACATGTATCCACAAACTATGTATTCATTAATTTTTAATTTTTATTGTAAAATAAATAAATAAAACACACTAAGAAACTCTTGAATATCAGAATATGTACTAGTATAGTTGTATTGTATGTTAGAGAGAGTGCTATTAAAATATATATTTATAAAAGTGATAATTTTTATCATCCCAAAACTATTATGAGGAAATGTCTAAAAGTACCCGATATGGTCACCTAGTATTTTTGTCATATTTGAGATGAGTGGCTCGATTCTTGCATCATCAAGTTTTAAACTTTAATCAATGACATTTCAAAAGTTTCAAAAAACCTCACTGTTTTCCAACTAGTATAAAGATATAGACTTTCGTTGTAAGAAATTTAAAACTACCAAATATCCAAGTAATTAAGCACTAGATCAAAGTGCATTGGTAATGTCCAACATTTAGGATTCGGTGCGCAATTTTGTTGTATTTGTTTGTAATTAACCAGCAACAAACATAATGGTCCCCAACTTATCATAATCTTGAGAAGATCTTTGAACAATCAACACACTTCATAAAAATAAAAATAAAACCATGAAGAGATAAACTAAAAATACTCCAAAGCTTGGGGCAGTTTTGTAAAAAGCAGACCATCAACAAACATAGTCAACAGCTCAACAACTACAAAAGCACTAGAGTCCATTAAGTCCACTTCAATGGATCTTGTCAGTTTCAAAGGATTGTGTGGAAATGAAGCTGTCACTTTCAAAATATTCATAATATGATTTCAGGGTAAAATTGACTGTGACACACTTCCTTTAGAACAGTGTAAAGGAGCAAGTAAAATATGAAACAATCTCCACAAAGAAAAAGTTCACGGAACATTTCTCCTACACAATCAACTTGTTAGCCCAATAAACCAAATGTGGGAAGAGCACAGGTGGTTGCTCAGGCCACAAAGTTTCGCCTTCTCCAAAGAGTGACTATGGTTTCTTATAAGTAAACAATAGCTTCAAAGAGATTATGGATGTGAAATTTAGAAACAAAATCTACACTATGCAGAATTGGCTTCCTTTTCAGGCTTGAATCTATCCATATGCTTAGGCAGGCTCATAAAGGCCTAACATGTGACCATCAGGGCATCTCAGGGATGCAACCTATTTAAACAAAAAACATAATTTTCTTCAAATCCCATTTAAGAAAAAGCAAGTCGTAGATTAAAGTTGAATATGAAGTTGTTTACCTTTCCGTGTATCTCATACTTGATAGTGCCATCTAATTCTGCTCCTAATGCCATAAGTTTGGTCACTGTTTTATTAATGTCTGTCACCGTGAACGATAGAAACGATGAGTTTCCCTTCTCAGCAACATGATCACTGCGAAAGAGAAAGTCAGCGGAAATTACAAAAAGCCAAAATCCAAACAAGCTGAAGAATGTAAAGGCGGAGAAGCAAAGATCTTATGCGCTTGAAACAGAGTACCATTTTCAAAATTCAATCGTACACTCTCGGAATAAAAACTGAGACTTTAGGACAAGGAATCGTAGAAACAGAGATCAACAATTTAAACATCAAACTTTTTTTTTTCGTTCAGCCAATAACAGAAGAGTTTCTCTTGCACAAATGATCCAACAGAAAATCTACTCAATTGCAACGAAATCTAGTGCATTTGACTTGAAACAACGGTTATTTAGACGACTAAACCGAGAAAAGTATTCATTGAGGCAAATGATCAAACAGATTGTGTGTATTTAAGCGAGGATAAATCAAAACTCAAAAAAAAGGGGAAATAAAAACCTGGGAGATTGCATAAGAGCTAGCTTGAGAGGACCGGAATCTAGCTCGGCCCAGCGTAAGGTGACGACATTGACAGAGAAGTCGAGACCTTGCGCATAGAATCGAGCTGCTTTTGGTACGTCTCTGTGAAGCTGCAGAATCCACCTAAACGACGACGTTGCCATCTCTCTATCTCTCTCTCAAGAGTCGAGAGGAAGACGACGACTGAGAAATCGAAATTAACACCTGAAAACAGTTATCCAATAGGCCCATTGCACATTATTGGGCCTATCCAAAGGGCCCAATACACATTACTCATCCAAAATCGTTTCAATCGCTTGGCTTACTACATCATGTTTACAAGTTCTCAAAATTCAATCAATCTACAAATCTACAAATGCGTCCGATTTACAGAGACAATGAATACGAAACTCCAAGAATCTGTGCGTGGATCCGACAAAGAACTCTCATCATTTTGCCAATTTTCCAGACAAAAAAATAAAATCAGCCTTTGAATAGCCGAAGACGCGAGCGTGAACTCTTTGCGAGCTTTGTTTTCAAAGTGTTATCCTTTACTCCCTGAGCTATCGCAATCGCAGAAGCTTTCACAGACGTGCCTTGAAGAAGATCAGTCGTCACGTTTCTCGAAGTCCATTGTCGAATCGGACTCGCTTGTCTCCGAGAAGATGGGTAACTACAAGACGCTTCATCAATTTCACGGGTTTCAGACAGTAGTCTTCTGTGTGTCCGAATCATTTCCCCCATCACATCATTCTTGTTCGTACTAGTACCACACTGGTCGCTTCTCTCATCATCCTCTGGTTTGTTAACAGGCTCTGCTTCTGCTTCGTCTTCTTCGATGGCTAATGTTTTCTTCTTCCCTCCGTGACTCGACATTGCCCACGCCATTTGATCCTCAAACTTCACCTGAAAACTCGACGAAGATTCATCGTCCTTGTTCCGTTGTTGGTTAACGTGAGATGGTTCCGAAGGTTTCTTGAGCTCGAAGCAATTCGAATCGGAGTCTTGTTCCTCACACTCCACATCCCTCGGCGGTGCACTCAAGAGGACCGACTCAAGTGAGTTTCTCCGCTTCTTGGGGTGGTTTTCGTTCCGCTTCGCCTCAAGGAATGTCTCAATCTCAACCTCGAGCTTATCCAACACTACTGAGCTATTATTACCATCTCCACCTTGTAATCTCATTTGCATCCTCTCGTCAAGCCAAGACTCCGCCATCTGAAGATCCATCTGATCCCGATCCGCCCAATCTTTATCCAAATTCTTCTGCTTTAAACCGTGAACTTCCTCATCGTAACTCTTGATCCCTTTCGCAAACTCATCGCAGAGCATCTCCATCGTTTTCTTCTCTTTATTCCCTCTCTCAACCTCCTTAGAAAGCGTAGACTTCACTTCCACGAGCTCTCTCGCCAGTTTCCTATGCAAACTCTCAGAGCGTTTTCTCAGTCTCCGCTCTTCTTCCAACTCTTTCCTCCGCTCAACTTCTCTACTCTTCCTCGACACCTTCTCCTCGGAGAGTTGCTTCACCACAGCGTCGAGCTCGTGCCTGTCGGCTTGCTGGTAGCGAAGAAGCTCTTTGATGCGAACACGCGAATGAGCCAGCTCTGTTTTCAGAGCTTTTATCAACGACATGTTGGCCGCATGCTGCTCCTCGAGGCTCCAGATACGGTTCAATACTTTGAGAAGTTCGGTTGATGTCTTGAGACTGTGTTGAGGCTGTTCTCTTCCTCGGAACTCCAGTGAGCTACTTGGAGTCACTGCTTTGTTGTATGTCGCAACCTCGAGGGAGCTTCCGTAACTAGCGGGAGAGACAGGCTGGAGAGCGTGGTTGTTTCTCTCGATTGATTGATGATGTTTCATCAGCACTTGGCCTATCTGCCTCCTTAGACTTCCCGCACTCTCTGCCTGAGACACCACGCAGAACCAGATCCAAGACCGATCACTAAGCAGAAACAGAGCAAAAGAAGCCAAGAACAGAGTAAATCTAAACTAAAACCAGAACACCAAAACAGAGTAAAGTTTCAAAATCCAAACTTTAGTTATCATAAATGAATCTAGGCACTAAATCGATCAATTGTGGCAGGAATCATAGAATAGAGACCTGATGATCAGGAGAGGGATCACGGAGGAATTGAGAGAGGTCGAGACCATTCTCCTTAACCGCCACCGCCTTGCCGTTACGTTGTCGATGGTTACTTGCTCCGGCGAAACCGTTTCCGCCGCGGTGGTGCATTTTACCGGAAGAGAAGGAGCGATCTTCGTAGTAGTGATGAAACTCCCAGAAGGCAGCAGCGAGCTTTCGAGAGGAAACGATTGATGGCGAGAATTTAGAGGAAAGGTTAGTGACGAAGCTAACATGCGCCGGAGTTGAAGGCCGTTTCTTATTTCTATTGATGTTTTTCAACTTTTCCACCAATCTCTCCACTTTCCGTCTCTCTCCGTCTTCTTCTTCCTCTCCTCTTACTTTACTTTCCATCTTTTTAGGGCAAAAAGCAAACAAAGTTTCAACTTTTTCGCCTCTTTTTTCTTTAAAAAATCAATCGAAAAACCTTTTTTCCCTCTTCCATCATTTCTCAAATTGTATTCAGAATTTGTTTCACCTGTAAATTTAGACCTTTGGATACTTTTGATGTGGGGTTTCTTAATCTTTACTCTGATGGCTACAATCAGTTTGTTTGAGTCACATCACTATCACATTATTATACGTCACCAATGCTACATACTACTATAAAAAAAATATTAACACGTGGAAATGTGAGGATCTTGGGATGCTGTAATATTCCGACAGTGTATCGTAACTTGGCGTTGTTGGCTAGCTTGTGTGTGTTTGTATTGTGGCATTTTCCTCGTTCTTTGTATCAAACACTCTTTCTTATAGTATTACTAGTACATCTGACGAAATATTGGAATATTGGAGCATTTCTTTTGTATGTTGGAAGTAAAATTGGAATAGTTGAATCGAAAAGCGGTAAGAAAAAACAAAAACAAACCAAAAAATGAGTACTAGTTACCACTAGTTGTTATTGTTTTGTCCATTGTCACGACTCATGTGAATATTCAGTCATTTTGGACAAGTTCTACTCCTAGAGATTATAAGACTTTCTTATCCATATAGGAGCAAGAAGACATTGTCCAAAAAAAACAAAAAAGAAGACCTTGTCAAAGCTGACTGAATATTTTTATCTATATTTTGGCACGTACGAGTCAACCCGAAGAAAGTTGGATAAAGATACAAAAGAATGCTTATGAGTTATGGCATTTCCATTCCCACTTGACCAGTTGCTGCCACTACTGCACGTCTGCAACAGCCAACAAGTGTGTTTTAGAATTTTAGTCAAAACCAAATCCTTTGCAGGTTTCGTTTTATTAACTAGCTCATTTGGCTCAATTGAGAGCCCATTAACAAGGGAAAATAAGAGAGAGCTTATTAATAAGCTTCATAATGTCGGTAATGTCGGCCACTTCATACTATTACCATTCAATATTATACAATGCCTTGTTTTATTTGCAAGTAAGATTTTAATCAAGAAAGAATATGGCGATGCTA